ATATTGTTTTTATTTATAATTATTATCTTCGATTATATTAAAAATAGATAATAATAATATAAAAATAATATTGAATTGATATTTTCCGAATTTGGTTTTTTTATAATAATTTTTTTGACTTTATAATTTTTTGTTTCGATAATTCTTGGATTAATAATCCGATTTGTTGTATTTAAAATATAGTTTATTCTTTTATTTTTGATCTATTTTCTTTTTAGATAATTTGTTTTTGAAGATTATATTCAATTATATTGAATCCTTATATAATTATCGATAATCTCAAGATCTTTCTTTGTTTTTGTAATATTTATTATAATTTCGATTCTTATAGGAATTGAAGGATCGATATTCTTTTTGATATTTGTAAAGTATTTTATTCATTTTGATTAATTTCTTGATTAATTCGTTCAAATCTTTTCAAATATAATTATAATCCAATTTTAATCTGATTTTCGTTTTGAATTTTTTTCTATAATAATTCATTATAATATTTTTTTTTTATTTTATAATACTTATATATTATTTGAATTCTATAATATATTTTATTATTAATTTTATTTATTTAAAATTATAAATCTTGGATTTAATATTATATAATTTATTGATATTTTTGAATATTTATTATATTTCTTTTTTGAATCTTATAAATATTTCAAAGATGATTTATATTAAATATATTTGTTTTTTAAAATTATTCAAATAAATAAAGTAATCTTTAAAATAAGATTGAATCTATTTAAAAACTTTTTTTTTGAAATAAAAAACTGTTTAAATACTTTTATCAATATTGTAATAAAACTTATCTTTATTGAATTCAAAATAAATTTCAAATTGAAATAAAAAGATTTTCAATTCTTATCAATAATCTATAAACTTATCGAATAAAACAATTTTAAAAATTTTGATAACAATAATCTCTTTGAGATTTTTTATTCTTTTTATAACAATATCTTTATTTTGATTTATATCTTTTAAAATAATTGAAATTAAATTACTAGATTGAAAGATTTAAAAAGATATAATATTATTTCATCAAATTGATATTTGAAATAATAATAATACTCAAAATATTACAAAAAATATAATTTAAATTATATAAAAATGATTTAAATCCTTGAATAATTTATAATTAGATATCAAATAGAAATTTTAAAATAATATCAATAATTACAATTTATAATTAATAATAGATTATATTAAATAATTGATTTTAAATACAAAACTTTTATATATATAAAACCCTTTTGATTTATATAAATCTTTATATTCTATAGATTTATATAGATTTATAATTTATATAAATCTACAATTTGTATAGATTTTTAATTTATATAAATCTACAATTTGTATCCTTATATATATAAAGTTCATTATATAATCTTTAAGATCAGATTATATATCCAAACTTATTAAGAACAAAAAGATCATATAAAACGATTATCATACAAATTTGTATACAAATCGCCTTGCTTTTTGATGAGGCCTAAGCTCATGTGGACAGGTTGACTGTTACCTTGTAACATTATACTAACTAGCTAATATAATTAACATTCCTAAGATACTAGCTTTGCTAGCTAGCTAACAGAACTAACACATCACATAATTGATCCTGAAACCTCTTTTATCCTGAAGCTTTTCCTTTCCTGGAATACTTATCCTAGAAACTTTCCTTCAAGAACTATAATTCTAAAATACAATATCCTCTAAAGTAATTATCCTATTTTAACTAATTAAATAAAACACTTATCCTATTCTATTATAATTGTTTAGGATACTTATCCTAGGAATTCTAGGATCCTAAACTTAGATAATCAGGATCTTTAAAAACAATAATTAAATCATAACCCCTTTATAATTGATATATAAATCATTGACATCAATAATACTACTATAATCTAAATCGTGAATTGTGACAGATAAATTAAATGAATAGAATTGAATTGAATGATTAAAGTTGAATTGAATGAATTGAATGAATAGAGTTGAATTGAATGAGTTGAATGATTTCAATTGAGTTGAGTTGAAAAAAGCTTTAAGTTAGATTTACTTAAGGCTGTAAAGCTTATATCAAGCTTTTTGTTAGATTATTTATGTGACATACAAGAGCCTCAAAAGAGCTGAATAAACAGGGTCAATTATATTCCTTAGAATCTACAACTGAAAACTACAGCTCATAGGGAGCATCCATATATATATACAAAATACCTATACGGTAGCTGTATGGTTGTGTGCAATCTGCCTTAAGGTGACCATAATGCCATACTAAAAATGGTAAATTTGGAAAGATGCGCACAGACTATCAGCTCACCGATAGGAATTGTCGATCAATTGGAATCACGTGATCGTCCTTTATACGAGGTCCGTGACAATTTACCGGGGTATTTACTGGGGTATTTTAAACCAATCAGATTATCAGGATCGCGACTCATTTAAACAAGTTTCTCATTTTCCATCACCCACCGGGGAAACCTCGCGTACAGTAAGATTATAGTATCGTCAAGCCGACAATTATAATTATCAACTTTAATTTTTATTTATATTCTTTAAAATTCAAATTAAATCTATTTAATATTGTTAGCTTTTTGATACTTGTCTAAATTGATCTATTGAAACATTATAAATTAAAATAATAATAATTAGTTTAATAATTCAATTTAAAATTTTTTAATATAAAATTAGTTTTTAAATAAATATAATTTATTATTGATTTTAAATCTTCATCTTGTATTAAAATAAATTTAATCTAGGGTTTTTTTAATTTGTATATTAAAATTATTTTATTTAATTTACTAAATTATTATAAAATAAATATATATATATATATATAAAGGAATCTTTAAAATTCAGAGTAAAGTTTTTTCACTACATTAATTCTCTTAGGGTTGTATTTTAATACACAGTCAATTCTCATACCCTTCATGTCATTTATTACATTTCACTGATTCTACATACTGTACCCATGGTCAACTGCTCCCGACGATTTTTGTTGGTACATCATGTGATTAACCTTGAAAGGGAACAGTACACAAAGGGAGCCGTTACAACTAGTACGTTCTAGTACCTACCTCTTCAATATAAATAGGTCCTCCTCCTTATAGATAGTTTAATGATAATCAAGAATCAACACATACGATAATAGTACTATGCGAGTAGTATCACCGGAGTGATACCAATAATTTTATATCGATCAGTAATCAATTATAAATAACAAAAGAACTTCTATACATTGTATACCTCTTTCTTGTCAAGTTTGTAGGGTTAGATAATTAAAATGCGGTGGAGGAAAATCCTGTTAGTATTTCTAGATATTTAGAATACATAGGCCTGCTTACATGTCCATTAGAGTAGTAATCAAATCTCGAGCTCATCTACTTCAAAATCAGAGAGGAAAAAATGAAAGTAAAGATAGGACATTTATAACCTCTTAAAATATACAAATACCAATCCTTCTCTCTCTTTAAGTCTTGAGGAAGGTACTGCTGATCACGGGGGTCAATCAGGCGTTCAAAAGGCTTTTTTTGATTAGGTACAAGAAGTGCACATTAAAATTCTATTTTTAGTAATGTGAGTAAGTTTTCATTATATGAACCGCCGCTGGTCTTCCGGGGGCCACAACCGTGGACGCCGGCAACTTTGGGATGGAGAAACCAGGATTCATTCTTCGAGCGTAGTCGGCAATGAGCGTTTGGGAGCTTGCCCTGTTCATAACAATTATTTAATATGTCCTTATTTCTATTCTAATTTTGGGGGGAATGATAAACATTAGTCAAAAGATCTTGGGCGTTGCAGACTAGACCTCATCATGATCATCACCACCACCTTGAAATCAGTGTCTTCTCCCAAGGTCCGTATTGATAACCCCATCGCCTTCACCCAAAAAAAGTTTCCCTCCAAAATTTCTACTAAAAAAGCATTCTCCTTCTCCATCGCAAATACTAGAAGAAGCTCCCCGCAAATCTAGAAGGTGTACCGGCGGTTCTCAAGACGCGTATGTGTCTCCACGTTTATGGCAGTTTCAAATATTCAAGTCAACATGTACGAATCAAGTCGACCAGGTGGGGTATTACAACATATTAAAAGGAATCAATTTTCCATCATCACGAATAATAGTTTTAACTTGCGGCTATCATTATGTGCTTGATTCTAGTACGAATCAAAGGACTGATCCGAAAGTGGAGAATGAGTTATTGTTCTCTTGCTGGGAAGGGGAAGATAGATGCGCTTCTTAAAGCTAGAGATGTTTGGGAAAGGATTGTGAGGGGTGTATTGATGCTAGGGCGGTGAGTTTACATGTAAGTTTAATTGGGAGTTTTTCGGTAAAGGCGCATAACGACATCGAAATTTAAGCCGGGGTTCCAATCAAACTACCCCCAATCACTACAAATCATGTGGATCGGGAGAGGTTCCTGAACAGTGCCGATACATACCGGATATGAGAAATTATTAGAGTGAAGTATGATTGTGGTGAATATTTTCGACATACCGGAGGGTGAGTTATACGTCCCAGGTATTTGTAAGTTTCAGATGTAGATTAGGATGGCTAACGAATTTTTTTTTTAGGATACATGGCATAGAATTACTATAGGTCTTCGGGCTTCAGGACATAGAAGGTTTTTCGATATAAAAACTCGATATTTCCAACGTCAACTTTGAATTTATCCAAAAATAAATACCAGGAGCTGTCCCCCATATTCAAACCTTTTCATCCCAAAACATAACTTCAAATTCTGGTTTATCTATGAATCCAGTCATTAACCCTCGAATACACAAAATGACTCCAAGACTCATAAATGTCACACATATGACTATGTCAAGAATAATTAATAGGATTCATACGATGGCCATATCGTGTGTATATAGTTTCGCATCCTCTTGCACTGAATACAAAACATTCAAACCACAATACAACACAACATTCAGAATTCGAAATAATCCACCGTCAATCTTTCATACATCAAGCAATCTTAATCCTCCTACGTACCTTCTTTACCCACAACAGTCCAGCCCAGGCACTCGAGCCCACATCATAGTAATCCACATTCATTCCTCTTGTTCACATTCAAACCTTTCCAAATATGTCAACCCATCAACGCAACATTGCATCACGACAAGTCCGACCTCCCCCGAGAAAAAACGGTACTAATGCTTCATACACGAGCAATCCACTCCCCAACTACAGGGAGCCATCTCAACAAAAAAACAAAAATCCTTTCCAGTATGCTCATGATCCTCAACCTAGTGCCGATGAATTCAACCGCGCACAAGTTAATCCATGGTCTCAAACATCAGCACTCTCACCACCATCTCCACAGCTGAGTATAATTTCGATGGATGGCCGAAAGCCTATGCATGAGACACCTAACCATGCGAAGGATATGTATTATACTAAATTCCAGCCAGCACCTAGAAAGCCATCGGGGCTAGGATGGTCTGTATGCCAGGGAGCTGTTCCTTCAAATAATACCGCGATTAAGAATGTAAAGGATATTCCAGATCCTCGGGAGAAGAATGAGGTAAGCATAACCATTAATTTTCTTAAATGACTAGGGGAAATACTAACCTCTGTTGATAGAAACATAACAAAGATGGCGGTTGTGGTTGTTCGATACAGTAAGCTTTTTGGTGTGGTGTTATGAGATGGAGTTAATGTCAATGGCCTACTAGTCAGTAGTGATAGAGAATGTATCAAAATATGTTGAAGGTACATCAAACTGTAGAGTAGATAATCGTTGCTTTTCAATAAAACTCTCGAATACATAAATCCTTTACTACCAGATCAGACTGTTCTGAAATAACTTCTTAATTTATATGAGTCTTCCGAGTCGCGCAGCATGGCACGATATGTGGGATCAACAATATATAAATAGTTTAATGCTTGGAGAGTGAATTTCAATTATGGCCTTCGACGGCACTCGTGAAGTTCCCGCATGAACTTTCTAAAACAGGCAGTCTCAAATGACCTTCACTTGAAACATAGCGGGAAAAGCCATGTCAAATGATGCCCAAAAGGAAAATCAAAATGATGAAGTATCACTAGAACCCTCCAGAACACTTCAGCGCAAGAACTGTGACCATCCTTCAGTACATCCATCCACCCTTCATCTCCTCCCTTTCATCAAACCAGCCATTTTCCAAAATCATTCACAGTGGCTCCCATAGCCCAAGCACTCATAGCCATCATATCAATGACTATACACTCACATTATCGAGATGCATAGTCCCACGCCTCGGAAAATCCCAGGAACTTCCCTGAACTCTATGCACCGAAATTTACCTTCAAGTTTGCGAATGTTAACAGATATTCCCCCTCCCAATTACCCAAATACAGAATATAATCAAAGCAAACCCTCATATCCAAACCCCCATCCGAACCTTCTATACAATCCGCATATGGTGCCAAAGCATCAGCACCTAGCATACGTAGCAAAGACCCACGAGCCGAAATTCCGCTTCGATAGTCATCAGTATCACTTCTTCCAAGTAACAAGGTATTCGAACAACGAAGAAACTCCTCCGGCACGACATCAGATACCACAAAACAAACAGATACTACTCGCGCATGCCCACGCGTAAGTCCCGATATCGAAAGAAATCTCTACAAATCTGCTATTAGTATGGATAAATTACATGCAAATTCGGTAGAGCAACTTGTAACGCGACTAGTACCTAGTATCTAATACCTGTATAAAAAGCGAGTAAGAATAAAAAGTTTCCATGATATGACATCCATCCTAAATTCTGATGATCATCGACATAGGACTCAGCAAGTAAAATACTGCATAAACTTCGCTCCATAAACACGTAGCATAGCAACTCCCTTTAATGACGTGAGGAGAAACCACATAATTATATGTTTAATGATGTGTATTAATGAGTATGGAAAGAAAGCTGCGGATATAAATTTCAAATGATATTACAATTTTCATCGTGGAGAGGGTAATTAATCGCGAGGTAATTACCACCACAAGTATGCAAGATCTTATAATTATTGTAATATCTGATGCTATCAAAAAATGAATATTAAATATTCCTACCTCGTAGAATCAACACTCCTTACTTCTTCTCAAGAAAAAAGAATCCACCACCCTTCCAAGTTCCAAAAACCTCTGATAATCATGAATCCTCTCACAACAAAACACACCTTCAATCAAACCCCCCCAGAATAAACCTCGAACAGTCATTTCCATATTATATTATCCCTCATCATCCATCCATTCATTCAACCTCATTCTCCAATAATGCGTCACATCATAATTATGACTATTTACCACAATAGGGACTTAATTATAGCCCCAATAAAACGGTATATACATACACAGCATTGTACCACCATCTATCTCTTTTAGGAAATAATCAAAAGATATCAAAATCCCATCATATCGCATCGCATACAAAATCCAATACTTTATCACACTTCAAGCATTCTTCCCTGTACTTGCCATCACGTACCTCGAAAAGAATCATTCATTCATTCATTCGTTCACCTCGCTCACCTCGCCTCTATTCCAAATTCACATCCATACCCAAACCCAACCCCCAATCCAGCATGTCATCCCCACAAACATATATGGATTCAAAACCGCAGGTCGTCTCCAAAGAAAAACCACATATGAGTATTTTCACCGAATTGGATATCGATGGTGGACCATCACAAAGACCACCGTCAGCTTATATCAAGGACCCGCGTAATATATGTTTCGACGATATACCAGAAGTGAGGGATTCTGATGTTCGGAATGATACAAAGGTACTAGGGATAATATATATATATATATATATATATATATGCAACTTCGCTTAATATCTTTGGGAATTTGTACTAATTTTTTTTAACAGAATAAAGAAAGATCGGGATGTGCTTGTTTGATGATGTAGGTTGCATCTGTATCGAGTAGATTACCAAAGGATATCTCTTAGATAGGGATGGGGATATGTATATTATTGGAGATTAATATGATTGGATATTTATATTAATGGAGAAAGGGATTATTGGAGATGGATATAATTGGAGATGGATATTATGAATATGAATATTAACAGAAATGGGGATTATCAGAAATGTGTATAATTGGCTAGGCATCACTGCGAATAAACATTATCGAAATGGGTATGATTAAAACGTTTGATGAGAATGCTATGTTTCCTGCAGTAGAACGACGTAGTTCCAGGACCAACAGAACATCAAAAGAATCCTCCAAAAAGCATGAAAAGGTTTTCCAGGGAGAAACTTCACGCTCAACTTCAACCCAGCAACGACCAAGAAACGATGTCGTAAGTCAAACATAGTTCGATAATGTAAAGTATCGCTTGGATATGGTTGTATGATATAAAAGAGGTATAATGGGGAACGGAAGAAACTAACTGTATAACAATCATAATCAAACGTTGATTCTCCAGGTCAAATAAAATCTCACTTGAGAAATATCATGAGAGCTTATAAACTTACCACATAAAACTGTACTGTATCAAGTATTGATCACGCTCCGCAGAACTAAACCAATAGAAGATATTCACATATCCCAATGAGTGCCACAAAATCGCCCAATATCACAGCCTCATAGTTCCAAAGCTCAATGAATCCTTCATATACATGTCCATATTCATATAATCATCTTCATTTTCCATTCATTCTTAGCCTGGTCATGCCTACAACATCGCCTTTTCCTTTTCCCTTTCCCTAATAACCCTAGGCAGTCATTCTCTCATATTAACAACACATCTAATACAATCACCCTTCTTCATATCATCAAATGCTTGGTTAATGCCGTTCAAAGGTTGTCTATGAGTGATAAACTCATCAACCTTTAATTTTCCTTGCATGTAGTCATCAACCAATTGAGGTAATTGAGAACGACCTTTAATACCACCGAATGCACAACCTTTCCAAACACGACCTGTGACAAGTTGGAATGCTGTTTGATATGATGTTAGTTATTCGTGTCTATGATCGAGGAGAAATGTGGAAAGAAGAAAAAAACTCACGTCTAGTACTAATCTCCTGCCCAGCAGCAGCAACACCAATAACAATACTTTGACCCCAACCTTTATGACAAGCTTCCAAAGCAGCTCTCATAACACCAACATTTCCAGTACAATCAAAAGTATAGTCACAACCACCATCGGTCATCTCGATTAATTTTTCTTGAATACTTTGACCCTTCAATTCAGTTGGGTTAACGAAATCTGTTGCACCAAATTTCTCAGACCATTCTTTCTTGGATGGATTTACGTCAACCACGATGATCTTTGAAGCTTTCCTTTGGACAGCTCCTTGAATAACACTAAGACCAACACAACCTGCACCGAAGATAGCAACAGTAGATCCTTCTTCGACTTTGGCAGTTTCGACGGCAGCTCCATAACCGGTAGTGATACCACAACCAAGTAAACAAGTTCGATCCATAGGAGCTTCCGGGGTAATAGCTACAACGGAAATATCGGCAACGACAGTATATTGAGAAAAGGCAGATGTTCCCATGAAATGAAGAAGATCTTTACCCTTGCACTTGAATCTGGATGTACCATCTGGCATAACACCCTTTCCTTGAGTTGCTCTAATTTTTCCACAGAGGTTGGTTTTACCAGATTTGCAGAATTTACATTCTTTACATTCTGGGGTGCTGTTTAGTTGTTAGTTAGTTGCAGAGAGGTACGAGGTAAATGGAGTTGGAAGGAGTATCAGGTATGGCGACAGTGATGAGATGATAAGAATAAATAACAAGGGGTAAAGGAAATTGATGCTGAGGACATACTATAAAGCAACAACGTAATCTCCAGGTTTAACAGATGTTACACCTTCACCAACAGATTCAACAATACCAGCACCCTCATGTCCAAGAACAATTGGGAAAGCTCCCTCGGGATCTTTTCCAGAAAGTGTGTATGCATCTATTATGATGATTTGTTAGCATTCATCCTTGAATCTATTCTCTCATGCTCTACCATCTTTGTACGACCCTCTGCCTACTACACCCATCATCCGTTTTCGACTCACAACTCCGCTCTCCTACCTTGCCCCCCCACCACCCCAAGTCTCACCCACAAGTAGAAACATTAAAACGTACCAGTATGACAAACACCAGTATAATAAATCTCAATTCTCACTTCATTTGCCTTAGGAGGAGCAACCTCAATATCCTCAATACTGAGTTCTTGACCTGCGTCCCAAGCAACTGCTGCCTATATATTTCATCAGCTTTTGTTTTTCTTCTGCCTATCCCGTTCTGTTTTCATCTCCGAGGATGATGTTCGATATATTAAATGACTGTAATGGGTTGGGGATTGTTTAGGGAATCTGCGGATTTGGGTCTAGGGGTTTGAAGCTTCGTAGATCTGTTATGCTCTCCGCAACGCTATGGAACCATCCGCAGAGTTGCCACTGCATCCGCAGATTTCAAAAAGCCTTCCAAGTACACCGACTGCCATGATATAGCGAAATAGTGTAGCCTAATAGGTAGAATATATAATATTCGAACTAACCTTGCAGGTAATAGTCTATGATAAAGCACACGTTAGCATATATTTTGACGAGTTCATGACTTCAATCCACGAGTATACATCAATCAATCGTAAACAGTTCTGCCACTCTCCCATCATCCCACCTCACCTCACCCACCAATCCAATCCATCCAACCAAACAAACAAACAGAAAACAAAACAAAACCTACCTTTCCAACAGTATCAGCCGGCATATTTCCTATTGTCTCTCTTTCTTTCGTTCTTCTCTTCTCTTCGTAATACAATTCGTCCGCTTGACCAAAAAGAAGCTATCAAGGTATAAAGCAAGCTCTCAAGGTGTACAAAAAGTTACGTTGTAGATGATGTTTAGAAAGAAATCAAGTATGAAGTACCGTGTAGCAGTATATTAAGGTTGGTAAAGGAAGTTGGAGCGGAGCGGACTTCTTTCGGACAAGTTGTAGTGAGGGGCAAGCTTTTACTTTGAATACCTTCCCCACCCACCTCTTGTGAAATTCATAGTACGTAAGGTTAAAGGAGGTTGGGCCATTCTAGATTTTTTAATATTTAATATTTTAAAAAATTAGAATCTAGAATCTAGAGTTTTAAGTAATTGATTGATTGATTGATTGATTGATTGATTGATTGATTGATTGATTGATTGATTGATTGATTGATGGTATACTGCAGAGGTTTTCCTAATAGAGTATTGTAAAGCTAGAGATGAAATTTACGGTACTTGTATCAATTTGTAGTCTTATGTTCTTGCAGATGAAGATCTCGATATTGATATTGAGATTGCTGGGAATGCAAGTATCAATTATCATGACAAGATACCTACCTGTCTACCTCCAATATACCTCATGAATTAAATACCAAGATAGATAGTTCCCATTGCGTATACGAAGGCTTAACAATGACATCGGAGAACATCGGCATTCATTCATTCATCCATCCATCTATCCACGATTCCCACATATAAAACACTTCCCGATCCTAAGCCATACACCCCGCACTTCGGGATCTTTTATCTAGATTGAGTAATATTTACTTTGTAGATGTTGGAAGCTCTTTGATTATAGTGAACCATATTCGGATTCTCGTCATGTGAGTGAGAGATAGGATGACTGAGTGCGGTTGATGAATCCTACGATGTTAAGGAGCATAATCTGCTGAGTGACTTATTAAACTAATTCCTCAATACACTTTATGCTCTTCCTCTTCTCCTCTCTCTCTCCTCATTTCCCTCTCTATTCCTCCCTCCTCTCCCATCCATCCCGGCAAAATCCTCTGCAAGCATATACTCCGTATACTCCGTATATTCCGTATATTAAATATAACACACAACCAAACCCCACCCCACGCCATCCCTCTTCAAAGTTCTCAAAACAAATACCGAATCAACTCCTCGCAATTCGGAAACTCTATATCTCTCCTCTCCTCATTCTATCCCTCAATTGCCCCTCATATAATACCACATGATATCTACACCGTCTATATCACATCACATCCTCTCAGAAACATATCAAATAATAACCTAGCTTTCTAATACCCCATCTCATAACCTATTACTGGTCAACCAACCAACCAACTAACCAACAAAAGTTTCCCAATACCAATATCAATCCACTAAAGAAACACCCACCTCTATCCTCCCCTCCCTCCTCCTCCCCCCAGAAGCTTAATAAACCATCAATTCTGGTATACTCTCTTTTATACAAAGATTAAAAGAATAAATATTAAATATTATAAAAATACATCAAAAACTAATCAAACTCATTTTATTATAAAAAAAAACTTTAATTAATTATATTATTATATTAATCAAAAATTTATATAATGAAATCTCAATAATTAAATAATTAAAATACTATTAAATTTTTTTTAATAGATATTAATTAAAATTATTCAAAAGTTTTAATCTTTTTTAAAAAATTAATAAAAACAAATATAATTATATAAATATGAAATAAATTTTTTTAATAATATTAAAAAAAAATTTAATTTATATTAAATAAACAATAACTTTATAATTTTAATATTGTCACGATTTACGATTAAGATAAGGATATGTTGAGGGGCAGCAGTCAACGTGTCCATATGAGCTTAGGCCTTATCGAAAAGCAAGGCGATTCGTATACAAATTTGTATGGTAATCGCCTCATGTGGTCTCCCCACCTTTAGCAAGCTCGGACATATAGTCTGATCCTAATCACGTGATAAGGAGCCCTGGGAGCTTCGAAAGCTCCTAGAGCTCCAGGAGCTTTTTGGAGCTCTAGAGCTCCACGAAGCTCCTTTACATTCATTAGTATATAGTCAGAATAGTTTCATAGTTTAAGAGCTTCGTGCTCAACTTAGTTATCAATTAGTTTACCTACATTCCAATTGATCTAGTAACGTATTCACCTTCGAGTGGATAACCAGTGATTATTAGCCTTAACCTACAACTACCAACCAGACGAAAACCTGAGGCAGCCGCTGCCTCAACCAGATCGTTACAAATATATACAAATATTATTTATCAATATAAAACTTTTAATAAAAAAAATAAATTAAATTTATTATATTTTTATTTTGAAAATTATAATAATACCAAAGCTAATTTCAAAACTAATTTACTATATAAAATTTATTATTATTTATTATCTAAACCTCAATATACTGAAGAAAATAAACTCGACTTTTCATTAATAATATAATAAGATTTTATTTATTGTATTATTATTATTCACCAATTAATTCATCAATCATCGATCTCTTTATACACACTCATCACCATTACTATATCCTCATTCTCACAACCCCACCGGTATTTTTCCCACTTCTCACTACCTTATTATCTCTATCTATCACTCATCTCCAACTCCTCTGGTCTTCTCTCCTGACTTCTACTTTGTGTACTTTTATTTAAGTATTGGTATACAATATACATATAATATAAATGTAACATAATGTATATAAATAACATTATCTAGTACTCAATCAATCATTTATATTTCCCCAATATATTCACAAACCTTTAAGTTAACTCTAATCCTCAAGATATTTTATTACCCACTGCACTCATTACACAGAGTATATAACTCTCAAGTCTCTTAGTCTAATTATTTCAATTTCTACTACTAACATGAGCATACATACACACAAGACACAGATACATCTATTCTCCCTGGATCAAAATGTATTATTTCATTTTGTATATGCCACTCTTCACTACCTAGGTATCTTCATTCGCTATTGGTATCTTTCCACAATGACACCCTCATATCAAACCTGCCAAGATCCTCTACAGCTCCTCTCCCCTGTTCTTCACTACCCCCATCTTCCTTCAAATCCCATTTTCCCTCTCGCATCGCATCCCTCTACCTCGCCTGGTAAAGGCGTAAGCAAACCATCACTCCCATCAAACAACCATCAAACCACCATACCAAACAAAAGAAAGGCCAGAGCTGCTTCATAGCTTCTAAAGAAAGGGAAAAAAGGCCATTCGTAAAAGAAAAGAAAAAACGCCATCCACTCCCCCATAATGGTATTGTGATATAATATGACTACAAAGCTGTGCCCCGAAGATTCCCTTTTCATTCCCACCGCATATTAAATAACGGGAGCACGGCTTCCCAAATGAAACTTTTTATAATAACGTGTGTGCGTAGATGGATGAAAAAATCGTTACAAATCCCATCCTAATTGATTAAAAGTTTTGTGAAATACCGGCACTCTGTTGACCTGGGTAATGTGATGGGTTTTCAATTCGTGTGTTCCTCCTTGCTGATACATCACGTATAACTGGTTGTCCCGAAACATCGGCTCTATTTGGTGGACTTCCATATGGTGTTGCATCAGTATATGGGTTTCCAGCTCCATATTGATCATAATATTGTCCACCTCCATTATATCCACCTGCACCTTCACCTGATCCATCTGATCGATTGGCAGCACTGTATGATGATGAAGCATTCGATAATCCTCGGTTTATATCGCGATTTCCTCCTGAAGTTGGTCCCATAGCACCCATGCCTTCGTCTTCATGATGATCAACTAAAGGATTGTCAGATCGAGTATCGGAGACTGCATGAGTCGGTGAGTTTCCGTCCGAATAAGCCATACCGATTCCACCTGCGGACTGACCACCAGATAACGTTGTTGAAGCTTTTCTTCCTGACGATGCTACCGCTGTAGTACCCCATCCACGATAACCAGATCCTTCTTCTTCACGCATTTCGAATGGTCCATCACTTCCTCCTGATCCTACAGCTGGAATTGTTGGATCATTGTTGGGATTGTATCCATATTCCTCGACTTCCTTTCTTCTCATTTCTTCCGCATCCTTACGTTGCTTTCGTTTCCTCCAAAAGAACAATCCAGCAGCAATTAATGCAGCAACTGCAACAATAGGTACGACTACTGCGATAGCAATTGTTCCTCCACTTCCAATACCAGACTTTCCTGATTTACCTGTTCCTGCATTGCTAAGACCGGCTGTTCCGGAAACTGCGGCAGATGATGAAGTTGATGTGGAAGATGTTTTGGATGTAATAGCTTGCGTAGATGTAATATATTCAGTTGTGACTTGTCCAGAGGATATACCGTCAGTTGGCGTTACGGTAACAACGGATACGACGACTGTGGGTGTTGGGGTATCGGCCGCGGCTGTTGTTGTGGGTGTTGTCTTCGATTCAGTAGTCTTTTGAGTGGTAGGCGCGGGTACTACAGCAGAAGTAGTGGGAGTTGTTGCAACTGTTACTGGAGTTGTCACTGATGGTATTGTTGGGGTTGGAGTTGTTGGCGTCGGTGTAGTTGGAGTTGGGGTTGGGGTTGGGGTTGTTGGTGCTGGTGTTGTTGAGGTTGAAGTTGAAGGTTGTGAAACTGGAAGTACTACACTACTACTGCTAGAAACAGGAGTTACAGGATCAGGACTTGTGACTGTAGTCGATGAACTTGTGTTAGCAATTGCACTTGATGTAGAGGTCGTAGATGTTAATGATTGAGAAGTCGAAGAAGGGACTTCAGCAGAAGAAGTAGCAGCTACAGGTGGCGCACTGGTTGCCATACTTGTATTGTTCGAAGACATGGTGAATTGTCTGGCGACAAATTTCTCTGGCTTCCTATATGTAGCCATGTTAGTCACCAAACTTTGAATTATTCACTCACACTACATTCAGGCAAAATGTAGATGGAGTAGTAGACAGTAATGGATATAATATCTTACCCTTCAGCCAATCTTTCCCCTTTATTAACCAACTTTATGTGTTGTTGAAGTGTGGAGAACCTCGACGCGAAGTAGTTTCGAATTGGTCGAAGAAGGAAGGTATTCAAGCACAAACGAAATGTGCTTCGAAATTGACCGGATGAAGATCAATGGGGATTAAATTAAACTATTGGTTTTGGTGCAGTCTCCGTACGATGCGATGGATGGATTACGGATTACGAACGCTTTGATTATTATTCTTCGGTGGAAAAGGTTTCGACACGTCGCAGAAATTGTTCAATAGATGGTGGTAAAGTTTGGTGAAAAAGAGAGAAAAACGGCTAATCAATTAAGTTTCTCTTGGGGCGTCTAAATTTGTGGAATTCGACAAGTAGGTAAAAGAAAAAAAGAAAAAGATCGAGGTTGCTGGAAAATAACGAACGAAGGGATAAAAGTAAAAATGCTTGAATTCGGTAGATGGTGAAGGGTTGTTATTTTTTTGGGGATGCTGAATGTTTTTCAGTCGCCAGCCAAGTCCAGTACCGGTACGGAGTATGCGCTCGTTTACTCTGTCGTTTGACAAATGAGATACGAGATAGGTAGGTAGCGTGGGCCAGGCTAGCTAGGTAAAAGAAAAGAACCTGTGAAGAGAGCCTGTATACAAATTCCGATTCAGAAATTGAGGCGTTCCAGTAATGAGAAGAGAGAATCAATCAGAGTTGACTTTGTTTTCAGCCTTTTCGAATCTGGACGGAATGAATCAAATGAATTGGACCGAATGATGAATGATTTCAATGTTTGGTGCCCGTTATGTGAGACAAATAAGTGAACGTCTCAGACAAGAATTTTCCCCTTCCTTTCCATTCAAGCAGCTCACTCACTCCACTCAGGCTACACAACCAAACCTCCACCAGGTATGCCGTAGCTTTTCCCTCCTCTTTTCAGGGTTCAAGGTAGGTAGAGTAGGTGTTTTCTTTTTACAGCCCGAGCCAACGTGGTACGAAATTAGATTCTTGGATGGCGGTGGGCTGGCCTGCCTGGGGCTGGGCTCTGACCGTGATATCGGGATTTTGGGGATAATTGATTTATATCGATAAGAGGTATGGTAGGTTGTTGTCGTGTTTGATCTCGACAAATGTATTCCTTTGGAAGTAGAAGACTCGATGACATGGATCGATGTTACTCCCATAAAAACCATCAGAAGAAATACACCTTGAATGGAGTTTTGTTGACATCAACAAAACACAGAAGCGGGAAGGGAGTACTAGCTGCAAGCTTGTGCGGGTGCTAAAATTTTAGGGTAGGTGGTACTGGAATAGTACTCCGTAAGCAGCTGGCACTAAGTTGGTTCCTGCTCTACAGAGTAATAAATACAACTAACTATCAGGTAGGTGACCGCTAGGTGGTAGGTTATTGCGTCGGTCAAAATACAGCGATGAACCATCTCGCATTCTCGATACTGATGATGATGATGATAATGATAATGATAATGATAATGAATTTATGTTCCCGCATGCCTTCATCGCTCTACGCTCCCTTGACCCAAAACTCTAAACCTTGACTTCCGAGGTCTAAATGTCTAGTTCTTACTTCCTTCTCTTTTTCTCCTGGCCAACATCGCCTTGTTCTCAATGTTCCTCGGTATTTCTGTTCTCATGGAAATGAAATACGATGTAGATCGGACGACTGAGTCGTGAGAAACGAACATCAATAGTCTGTCTGTCTATAAACTAATAAGATTCAAGAAGTATATCTCCCACACCAAAAAATCATCCCAACTTCAGCGTCTATTTCTCGTACTCTTTTCGTGGTATTTCAAGATACATATCGCCTGCACTAACGCCTGAAATGTTCTCAGGAGGCAAAATTTAGTTGTTTCCTCTAAGCATGCAGTGTCAATCATAAAACATCCCCACGAATCAGAATTGACGATGTTGTAAAAATACGAATGTGCGAAGTACGAAGAGAGAAAACGACCGTTTCATTTGTGGCTGTGTGTTTTTATGTAGGTAAGAGAATATTCAGCATATTAAATAACAACGGCGTTGGTCAAATGATTGATTATATCTTAAGCCACAATCGTATTGCATCCACGATGGTCCACCTTATTTCATCGGCGGAATCCGCTGGGTTGAGTTAACAAGACGCTTTCCGTCATTCTGGAGCTCATTGTCATCATGGACCTCGACCTATGATTCATGAGCATTCATCTTTTCACAATGGATGAATCAAACGTTTCCGTCGTTCAATCCTTCTCTTCCGGATGCTAGCATCAATCGGATCTCTCCTTCCTAATGCATCTTAGTGTTACCCAAATTCGGTCAAAACCTCTCCAGATTTGGCCATCGCTGTGACTGTGCGTATCAAAAAAGAACTTCCATCGTGAAGTTTTCAAAGTGCATCACCATCCCCCTTAACCCCTTGATGAACCTTTCTTCACCAAAATCAAAATCAAAAATCGTTCACACCAACACCAAATTCCTCCATCCTCGTAACCAATTCCGATCAGAAGATCTCTCATTTCATCTTAAGGTTAAGATCTAATTCATGAATCCTTACCTTCCATTTCTTCTTTCAATCTTCCACTCCAGCGAGATTTATTATAGATCAGACCCCATAACATAAATGGTTCGTCAATAAAACCGGAAATTAAAGAAATACCTACACGGGTGACGAAAAAAACCTTAGGGACATTTCCCCGTTGTTTTTCCAAGATGGTTAAAAATAATAAGCAAGGGAAGGGGTAAGTAAGGGCAAGGGCAGGGGCAACATGAAGGACCTGTTGAGCCACGAGATTTCTAGGACCCGGGTTCTTAATTCCTTGCACTTAAGGATTCTCCGATATGATAAAATTTGAAAAACATGGAAGAAAATTGGCGTCAGGAAATTATGGTATTTGTTGTTGTCAAACTGGACAAAAAGAAAAGGATTCGTTGACTACGAGGTAGGAAGAGTAATGGATGTTGCTGGTCTGCAAGTGATTCGGCCAATCTTTCATTTCTTTCGCGTATTTGGTTCACCTTGAAACGACACTGTATTACCCCAAATTGAGGAAGAGTACACTGTACCCATAGAATAGTTTCGAACGATACGGAGGATACCGGGTAGAGACTCAAAGAGGGTAACATGATTTGAAAGTCAGCTATTCGAGTGAACAAAAGAATCAATTCATACAAGAATTAAAAAATTGCAAAGTTCTTAGCTAGTCAGTTGTGCCTGAGAGAAGGAATAAAGTAGGTTCCAAGGCCAGCTCACGTGATCTTCCTCGAAATTCACCTTCGAGATATCAAAAGATAAAACTCCTTTTCTTTCCTCGAGCACGCCAGTTAACTTATCATAACTTCTTCTTATTTAAACACAATGGTGTAGTAACTACATCGTCTTCTTGTTAATTTTTCAATATTGTCTTGCACATTACTCTACATTACTCTACACCATCAATCTTGAATATTCTTTCGCGCTTTTGATTATTCAATGTCCTTGACCTAAGATTATGAGTAACCGATGCTCTTCACTTTGATTTAATCTCTAAATCGAAAAGAGCTTCAAGATATCATCGAGGCAGCGCGCCATCTGCGCTGAATACTAGTATCATAGACCCTCCCTCAAGACTTTGCTAACATACTTCTCCCACAGAACCTCGATATTCCCTTCTCGACTAGCCAAGGCAACATACGTCATTGGACTGAGCGAGACTTGAGCCGACCCAAGATTTATTTAGCCCAATTACCAGGTGATACCAGTCGCAAAATCAGCAAATATTATAGAGTAGGAAACGAAAAAAGCAAACTGCAAACACAATGTCGTAGATTCATAGGCTCTGCGATCACTAAGCCACTTCATGAAAATCTTGTGGTATTGTGGTTGTATCTTTTGAAGATATCTTTCCCCGCATCTTCATATCACTACCTTTATTGGTAGCTTCCATTTTCAAGAAAAGTGCATTGTGGTGTGCTGCCGACCAACGGAATTTGATGCCAGCATCTTGGCAGCTTCGCTAAGATGCCTTCAATGGTAAGTTTAGTGAACAAATCATCGTTACCGCATTAACTAACAAGTCTTCATAGATAGTCATCATAGATTATGTACTCGATATTCTCAGCAAGTTGAATTCACGCCTCACAGTTATTGCTAGCTGATCCTCAATGCAGCCTCCTCCGAGCGTCAAATTCACTGCTTCAAAACGAACTCGTCTGAGCAGTCTCTTTCTCAGTCTCTTTCGACCATCAAATCCTTTCAACAGCTTTCCATCATCAAACCACTGAGTAAACACCTCCTAGAAGCTCAGGCATTCTGGCAGCAAAATGGAAATCTAACATACACCTAGAAAACATCACAAACACAGCAATGCTTTCCTCCTCCATCAATTTCAGTAAAGACGCTGCCGGCGAGCATGAGCCTCTTCAAAACGTCTGATAGAAAGTATACAGTGCGTAATGGACGCTGGCTATAGTTTTAGGACTGAGCGTCGGAGTACAAGGGACAGGTTTTCGCGGATGAGTAAGTTGGTATTCAATCTAACATCCAAAAACGGTAAAACCATGCATAGCTATAATAGCTCAAAGTATTGTACACTGAGTTATCACCACCAAGTAGATTCTATCTCGTCTACTAGCCCCAGCTAGCTCGTATTTCAGCAAACCAAAGGTTTCTCTCTTCCTCAAGACGTTCTTCTTCATACTTATTTTCATAATACCTATTGGTTAAAGTTAGTACCCTTGGCGCGGAACCCTTTGCATCAGCATTGGGCCCTATAAAAAACGACACCTGCCCCTCTTCCAAATTCCTTTCGAAGCTAAGCCAGTCGACGAAAGTCTTCTGGTATTGCCAGATTGGAACTTTTAAGAGTTCACCTCCTCCATTCCCTAAAAACTTCCTTCCGAAGCTAAGCCAGTTGACGGAAGTCCTCTGGTATTGCCCGATTGTAACTTTTTCGGAATTTCACCACCTCCCCCGCTTTCGAGCATTTAAATTCGGCTGCCTTTTAAGGCCCGACGTTTCTCACATCACAATGGCATCCAATGCTATCAGCACTCCTCCGGGAGTGCAAGATCCTAACGGATCTCCCGGTGCAGAGCAGGGTGCTGCAACTACTCCCCAAGAAGGGAAGGACCTTGGTGTAAACCAGCAACCACCGGTTGATGAAACCGAGAGTCTCCTCATGACCTTTGATCCAAAGGGCTCAAAGCAAGCCAAAACTGATGCGTTTGGTATGCCAATTTATCAACTTTGGAAAATTTTGGATAAATGGAAGGTGGATAGTAAATTTGGATCAACTGTATATGAAGTGCGATTTTGGGAAGATATTAACGATAGCAATGGGATTTATCATGTTGATGGAAAACAATTGTGGGATAATTATCAACAATTGGTAGAGCAATGGGAAGATACCTTTGGTGAATATTGGCAAGCTAAATATGGTAAGATTGGACATGTATGGAATTCAACAACAGGAAATGTAATGAATCTACCTGGGTCAGCCCTAAAGAGAAGGTTTGATGATACACCTAGCAAATCTCGATCAACTGGAAAGAAAACAAGAAGTGAAGGTTCTTCCATATCGGGTGGGAGTGATGTAGGTTTAAATACTCCTAGTGTTAACATTCCTGATCCAGATCATAGGCATCGTGGTAATCAATATACTTTATTACCCCCACCATTATTACCAGCATTTGTTAGATCTGCGAGAAGACCGACAACTCAACATAATAATGTGGGATTATCTAGTGGATTGTCTATCATTGCACGATCTGCGAGACATTCAACCTTGGGGTCGCCACCTTTGGTTGGACAATCTAGGATAGGTTCTGCTTCGAGACTTTCATCACACTCCACGAGCTCCGAAACTTCATCCTTAATTGGACAACTTGCCCGGGTGGGATTCTCACACACCCAATCCACATCCTCCTCTTTACTTGATTCCATGGATATTGACAGAGATGAGAGAACCGCAGAAGTGCAACCGGGGGACTTAAGGTACAACCTTTATGACTCGGAATCAGACGATGAATATAATGAAAAACTTGATTCATTCGACATAGCAGCCTTTGATGAAACAATGAATGCGATTGCGGAACAAACTGAAGCCAATTTGAGACCCGATGAAGATATAACAATGGTTGATGTCGATAATCAAGATGGAGAACATGCTAGAAATCCTGGTATGATACTTGGATCATTTTCCAAATTACTTGTTGAAGCACATTCGGAAGGATTAAGAGAATTGGTGGAAGCTGCCTTGGACTTGAAAGGCTTACCCTGCGATAAATGGGTAGCTAAAAGAAAGGAAGATGCAACTTTTGAGGATATGAAACTCGAGCTTCACTTTATGTCAGCTTGCATCCATCCTGAAGTTTTGAAGCATCTCGTACATGGAGATTTACCAAAGGCTTTATTCAGATCCTTCAATGGCATCTATGAAAGGATATATATTATCTTTGAAGGATGGAAGTAAAAAAGAGAAGCGAAATTTCATTCATCTTCATTATTTGGTTAATGCAGTTGGAATTTTCCCGACCCCGGAGGAATTGGAGAATGTTTTGAATACTGCTGATATTTATATTAGGGGGTTTGAGAAACCGAATGATCAAGTGTCATATCGACTTTCAAACGAATCAATGAAGGACTTGGTAAATACGAATCCAAACCAGATGGAAAGAGAAGATATATCAAGGGGCCTACTCAATTAAAAGTTATATCTGAGTGGATATCAATTGTGAGAGGAAGAATTGCATATGAAAGACTTCGAGGTCGATTTCGGGAGCCATTAGCTCGTCCTATTTCCAAAGTTGGATTTGCATCAAGTCTTCAACGTTTGGAGCAACATAAAAAACATGTCAGTTCTAATTATATTATGAATTTGATTGAAGCTATCTTTTTACATGACGGTGACGTTTATAAGAATGAACAATTTGTCATTTTTAATTGTATTGAGCCTTGCCATGGAACATTTGGAGAAATTTTATGTTCAAGATATGCTCAAGCATATTCAACACATGGTGGAGGATTTGCTCATTTTGCTGCAGGCGGAGGTGTTAACAATGCTAATAAACATGATGAAGCACATTGGTCTATGGCGAAAGAAGACTTATCAAAGCCAGATTGGTTTACACCAACCATCAAGAAGGAAGTAGCAAAGATGCGAAAGGAAATTGAGATGATTAGTAGGCTCTTTACTTCTGCTGAGGAACAAGATAAACAAATTGAAGATATGAGAATGGCCTTGGAGAAATTGGAAAATTTGGAAGAAAAATTGGAGATTAGTCAGAATAAATTGATGGCGGTGTCGAAGGAATATTGTGATCTTATGGATCCTATGTTAGAACTCGTAAGATCAGTATAGGCTGGAGAGTTTGATTATTAGGTTAATTAAATAAAGATTTCCTATACCTGCCATGAAGTTCCATCTCGATAAATGAAGCCGTACGTAAAATAATACCATTCATTTCATAGTGACGATAGATTCCTAATTTTTCCATTGATCGAAGGACAGTTGTTATTAATAGCCTACCCCCGCGATTAGGCAAGCCCACCCATTATTCGGTTTCAGAGGCTGGGATATACATTTCATCGGCTATGTTGTTAATTCGAGGGTTTAGGTTTTTCAATCTTGAGGTGAGAGAAGCGTGGAGGAGGGATTTTCTCGGATCATGTGGACCATAAGTGCATCCAATATATCAAAATTCAGCTCGGGCTGAGGAATCTATCTTTAAGTATGACACGTTATGCTAGTGATTCAAAACGACCCAGGGAATTAATTCAGTGCCCTTCTTCAGTGAATGCCGAAGACCTGTCCGGGATATCCAAAATCCAGAGGAATGTAGAGCAATCATCCACCCAGACTGATCGATAAGAATGGTTAATTGCAGCGCTTTTAATCGTAAGACTATGTGGAGCTTTCAATCAAGAAGGGATGCTTGATTAAATGAGTTACAGGTGAACGATGTGCCGAACAAAAACATACTTATCAAAGGATAAGGAGCACTTTTCAACATCTTCAATGGATTTTGACAATCGATGGAATGGTGTCGCCGGCCAGAGTGCCATAAATTAGTATGATATCGTCCCCTTCGATGTAGTGTGAAGGTCACATGATGCGGCCGCATGCCAAAAAGTCCATGACGTCCATATTTACTAATTCCCCACGCTGCAGCAGACATCCTCCAGAGTTCGACGTTTTCCCTATTGACTCACATCAAAGTTGAGAAAAAGAAATTTACAAATCAATTCATATCAAAATGGCATCTTTACGTATTGCTCGTCGGGCGTTCCGTGCCTCAATGCTTAATACTTCTCGACCCTTTTCCAGCACAACATTCCGCTTCGCAAATGCCAATCCCGGTAATGCAGAAGAGCATGATGGTAATGAAGAGTATCGAAAAAAGCAAAAGGAAAAGCCATTGAATCCTCATATGACGAATACCAATTCTACAATTGTGAACGAAATGCCTAGTGTTGGAGCCAGCAGACCTCCACCTGAGCTTATTACAAGTGTGGATGGGAAATTTACTCCAAAGGATAGTGTACCGGAGAATACGGATAGAATGACTGGTGGTACACAGGATGGTAAAGGAAGTGGTGTTAATAGAGAGATGGCAGTTGGAGAAATGGAGGGGGCACAATTTCGGGTTGAGCCATTGAGAAGGGATGGAGAGCATGAAGAGAAGATGAGGGCGAGATTATTATGTAGGTTTTTTGACAATTTACTACGCACTTCATCTCCATATCATTTATTCACAAGATTGGAACTTTGCTAACAGGGACTTCTTCTAGATCAATCCCGGAAACGGGGAACTCTAGAATCCGATCTTCTCATGTCCACCTTTGCCGATGCTCACCTTCCTACTATGACCGCTGCACAAATGGTACAATATGATCAATTCCTTGATGAAAATGATTGGGATATTTATTATTGGATAACACAAGAACCGTCGCCAACATCTCGTGAAACAGCTGAAGGTGCTGGTCTTGGATCAGAAGGTGCTACAACCAATGCTATGGGTACAGATCAAAAGAAATCCCCAGTAGCACAAGGTACAGATCCTGGTAAACAAACTGGACCTGAATTAGAGACAGATGCATGGAGAAATGGAGCACCAAGAAGTGGAGAATGGGCACAAACCATTGGAACATTTAAACCTGCTTATAGACCAGTACCAAAGAGATGGCAAAATAGTGAGATTTTGGCCATGTTAAGGAAACATGTTATTTCAAGATCTGCTGGGGGTGTACATGGAGTGGAAATAAATGATAGTAATGCAAGTGGTAAAGGTATGGCATTTATGCCACCTATTTTCCAGACTGATCAAAAACGATCATGAGATGGGAGGAGGCATTTTTGGTCAGCGGGGGAAGGAATTATTATATGGTCTTTTCCTTGTAAATAGGAACACAATTCATGTATGACATTAGTCGAGATGGAAACATAATTATTTTTAGTCTACAATTTCCACCACACATTATTTGGCTTGAGATCATGCTTTGGGAAGTTACTTTTTAACCTGTTTGTCATGTATGCCACTAACAGCAGCATATTATATTATATCATCTATCCTCTATTTAGGCTCTATCTAATCTCTACCTATCCCAATCATATATAAAAATCATGCCAAACTCATCACCCAAGCTTACCCATCACTTCTATAACTAAGATTACCAAAAATTATTTTCCATCTCGGCAAACCCGTTCATCCCCTATTTTCACCTCCAACCCCAACCCCTCTTTCTCCCTTCCCTTTCCCTCTCCGAAACAAGGAGTCAGTCGAAAATTTAATCCATCACATACTAGCTCCGACATCTCCTTCTACAAAATCTCCTAATCCGAGACTTAGTAAAGTACATTGCATGAATAACCATGTGCGGATTTGTGCTGGGTAATGGAGGATGGTGTGGAGAATGGTGTGGAGGATTAGGGAGATGTTTTTTGGGGGGAGGGATAGCATTTTGGGGATGGTGTGGTGAGGCTTGGTTTGGATGTGGGTGTGGTTGTGATGAGGTTTGGTTTTGTATGTGGGTAGGTGTAGAATTGTTGTGAAGATATGGTCAAGCGAGGAGACAGACGTACGGTGAATAGGCGATGAGTTGTCGATGATAAATGTACGCCAACAACTTTCCCTTACCAGAAAATAAGAATTTTTGCAAAATCAACCTTCTCTCCTAAAAACCATCCGTAATACCTTTTCACGTCCTCTCCACTTCCTCGCCACAAATGCCTTACTTTTCCTCAACAACTCTTTTTCACTCCGCAATAATTCCGTCTCACTCCTTCCTCTACCAGCATTCAGCGTATAAGAAGAAGAAAGAGATTGCCAATAAAACCCCTCTCTACTCATTCCCTATTCCTTTCCACTATTTCCTTTTGAAAAATTAATAATCCCCTGATACCTCTTAAGTAAACCCTCCAACTTCTTCTGAATCCTCTCTGTACTCAAATTGTCCAACCTGAAAGGACTTTTCGCACCTTTACTAGTGACAGGAGTTAATGGTGAAGGTAATCGACTTAATCCCGCCAACGCAGTAATAGTATCAGGAGTCCCAGGTACAATTGTTTCCTCACTAGAGAAAGGCGTATCACCACAATTTTCCGCTTGATAAAATGCTCGTTCGAGTTCCTTGGTTCGTTTCTTAGCTTCGAGAATTAATGTGTGCCAATAGTAGATTAAATCTCGACGGAGACGTTCCGCGTCACGACGTTCTTCGAGAAGTCTTTCAAAGGCGTGGGAGAGCTCAATTTGACTTTGGGGCCCGATCATGTGGGAGGAGCTTTGAAGAGACGTGATGTATAAATGTGGGATGTGGGTTGGATTTGAGGGGTAAGGAATTTATTGATCATTTAATTGAGGGGTATAGAGCGGGGAAATAAAGTCTCAGACTTGCATATGCATATGCATGTACTATAGAAACACTCCGAAGAATGATGAGAAAGTGGAGTGGAGTATCTATCATGCAGAAGGATGTCGTATTGAAATTCCTCTCTATTTTTATATCAACCTCACTTCTTATAACAACCTCGACGCCTTTTCAAATTCATCAATTTCTGCATTCAATTTAATAAAACTCGCAGGCTGGAAATAAAAATGCAAAAGGCACAACCACTTCATCGCGCCATCTCGAAGAATTCGCGAAAACGCTCAGGAATGTCATAAACCAACCACCAAACAACTCAAACTACTTCCCACCACAAAGAAAAATGCCCAAGGAAACTTCATAACCAATAACCAAAGAATGATCGAGCCGCCGTACATTCCTCGGTCACAATGTGTTTGTAGCCGATAGAAATCTCAACATGTACAGATTGAAAATGTCTTTATTCTTTGAGGGAACTTCCTCAAGCCAGGTGTATTTTCTTTGAAGAATTTGGAGATTCTTTACAGTAATCAAGCTCTGAATTTCGTCAAAGAGAAAACTTTTTCACGAAGCTAGGGGGGGGAAGGTAGCTATATTATGCTGTAATTTCTCGACTCGGTTTGAAAGCTTCTCTTCTTATCTATAATTAATATTTGAACGTTTGCAGAAGTTTGAACTTTGAAAATCTCATCCAAAACCGAGGCGAGCATTTTTTCGCCTATCCTTCACCAAGAATGTACCTCATTCCAAAGTCCCATACTACAGCAACGCATCGGCAATCTTCACCACATAATGGTATGAGGTGGTTAGTCTCGGCACGTATAGCCATTCCCGGGAATTCAAAAAGATGTATGAGGACGGTTCAAAATGCACAATCACGTGTAGGTCACGCAAGTATTCTTCATTCCAATGATTTTACTGTATAATTTAATGAAGAAGGCTGGTAGACACCTGACTTCTTCATAAATATCCCCTCCTGGACATTTTTGTCATGTTTTGCTTCATCAACTACATCATCGTACATCTGGCATTTATCTTGCATATTCTTCCTCCTCTCCCAGCCTATCATACCGTTATTTTTCCTAACTTTACCTGCATACTCAGGCACGTCCATACCATCCTGTACCGCCTCTTCATACCAAAGCCAATATGTCTCCTTCCATGGCAACAAATGGAAAGCCTTCGGAATTATTCACAAATAACTTTGACGAATTAGACAACGCCTTTTTCGACGAATTTATTACGTTCAGTCCAGCCAATGACAGCCTACCTGAGCCAAAATTTTCGGAAGAATCAGATAGTAAAGATCAATCTTCAGAGACATTACTAGGATCTTTACACGATGCTGATGCTGATGCACAAGAGATTGAAAATAATTGGCAAGGAGATCCATGGGTTTTCGCCCAAGATTCAGCCTCACCAGATAGCACACAAGATAATCTTTTCTATGCCGAACTTTCTGGCAGAGCCGCAATATCAGACTCTGATCTTCTCAGCCTTGAAGATATCTCTTTACAATCACCTCAAATAGAAGCATGGTCTCATTCATCTCTTCCAACATCACCAGCACCACCAGCTTCAACAAGAAGAAAAAGTCGAGTTGAAGCACTTGCCAACACATTGAAAAAGGTGAGCACGAAATCGGAAAAATCTCTACGAAGTCCTATTCGAAAATCAAGTACAGTAGCTTCAAATATGGTACGAGGTTCGACGAGTCATGGAAAAATGAGCCGGGAAACATTGAGAAGAAAATTGGCATTGGATTCTTCGAAATTCGGTTTTAATCCTCAACATCAATCACCAATGTCACCTCCACAATCAGCTAGAATGTCCAATTTTTCAGAACATACTTCTTCATCAATGAAGAAAGTACAAAAGACAGAGATTTCTCAAGATTTATGGACTGGAATGCCACAAGACTTACAATTCCCATCTGTACCAACCGATTACAATACACCATTATCAACACCCAACCTAGATAATAAACACACACCCGAAATGAGATTTCATCAGTCATCCTCAAATGGATCAATGTACCCAATGACACCAAAATCCCAACATATGTCAGCCTCATGGTCACAACCAGGATCATCAAATTTCAGCTCAATTGGAGCGTCATCAAATTACCCAGTTGAGGTGGAAGCTGACGGAAATTCCTTATGGTGGAATCACGCTGCAACAACCCCAATGGCACAACCTTCACCAAATACCCTTCACCGAAATTCACAAAGAGCAACCAAAAGCCTTGCTTTTCATTTACAAAATGAACTTTCATATAACAATAATGAAATGAACATGGCACAAGGGTTAATGATATCAATGCCCGAAAATATGCCTCAACAATCCTTTGTAGTAGAATCATCACCTATGCTTCATCAAGGATACTTCAATGCTGGTGCAAATGGAGGTGGTCCACAACCACATTCACCATATCATACGCATAATCATAATGCGGCACCTCGAACACACTCGCATTCACATTACACACATCACGCTTCATCCTCATCACGAAAACCCCATTATTCCCATCCTCCTCCCCATTCTCATTCCCACTCTCATTCCCATTCTTACTCCAATTCAAATTCAAATATAAATCCCAACACTAGTCCCACATCCCGACCTCGAAAACCTCGAACGGGATCAAGTGGATCTGAATCCCCCTCCTCACCAAAATCCTCACCCACTTTCCACGTCCGCAAACAACGAAAATCAAAAAATAGAAATACATCACCTAGAACTCCTACATCAGAACGAGGAATGGTCGATTTTGTTAATTATACACCGGATGATAGTCGGAAGATTTTAACAGGAGTAGCTCCTAGTGGATCAAGTAAGACGAAAGCTAGAAGGGAAAAAGAAGCCATGGAGAAGAGAAGGAAATTATCGCAGGCGGCGTTGAAAGCTATTAGAGCTGCTGGTGGAGATGTTGGGAGTTTGGTTGAAGAGGGTTTGTTTGTTTGATTGGGGATTTTTTTTTTACAATTGTTTTTCGTTTTAACTTTGGTTTTTGGGGAGGACTTGAATGAGTTGTTTTTGCTCAAGGTAGCTTAGGTGTTTGGGTTCTGAGGGTGTTACTTACTTAATACGTTGTATCCAAGTAGCTTGAGATCATACATAGACCTAGATACCTACTTATATACATCAAAATCTTCATCATTTGAATCATTTGAATCATTTGAACTTAGTCTCTGTGCATCATGTGTATCGTGTGATTCGTTCCCGCTATTGTGATGTTTCACGAATCAATATTTTGCTGATGATGCCGCGGATGTGTCAAAGTAATTAGGCTGCTCAAGAGGAATTGAGGGAATACAGAAAGAGGAAAGAATCATAAAGATAATTGGAATAAAGATACGGAGGATTTGAGCGATAACAAAGTGCGGTATTGGTTACGAAGTATTTGTGATGAATGGCAGAGAAGTGTTGATGTTAGATAATTCGTAGAGGAAGAATATTTGGCTAGGTTATCGTGTGGATGGATGTGGGTGGGGGGCTCTGGTATGGTATTTTACCTGGTATTGTTGGGAATGTGTGTGAACACCAGGTACTTCTTTCTTTCTCTTTGGAATATAATAATATAAAACATAATTCCATATTCATCCTTTCCTACCATCAATTATAAGTGTTGTATCCATGCATTTGAATTCATCATCATTCTACTTCAACATCATTGGTGTTCTTTACGATCATGTCTCATCCCCCCCTCAAAGATCCACCTTTGTACATACTCCATATATGGAGGACAGAGATCTATCTTTATGATGAAATTTCAGCCCTATAGCAAACTATCGAATATATCAAGATGACTGAAGTTCATCATCTGATTCACCTCCTCTAAATCAAGACCTTAATCCTTCACTCCTTCCTTTCCTTTCTTCTCCTTCCATCTCTACCCCAATCATAGCAAAATATTCCCAAAATCTGAAACACTCACCAACCTACCTCATCCATAGTATTATCGTCAGTCCTCCGTACGCGCTTACAAAGTTATTTGTGTATATACATACCTATACCTAGGTCGTCATTCAATTCCACCTTTCCTAGCAATCTATTTTGAGATTAGATGTGGTTAAAATGAGAAAAGATGATTGGTTTTGTGTAGGACAATGAATGTGCAATCCACGTTTTTATTCGGGGCGTCTAGGTTCAAAAGCGCTCTTGGCAATCCAGCCCCAGCTTTTTGGCTAAGACTTGAGACTTGAGACTTACATTCATCTGGATTCTAAAGAATGGACGGGAAGGTAACCATATAACGTGGAAGGTGATGGATTATCTACAGGGTTTCTTATCTTGGATTCTCGATAGGTAGTGATGGATGTAAGGTCTACTATGAATAGGTATTATCTTTGGTATCTATCTTCTCTATCTTTCCTGTCAAGGTTTGATCAAATCGGTTTGTATCTTCATGTGTTGTGTATCTTACATTTTATGTCTACAGACTTCAGCAAAACTCCAGAAAAACACAGCCCGTCTATCTCTACACAAACTAAGAGCTTATCATCAGGCATAAAAAGACTGCGCCGCAGGAAAGCCTACCAAGCATACTTCCCAATAGTTGAACCTTTCACATTCATACAATTAGATTTGGTTCGGAGATCAATCATCTGAAGCTCTAGGCTTCCATCAAAAGTCAACCGCAAGTGTCATTAGGCCGGCGTTACCATATCATCAGGTAAATTACATATCCCACCCTTTACATATAAAGGGAAATGTTGGTTCTAACAATTTCCTCGCAGTTTTTTTCTTGAGCGTTCAATATTCGATATATATACACATACCGAAATTTGGAAGAATTAAGGGATTGGGTTATGGCAGAACATTCTACTTCATCATCCTGGAAGACAAACTCAACACATCATATAACCTCAATTGAAGACCAAAGAACTCCGAAGACGCATATCAAAAGTCGGCGTCACACAAGAAATCATTCATCCTTAGCATCAACAACGTCACCTACTTCAGAAGCTTCTTTACTCTCTAATGAAAGTGATGTGATTGATATCAGTCATGTGCTATTGTCCGCACATAATTTAACATCATTGAGTCCTATGGATGCTTCAACAAAATATAATCGAACGTCTTCATTTCTACCAGAAACTTCACAAACAAGACCAGCTTCTCCAACTCGAAAATCATTCAAACTTTTTTCCAAGCACCCTAGTTCATATAATCCAGCAATCACAAAATCAAATGTCAATTCGAGCAAAGATACAACGAAAAGCGATATTACAGCAAAGAGGTTTTCTCAAAGGAAATCATTACTCAAAAAGTCTCAAGATGTATCAATCCCGGAGGAAGAATTTGATCTCAATCTATTAAGTGCCGCCATACCCATGGCCTATCAAAAGAAATTCTACGACAAAACCGCCAGCGAAGAAACCGAAAATGAAGATGCACCTATGGTATCCCCAATGGCCATTCCCTTTGATCTCTCCCTGTTTCACGAACCCATGAATAATTCAACCTTAACTCCAGCAATGCGCGAACAAATAAATCGTCAAGAAGCTGCTGGGATACTTACTGGGGGATTAGGTGCTGGTTTTACTCCAGATACTACGATAACCAGTACGGATCTCATGGCCGAATCATCACAATCTTCAACCACAGCCTCACGTCTCTCCAGACGTCTTACACTTCGGAATGCTGGATTAAGTAGAGCATCTGCACTTAAAGATCTGGCACAAAATGAAGCAAATAGACGAGGTGAAGTAATCGAAGTAATAGTTCAAGGACCCGTTTCCGCACCCATGGATATAAGTTCATTCGCAGGCCATACCATAGGAACGCCTCATCCAAATTTCGATTTCAAAAGTATGGATTCCTTACCCCTAAGTATCAACAAAAAGGGCACCTTCAAATCTTCCAATATTGAAGTATTCTACCCCCAAGCAAATTGGAAACCCTTTTCTATGCGAGCACCCTATCTCACAGCTCTCATAATAATCTCCATCATCCTCGGAGCCGCCGAAGAATACTTGTATCAAAAATCACTCAAGAAACCTTTATATTCATTCACATCTCCCTCCTTGATGAAAACATGGGATTATTTTTGTTTTAAATATTTACCTACTCTCGTCGCTGTTACCTTTGGTGTATTATGGCAAATCACCGATTTTGAAGTTAAGCGCTTGGAAGCCTATTATCAACTTTCGAAAGAAGGGGGAGCGTTGGCCGCGGAATCGATAAATGTGGATTATATTACTTTTTTCAACGTATTGCGTCCTTTTCGAGCACTGCTTTTTAAACATTATGCAGTAGCTGTTTCGTCGATAGCAACTTTAATGGCCGTCTCATTAGTACCAACATTACAATCCGCAAGCGTGGTCCTAATACCTAGTCGTGCGGAACGAAAAGCCGATCCAGGCGTGATGAAAGGAATAGTAATTTCAGGACCTTGGTCCCGATTATTAAGTTTGACACTTTGGCTCTGTGCCATATTCGGATGTATACTACTCTGGCAACTGGAGCGTAGACCCTCAGGTCTAGTCGCCGATGTAAAAGGAGTAGCAGGTATTGCCGCCATGGCAAATCGCAGTCACATCCTTATGGATTTCAAAGATATGGATACGGCGACTCCGGATATGATTCATCAAAAACTGAAAGCACATCGGTATACGCTTCGAAACTCGTCGCTGGCACCGGAAGATAGTATAATACTTACTCAAGCCGATAAAGATAAATACGATTCCCATCAACACCACGATGAAAACCCACATCCATTATTTCTTCGTCTCATCGCCGGAATCCCCTTCGTAATCGGCATGTTCCTCTTCACAATTCTCATCCCTATTATTCTCTTCACCCCCGCAAACATCATCACAGATAAAGCACCTTGGCTTCTAACCCTCGGAGCCGTATCCATCAAACTCTGCTGGGGTAGTCTCGAAACCGCCATCCGCATGATCGAACCTTTCTACATCCTCTCTCTCCGCCACGCTTCTCCCACCGCTTTAACCCTCGACTACACAGCCATGGCATTCGGCTGGCTCCCAATCCGCGCCTTCTTCAACGGTCACTACCTCGTCGCAACCGTAGGCTTAGGATCTGTCCTCGCGGAAATCCTAACCGTCTGTATCACATCCTTCAGTACCGTCACCGGAACCGATTTCACATCCGCTCTATCCCGCACCGGAACCTCCAAACCGCACCACTCAAACTCAACCCTCACCTCCGGAGAAGAAACCTACGTATCCTTCTGGGCATCATTTTTCCTCGCCCTCTTCATCCTCCTCTCTCTAATCCTCATCTCAATCATCTCATACACACGACGCCGCCATGCATTTCTTCCTCGTCAACCATCTAGTATTGCTAGTATTCTCGCATTTATCTATCAATCGAAGATGTTATATGATTTTGTCGGGACGGAGAAATTGAATAATAGGGAAATGGAGGAGAGACTTGTGGGGATTGGGAAGAGTTATGGTCTGGGTTGGTTTAAGGGGAGGGATGGGGAAATGCATTGTGGGGTTGATGAGGAGGAGTTGAGTGGGGGGTATTTGCATGGGAGGGATAAGAAGGCCGAGGGGTTGCCGTGGTCTTCGAATTGGCAGGATTATTGATGAGGGGGGATGAGTGGAGTGAGGTGTGGTGGATGAGTTGGGGTTGGATAGGATGGGATGGGATGAGATGATAGGATGATTATAAGGTATTATAAATATAATAATGAAAAATATAGACATATACTCAGATATATATTTTTACAATAATAATAATCATAAATAAATAAATAAATATATAAATCTATAAAAATCAATATAAATCCTAAACAAACAATCAAACAATCAAACAATTAAACAAATGAAATAATTAAATACACCGATTCTCAATATAATACAATATATATACTCGAGTATATACAATTATACACAATGAAATAACAATTAAACCTTTATATCTATCTATCTATCTACCACCGTACCAACTAAAATAACATTACCTTACAAACCATACTTTATCTGTTTTCTTTTTCTGTTGTTTTTTGCGCAGCTTAACCTCCCTTCCTTAGCTTTCTTCTAATCTAGTCGGACCAGACCAGACCAGTCCAGACCAGTCCAGTTTAAATTTCCTAGAATGTAATCGTGAGATCTTACTTTTCTCGTCTCATCTCATCTCATCTCATTTTCGTTTTCTGATTTGAAAGTCCTAGACTAGAACATGAATGTAATCTTATCAGAAGTATTCATTCATCTCTCTTACTTATACTACCACCTCATCCTCTTCCTCCTATCCATCCACTCCCCTTCTCCACTCCCTTCAACCCCTCCCTCCCTTCCACCTCCCTCAATCCACCACACCTCCCCATACTCCTCCTCATCAAGATAAACCATAAACTCCTATAACTCTCCGGCAAAACCTGCAGTTTGCCCTCCACCTCAAACGTATAATTAAACTGTCCTGTCGGTTTCGTCTCACCATGTTCCACATTTTAACCTTCGTATCGACTCTTATCTGAACTCTCGTTTCTTTCCCCACTTCCTCCCTTAGCCACCTCTTCATTCCCTCCTTCATCCCTCTCACCTCATCCCTCCCTCCCCTTCCCCAACAAGCGGTCTATCACTATAAACCAACGTAGCACTAACATAAAGCACACTTCCAACCGGTACCGGATTCTCAAAAGTACTAGGATCTAATGCGATAAAAGTAGGTCTTGAATGGGAAATAGCTGATGCACATGTAAATGCTAATTCGAAAGTAGATTTTAGGAGGAAACCACCGAAGATCATGAAGTTGTGGCGATTGCGGTATTGGGGTTGCATGATTTGGACGGATTGGATTGTGGAGTTTGACATGCGCGTGCAGGTTTTGGGGAGGAGGGAGGGAGTATTGGGGTCTGTGGGTGGGTGTTAGTATTGAATGGAGAGGAAAGGGGCTTTGGATGGTATTGAGTTGAGGCAAGTGAGGAGAAATCTAAAGTAAAGAAAAGAAAACAAACCATGATAATCCAACGTCTTCAACCACAGCCTATGAATCAAATCACTCTCCTCATCATCCGGTTCCTTACTCCTCAACCCCCTACCCATCTCCCTCTTCTTCTTCTCATAACTCCTCATCCCCAATTCATACAAATTCCTCTCCACCTCATTCTCTGGTTCCACCCCCGCAATCTTAACAGCTTTTTTCGTAACCGGATCTAACGATACCATAGTAAAAGCACATTCCATAAAAACATCTTCATTTTTCTTCGTCTGCCCAGTTGGAATCGCTTTGCATACTTGTAATGAGACTTCCATACTAGATCGACCAGTTGCAAAGGTAACTTGACCCGAGAGTTCTAGATCACAGATTTCGAGGAGTGGTCGAGAGAGGGTGATTCGATCTACTGCTGCGGTGACGGTCATTACGCTATCGCCTGTATGTTTGTAGGAAATTACTCCGGCGAGGGCATCAAGGTCCTGGGTGTGTTAGTATGTCGTTTCTTTCTCATTTCTTCACATTCCCTGTTTCGTCTTCGGCGTCTAATCCCGGAATTGAAAACATACCATAAAAATTGCTCCTAACCTCACATGTCCACTGGCTGTAATATAATTATCTAGAAGCCAAGGATCGCTTGCTAAAGGTAAAATCTAGAAATTACACATGTATAAAGTTAGTATTATGCATCCTTTTAAATGTCCCTATCTCCTGTTTTCCATTGACTATAACTAATCAATAGTAACCTCCAGGCACCGAGGAACATTCACCCTCGTCCTTAAGGTGGTGAATGAATAAAGGATACGAAATATTAAATATCGAATGAAATCCCTCCCTTCTTTCACCTCCCACTCTTCTCGCTTCTTTACCCTCCCGTCCTCCGCCTTTATTTCTCTTCTCCTCTTTCCACCTCCACTCCCATCTCCATTCCACCCTCCCACCTCCTAACCCCTCCTTCCCCTCTCCTTCCTTCCCCCCACCCCTCCACCACTTTCCTCCCTTCCCATCCACTCCCCAACCACCCCATTCCCATTCCCTACCCCCTCCCTCCTCCCACAATAAACGCACCCTCGTCCTTGTCGCCGTCAACTCCCTATACACCCCATCCGTGCGCCTCCACTTCGTCTCTGAAAAACCGCGTTTCGTATTACCATTCCCAAGAATCCCCAGATTTTTAGTGCGGCTATAGCCACCCAATCCCCCACTCAATCTCAGTTTCCCAGCACGCAATTGCGCCGACTGCATCGATTGTATCGACTGGGCTGGGTTTAGGGGGATCTTGAGTCTTGTCATTGTATTGTGTTCTGTTGATAGTGGGATGAGCGGATAGATAGATAGATAGATAGATAGATCAGCACCCAAAGGAGCACAGGTATTATCAATATCAAAAATCTATTGATTTTCCAGTTTTGTAGAAACACAAAAACACAAAATGCAAAATAGTAATGTAAGATCTTATGATATAATATTAATGCAGTTGGTAAGTACCTAGGTACCTAGCTAGGTAAATCAACAATTGGTTAATAGACCGGAAGATTGCGGGGTTGTGTTGTGCAGATACCCAGACCAGACTGGCGGACCCGAGCATAAATACTTTTCCGGGGATCTGTGTAACCGTACCTAAGTTTAACTACCTAGATACCTAGGTAAGTCTTACATAGGGAAATATTCTATGAGTTAAATAATCAAATAATTACAAGTACCTACATCTATCTTCACACCTTTACATACACACACACATTCCTTCATTTGACTGCATCTTTTTGTTTTGGTGTATAACAATTAGAACTACCTAGAGAATCACATTCAAAACATACACATACACATATACATACACATACACGTACACTCAAGTATATTCAATTTATTCCCGAATAATAAGATCAATCTTCATTTCACAAAAAGAATTCTCAGAATTATATGATATAAAACCCCCTTTCCCTTCCAGAAACCCAAATTTTTTAAAAACAACGAATTTTCCCACCCAATTAACACCTTGCCTACAATGAATAATACAAACAACCACACTCGCTTCAAACATCATCCCTACAACTTTCTTTTCTTATAAGTACCTCCTTGTCTAGGTTGACTTCCGTATGGTCTCTTCTTTGGTGCGGTATCCTTCATTCCAGCTGAGATGTTTATATCTACCCTTGGAGGAGCATCAAATCCAAAACTCTTGGCTACTTTGATTAAGTCTAACTTTCCTACATCAAAGACGCTTCTTAGAGAATGACTCGCGTATGCTTGCAAGTAACTCTTGTATCCTTCCTTTGCACTCTTATTCAAGTAGTAGTTTTGTGCGATTAATTTCGAAAGTTGACTTTGAATGTTGACGATTTTTGCTGCAGGGAATTCGAATTCTACCACTGGAATACGAGCAGTCTTAAGATGAGTGAGGAAACCAACCTCCGATGGTTGAAGGAAAAGAAGGGAGCGACCCTTTCCATCATTACCACGAGCAGTTCGACCAACGCGATGAATATAATCTGTTGGGTCATCAGGAGGATCGAATTGAATTACCCAATCTACATCAGGGATCTATTAAGGCAAGATTAGTTTTGTCAACTGTGAAAGAAAACGAAGAAAACTTACATCAAGACCTCTAGCTGCAACATCTGTACAAATAAGTGTACCTTGTTTAGCATTACAAAATTCAAAAAATGTATTTGTACGTTTTTGTTGCTTTTGTTTGCCATGCAAGTCAAGAACTGGTAAATCGATATAATTGAGAAGTTCCGCATGATATTTTACACAAGCACAACTTGAGAAAAAGACAATGATTTTTTTCTTAAGGTTGCGCTTGAGGAAAGAGAAAAGTAATAAGAATCTTTTATCGGAATCGCAGACGACGTAACCTTGTTCAAGACCTTCAACTGTACTATGTTCCTTCTTATTATCAACATTAATGTAAAGAGGTCCTGGTCGAAGGGAAATTCTTGCGAGATCTTCGACTTTAGTAGTTTGTGTTGCGGAAAAGAGCATAGTTTGACGATCATCCTTTGGTAAAACCTTGACAATTTGCTTCATCTCATCTTCGAAACCAGCTTCCAAAATTCGATCTGCCTCATCAATAACTAATGCCTTTAAGTTCTTGAAGATAAATCCTTGTGTATTTTGTAAATGATCGAGAAGTCGTCCTGGTGTAGCGATCAATAAATTGACTCCTTTAACTAACTTTTCCGCCTCTGCTCTTCGATTTGCGCCACCCATAACGATACCATAAGTTTGTGAATGATGAGCCATGAGTTCTCTAGCGACTCCGAAAATTTGTAATGCCAACTCTCTTGTAGGGGAAACGACAATAACACCAGTACCATTTCTTGGTTTAAATCGTAAAGAATGTAACATCTCAACGGCAGGTATCAAGAATGATAATGTTTTGCCAGAACCAGTTTTTGCAGCACCAAGAACATCTCTTCCTGCCAACAATGGTGGAATACCTCTTCGTTGAATTTCGGTCATGGTATCAAATTTCATGTCTTCGGTCAGGGCTTTCATGGTTTTGTCGGAAAGGTTGAGTTCTGAGAATTTCTCGACCGAGGCATCGTTAACGGTAGGTAAAGACAAATGTTTATGTTCGTCATCCTTCTTCTCCTCTTCGTCCTCCTCCTCGACCTCTTCCTCTTCCTCTTCCTTCTCCTCTTCTTCGCCCTGCTCCTCCTCCTCTTCACTGTCACGACTAATCTCCTCCTCCTTCTCTACCACAGGCACCTCATTTTTCGCACTCTTCACACCCTTCGCACTTTTCGCATGACTACGATTTCTCTTTTTCAACTCAGCAGAACCCATTTTGAACGTCGACAATTAATCCGCACAATGAATGATATGATGCGATGTCGTAGCAATGGTAAAAGTCGTAAAGTAGAGTAAAATTGTAAAGTCAAACCTTGACGAAGGGCCCTCGTAGAAAATTATTTTTACACGCTAAGGAATCTAGATAAGCGTTGGTGTTAGGGCTTATCTATTGGTGCAGAATAGATCCAACCATTTGGCTGAATGGAGATGGTCACGTGATTAGACTAACCTCTCCTCCACCAATCTCGAATTTCCATTATCCAATTCCCTAATGCTTCGCTGAAAGGGTTATAGTTATAGGTGTGAAGACGGTTGTCTTGTTATTGAGCTACGATTCCTAATTATATAGACCCACAACCGTACTTGCCATATTGAGCCTAACATCGCCGTCTCACTCAAAATCCGCTAAATCTGAACACTTAAAAAAGCTCATAGCTTTTAATATACCATCAGATTAATTGATCTACCTAGGTACGTGCCACCCTTATTGATTGACTCTGTGTGTGTGTGTGTGTGTGTTTGATTTTCTTTTATACAGGTTTGTTTATTCTCCTCCCTATCCGCCTTGATATTCATCTTCTCCTAACCCTCTATCCACCCCTTTTCCTACCCCCCTCATCCATCCATCCATTCATCTACCCTCTCCCAATCCTTCCACCCTTTATCTCTATCCCCCTTACCACATTCCCAACCCTCCAAGCCCCTCTCTTCCTCCCCTTCAACCTCCCTACCATCCCATCCCCAACGACACAAAAGAAACCAATAACCTTCCACCGATTCCCAACACAAGAAAAACCCAAAATTCAACTCAAAAGACGAGGCAAAGAAAAAAAAGCTCTCCTCGAGTATATTACTCAACAGGTAAGAGTTTGCATGTCACTATTGACTACCGACCCTAATGCAAAAAAGAAACTGGAGTTGCAGAAAAAAAGAAAAGAAAGTTACAAATAACACCTTCCAACCCAGTAATTCCCTCTTAGTTGAAACATGTTTTATGTGTCGAAACAGGTTTTCAACTTCGATCAACCAATATATTCTCAACGCCTTTTTATGAAAGCCCCTTCATTAATGGTCATAACCTGCTCCACGTTGCCAAGGACTAATAATATTGTTAGCTTATGCCCGTCATCATCATCTGTAAATTCTTACCTAGCATTGTTTTGGTTCTGATTCTGAGGTGTGAAAACCCCAGGTGCAGGGCTACCACTATTTTGCGATCTATATCCTGATTGCGACAAGTTTGATGTCGAAAGATTATCTCGGTATGGAGCTGGTGATGCGTTGTTCGATCTATCATTTCCGTAGATTAAAGGAGCATTACTATTGCGTCCTCCATCTTGGTAATTGGGTGGTGGACCACGAGAACCACTTGCTGGGAAAAGAGGAACCGATGGATCAACAGGCGAATGAGGTGCATCTCTAACTGATGGATTTGACTCTCCATATGTTCCTGTACCTGCTGTAGAAGGTGGAAGAGGCATGTTTGCTGGATGTCTCATGGAATCAGATGACCATGAATCATTATCATCATCTAAATCGAGGTTGTGTTTATATCCTGCCTTATCTCCTCTAGCGGTAGCTCCCAAAGCATCCAGCTCAGTGGTCAAGCCCGTATTTGACTTAATGAATGATGCACGATCATCAGTCATTGGTAAGTAACGGCTATCTGGGTTCTTGCGAACAAAAGCATAGACGGTAGCAAGTAAAACAAGAATGAGAAGAACCAATGAGAAAACTGCGTTGATAATGAAGAAAACAACGCCCATAACACCAGTGACGATACCTGGTTGATTGAAAATACCCGTGAATACCAAAAGGAAAATGGTGTTTAGGAAGTTGATGGCACAAATGGCGATATTGAAACTATTGGTACTTTTGTCCATCCATGGTCGAATAACACTGGCACCAATCAAAGCAGCTGCTTCAATCAGAAGAAGAGCAATAGCTTGAACTGTAGATGCATTTTGTCCAAATGCGATAAACATTCCCTTGATAACAATATGAACCAGAGTCGGAAGAATGAAATAATAAGCCGTTGCTCTGAATTGGACGTAGAGGAAACCCCACTTGTTGAGAGCCGAAGGATCTGAATAGAGAATGTATGCTGGATTTTTGTGCATCAAAACCGATCGTTTTGCGATTCGAACAACTTTCATAGCTGCCCAAGCGAGAGTCCCTGTCATACCAAAGAAGAAGAAAATGGCCAAAACAACTTCTGCTGGAGAATCATTTTGTGTGAATTCCCAAAGACAAAGAATGGTCATCTGGGGGTAACCAATAAGTACCATACGGAACATGATACCTTTCAAGACAGTGAACCATCCATTGCGGAAATCGACGAATTTATCCGACTTCATCCACTTCATCTTAACTGCAAGTTCACAGAATCCTTTGAACAGTGCAACAAAGAAGATGGTAAAAACAATGAAGATACAGAAGAAAGCCAGACCGGTCAAGAATAAATTGGTAGATTCGATACCGGCGCGGAATGCTACTCGTTTGATTCCTCTGACGAGATATGATCCAGTTGTTGTGGTAGTGTCGGCTCGTTTTGTCAGGACTTCATGTGCTCGAGTAAGAAGTTTAATGGTATGTTCGACTGATCTCTTTCCCATGGAACGTTTCTCGACTTGAACAGATGTAGTGGTCAAAGTATTCAAGAGTGTGGCTGGAGTTCCACCAGTCGACTTTTGATACCAAGTTGCGATGCTTTGCATGAAATCGACCTCAATTATACCCATACTCCAATCGAAATTTTGAGTCCATGATTGAACGATAGGTGGAAGAGGAATAGAAGTGAGTCCGATCATAGCTTGAGCTTGAAAGTATCCAAAGAGTGACAAGGCATTGGCTGCTACATGAGCAGCAGTGTTTGAATGACCCAATCCAGAAGTTACAGCAGATGCTACCAAAGCCAATCCAGCAATAACAGCAGTTGCCCATCCCACGCCCTTTTGATCGACGGTCTGTCCGTTTGATAATTGAGCTTCGACACATGCCAAACTAACATCTGGATTCGCGGTACCATTGATAATAACTTTAACATTAGCATCCAAATCGGGTACTCCGTATGCGATTGATGGAATGCTATCGACTGTAGCTTGAGGAACAACAATGTTAGATTGAATATCGATTTGTCCAGTACTCATCGGGCAGAGTCCCGCGAATCCAGAAGTACATGGATCGATGACTTTAGTTAAAATGGGATATCCATAAGCCGTGACTTCGACATCGAAAGTGACATTCCCTTGAATAGAAGAAACACCCACTACATCGAACGTGAAGGTTAAATTCCCCGGGGTGAAGACGACATCGAATAAAGTTGCCGTAAAACTCGAATTATCCTGACAGGCGTTCAGGGACTTGGATTCAATTAATCGAGTTGATGCTGAAGCAGCAGAGAAAAGAGTAAGAAATGAAGTCAAAAGGACCCATGGTGTTGATGAGAACGTCGGTCGCATGTTGCAAAAAAGCGTATATTAAAAGGAGCCTATGAAGGCTTTAATGTAGAAGAATTGAATCCGTGACACCCCAAAGCCTTTTATTGTGCGAAGAGAAACCTTGTACCGAGTTATGAATCGTATTTCCTTCCCTTTCAATGTTTTCTTAATCGCAACCCCTTTGTATCTGTCCTTCCTTCGACGGGATAATTCAATCGATTGATCGCGTTGGTAGATATCGTAATAGATGTTTTAGGATTTTGGTTCGCCACTATTCTTTCTTCAATTCTTCCAAAAAGGCCGACAAAGATCAATTAATGAATCATTGACAGACTTGGAATGATTAGCGACCGTGGGTGATTTCGTAGATCCAGCTCACGAGGTTTTGTTAATAACGAGGGGAATGAATCTCTGCGAGAGAGATCAAATGACGAGGCTTGTTGAAGATTGGGAGAAATAACGAAAGGAGGTCGACGACTAGGTTTAGGGATGGATGGATCTGGGTCGGGTCTGTTGGTGGTCGTCGATTCGGAAGTTTTAGAAAAGGAGTAGAAGGGTATTTTTGGGGAGTGGTGATTGTTAGAAAAGGTTAAAAAGTAAAATGAAATGGAGGAGAGGCGGAGGAGGGATGGAGGCGGAGGCGTAGTAGGGTGTTCGTAGGTAGGTAGGTAGTGGTAGGTAGGTTTTCAAGGTTTAAAGGATTAAAGGTAAAGGGTATGGATGGATGGATGGATATCGGTGGGTGAATGATTATGTTATTCTTTTTACTCCTTCTCGTTTTAGCGGTTATTGTGACGAGTAGGAATTGTTGTTAGGGGAGGAATGAAGGGTCTGATACCCAATGGATTTAGGCCTTGCAGCTTTAAAATGCGTAATAATAGGGATGTGAATGAAGTATTCGTAAATTCGTGAAATTATTATACTGTGAATAATGATATGAGAATGATAATGATAGTGATAATTAGGGAGGTATAATCAATTATTTACTTGACGACAGAAGATCATTCAAGGAAAAGAATCAATCATGGATTGACTCACTGATTAACCAAGCTTCACTGATTGATTGAAAGTCCCTCGGGTTCTTGAGTTCTCACCAGTTGAGAGGGAGAGAGAGAGAGAAGTCGCTGCTCCAACGTACTCGTATAATCTCTCTCTTACTCGACAAGATTAGAGTGATTAATCAGAGGTGGCTGAGCGTAAGATGAGATGAGAGAGTATCGTCCGCCGTCTTGTGTGTTTGGAATGTTTAAAATTCGATTCGTATAGTGCCCAGGTGGTGTGAGGTTGAGTTATGAATGATGTTATGTATTGCATGAATAGCTATTGAAATGTACCGGACTTATGATCAAAATGAATTACCGGCCGGTATAAATTCAATAGGACTTTTTCTCAAGCAAACAGATCCCGTTTCCGGTTTCCGTACAATGGACCACAATCAGTTACTTTACTTTATCTTCCTTTTCTCTCTTCTCTCTTTTCCCTCTCTATTAGCTTTGAAGGTCAGTCCGTCCTCTTGGCTAGACCAGAACATCACCCTCGGAATATGGGGATTCTCTTAAATTCAAGACGCCAGGGGTTAAAATAAATCGGGGCAACAGTACATTCAATGGTTACTTGTAATAACTTCACAGGGGAAAATATGCAGAAAAACTCTGGGCGCATGGAGAACTTTGGGAAATGGAGAATTAAAAATGGATCCAAATGTATTTTGAATTTCATACATGTATGGATGAAGGTATGGATGGATGATGGATGGATGAATGTATGATGGATGGTTGACTTGGATATGAAGTTTATGGATGATTTATAAAGAGATCCATACCTCTCGTGAACTTGTCATTGTTTGAATGAATTTGGGATATGGAATGAAAATCTAATCAATGATTACGTGTATGTTTGTTTGAGTTTTCTCGACTAATTATAGATGGGGTCCAGTTCTCTTGTTATCTCAAACTAGGTAGGTATTCAGCCATCAGATATATATGAGTGGGTTCTTTTTACTTACTGAAAAACAACATAGAGAGTAATCGAACACTTCAGATGAGTGATTTCACGTTTATTGTACAGCTTAAGCTTCCAGCTTCCTTTCACATTGACTGAATCAGAGTCAAAATGCAAAAAGGATCAACTTATTTGCATATCAAAACCCTCAAATTTTAAAATAAACGAAACCTATGAATGAAATTATAAATGATCCATCCTTCATCATCTCATTTCATCCAATAACAGCCCAGCAATGTCTCTTAAATTCAAATAAACCCCTCGATACTTTTCTCGTATTAATCCGATCGCATCAAAACTTCCTTGTCCCTCATATCACTATGGACACCCCTCAATTTATCTTGGCATTTCTATGTACACCTGAGGAGGAGGTAATCATCACCAGTCATTCTACCTAGCATCTCATCATCTCATCATCTCATCATCTCATCATCTCATCATCTCATCATCTTGCATCTACCCACCTCAAAACCAGCTTCTTACCTTTTCAGCCTCTTGAATTTGCCAAAGCCGGATGATATGATCCTTACATCAAGTTCACCATGCAATGTTCATGTTCATGTTCAATGTTTCTAATCATCATGCAACGCCCATGCATCATGACATCCGTGCTGCACAGAGCTGTACTCCGTCCTCCGTGCTTTCTAGACCCGCACCCACAGCTCCTAAATAATATTAATGCACCAACCCAACAAGCCCCAATAAATACCATCAAAATATCTTGAATCCAAGAAATCAATTCAAGTACTCTGTATAAAAATGGTTCCAAGAATATGCAAGTCTTACTTACTTAATCAAATCCATACATACAGAGTAGAGTAACCTTACCATTCAAAAAAATGCCATGCCGTACCTACACAAAGAAAAATCATCCCGAACTCTTAATGTTACAGCACAGCCTCCTTACCATCATTCATTCATTCATTCATTCATTCATCCATCCATCCATCCAAGAATAGATTACTTAATATCATCTCAATGCGCCAATTTTGAGACATAATAAATGTCCACGAGTACGATGGACGGATGCCCATTCTTATACGGTTCAAAAGGTCAGTGATCCCACGAGGTCTGTTTTAGGTTTGGGCATGTTCTTATTTTGGGTCTTCTTTTGGGCTTTGTTGTTATTATCTTGGGATGGATTTGAGTTGAGGTATTTAGAAATGTCACTTGGAATGGAAAAATGTCCGATTTCAGAAAGATATTAGATAATCCATTGCCATTTGGAGAATTGGGAATTGAATGATAAGGTTGTTGTCTAGCTCCTCTAGGATGCTTCATCTTTCCCAAAAGCCCCCGGGTTTCTTATATCCGAGTATCAAAAATTAAATCGTGGTACAATTTGATATTGTTGCATCTATGCCATTGCTATCCCATCTATCCCCCAGCTAGCCCCCAGGATCTAACTTGTTTCGTCGCTATACTAGCAAAATTAACATAAACCTGCTCAAGACTCTATCCACCAGTAAGTATATGAATAATCAATCAACCATTTCTACAATTCCTCAAAAACAACACCCGCCAAATACTCCATAAAATATCAAAAAGTCCGCCAAACTAACCATTCTCTCCAACCTTATACCTACACTCAAATACAGCATCCATCCCCAACAACAAGATAATCACAACGCTTTCTTTCACTTCACCCCTGAGATCAGCAATAGATCAAACACCTCCCAAACCTTCTCGAACCCCCTCTCCAACTCCCATCTCATCTTCAACACAACTCTTGTATCAAACTCCCGTTCGAATTCGTTCATAAATCACCATTCCATTCAGACCCTCTATACTTATGATACATGCCACGAGGATATAGTATATTGTATATGTACCTTGTATCTTCCTCGTATCTGATCTTACAAAAATAAAATCATATATACCTAATATTCACCCGCCTAGTCAGCGACGGTACAGTAGAATCAAGTGATTGGGATAGGATTTGCGGGTGGGTAGAGTTTGGATCCTGTTTTTGTTTATTCATTTGTTTGTTTATTTGTTTATATATCTATTTCCCGATTCTGGTGTGAAGGAAGAGAGAAATATATATGTCGAGTAGTCGAGACTGATCTGGAGGTTTTACGAGGAATTTTATTTCCTTGTGCATCATTTGATAGGATAGATATATTGATTCAATATCATTGACCACCTGATAATAATCTCTCTCTATCTTCATCGTATTCTGACATATAGTTATAACTTATCTATCAATCGGGAATTTGGGATATTAGTTATTGGTCATATCTATCTATATTTCCATCTAGACTTTTTACAGGAACAGATTTTATCTTTCTGATGAAACATCACTTATTCCTCTCAATTGCTACTCTCAGAATACTTACTATATTCTTCATGTTTATAATACAAGGGATTGCACAATCTTCAATCTTCAATTCATATCCTCGTATTCATACTATACTCTATACTCCCCTTTCGTTGCGTCATCGAATTCTCGGTCAGAATTACCAGCATAAGCTTCTCGACTCATAGGTAACTAGTATCTACCCGTTGCAAGCTGATAAGCTAAAAAAAATTCCCGCCTCTTGTTTGCTTGTTTATTTATTTGATATTCATCTGAAAAATTGTATGCTTTTCCTAAACCCCCAGACTCTCTCTCATCCATTTTAATCTATGTAGTCAGTCATAAGTGCATACTTACCATAGTGACCCAAGAAACTGGCTGGCAAGGAAGCCTTGAGACTAGTTCAGACGCCCGAGGATGACATCCTAGCTATATACTAAAGCTCAACTATAAGCACATCGAATTCCTTACTTACTTCCTTCCAGCCGCAAGCTGTAGTTACTAGTTACAATCAAACAGCATTCTCTGCCGGAGCCCACAACCGGTATTGTATCCCGAATTTGGATAAGGCGGCATGTAACCGTCTTACTTTCGGGGAAGTCGAAAGGGGTATGTATCCACGATGAATATACATAAGAGTTATAGTTATACAATCTTACAATATTGTATCGATCAAACACAATTTCAATGCTAATTTAAACACCATTGATATTGGAAAGAAACCAAGTGAACCTCAATAGGAAAACTGTGCGGTTCTCAATTTAAGGACTAGCGGGCCTGCAAATAAACAATTATGAAATCGTCTCTTCTCGTTGCCATGGAAATGAGCACTTGCTGTAGCTGCCACTAAGTGTATAGCATTGATTATCCCAAAGACCTATTTCTCACAACGCAAACTGCGGATGTATTGGTGTTGATTTACAGGCATATATAACACTGTGGACGAGTATATCCCAATACGTTATTGAGCCTTTAATATTAAGTGAATGTTATATATATATACCATTACTACGATATGAATCCCTCTTTCATATCTCACTCTTTTATATATCCAACAACATTACTTCACTTAAGCACTACTGACTCGAACCTCCAGCCTGCTTATAATGGCAAGTAACAAGTGTTTACAAAGTGGTTCTATACATATTCCTTTGTATATACCCCAACATCCCCGAACCAGAATATCAATAAGCCCAATAAATCAAGAGCTCTATCTCAACTCCTCACTAAACTAGATATTAGAGTTTATACTTCATCTTGCTCATCTTGCTCATCTTCCCACATTTCAGAAACTGGGAGGTGAGAATGCGGATTTCCTAGGCAGTACGAGACTTCGCCCACCGCGGTGGATTATGAGAGGTATATTTCATGCATGGAAGGTTACAAGTGATGAGGTTGAATCTGATGATTATAGAGAGGTAGAGAGAAGAAGGTCAAAGTGAGTATTAGGATGTTTATTTAAAGATTAATTTATAAGTTTAGATTTGATATTAATTAAAGAAATTTTTTTTAAAAGAAAATTACTCGATCGATGAATTATAACGAAATCTTTAGATGTTTGTATGTAAGATTAAATATATATATAAAAATATAAAATTTATTTAGAATTTTTGTTTATTGTATGTATTTTTAAATTATTCATTATTATTCATTATTCTTAAATGTAATATAACCATCAAGAGTAATACGAAATAGGAGTTATTCAGTCCATCAAGAGCTGTAATAATATTAAGATCTTACCTCCATCATCCTTTCATCAAAAGCGAATGAGAGGAATCTGTCAAGATATATACAGAATGAAGTCTTCTTAGCGGCGATGCGGTCCGCCTTGTCCAAACTCGAAGCTGCAGTGCTAGAAATACTAATTATACAGCTAATATTTAGATATTTAGTAGCTAGCTATAGTAATCTTTATCGATAATCATTAAACCAAAAGACGTCAAGGAATTCGAAGAGAAAGGGGAAGCCAGGGATTTAACTACCTGTGGTAGTACTAGTGCATCATCATGATTCATTGTACTATTCAGTATCCAATGTTTAGTGTCCAAGGTCAGAAGAAGTATATCTTCACACAGAAGTCAAAACATATATATACCATACTAGCAGCAATATTCTTTCTACTTCCTTACTTGGAAATAAGCAGAATAAATAGATCTATTTCTAGTAAATAAAAGATGAAGCAAATAACTGTATATAATTAATAAACAAAACTTTGAAAAGCATCTAGTACCAGAACATCAAGTATACAAAAACTATTTGAATTTATCGGCCCTACCCAATACCAGTTAATATTGACCAACCTTATTTTATTTTATTGTAACATACAAAAATTAGTCGATATTAAGGACACTATATTTTACGACCAGACCGGCGGCATAGTTAGCCTCCCCGCTCAAGTATAGTCCATAATAAATTTCTTCCCGCCCTCTTGAATGATCAAAATGATACTTTTTTATCTTTCCATGATAACCAACATCTCAATACCAACCAGGTCTAGGAATAATACTTTATGTTAAGTTGTTAATGGTGTAGAGATCTAGAATTCCGTGTGATAATACGTAGGTGGACTTTTGAATAGGAATATAAACAACGAATGTATACGAGTAGAGATTTTCTGTTAGGGAAGCTTATATTAGCCAGTGATGATGTACATCTGATTGATATTGTATTTTAGGAAGACGCATAGAAAAAGAGTGGATATTCATCAGCATTGTATCAAGCATTACGAGGATCTGCAAAGCATGATCATCACAGCTCTATGGGAAGAAATTGTAAGCCGGTTGGTTGGTTGATTGATTAAGATCCAAGATTCAATGTCTAGGATCCAACGGCTATATCCTGATATGAGTGAAGTGTGAAATACATGTGATGAGTAGGCCCTTGAATAGCAATCTCTCCCTTCCTGTCGGACTGTTATCAGGGAGGAAATAAGTTCGATGCTTCTTTCTTGATATACTATAAATAGGGTAGGCAATACACATACAAACTTCCATATAGTAGTAGTAGTAAACTCATAATCGATTTGATCTAACTATAGCTAAGGCTATGTGGACCAACTTCCATATATATATATATATATATATCACATAAAATCCTCCTACAATTATTCTACATCATCAGAACATTAATAATCTTACTTTTCGAGCTCTTCACCTCTCCACACCCTCGAACCCCTCAATAATATCTATTATTCACATACACTTTCCAAATTTCCATATGGTATATATATATAACATATACCAACAAATAAACTACCTACTCACAAATACCGAGTTACCATCCACATCTAGCCATCCTCAGCACTCTATAAAAATCCAATAACCTATACAAGTGACCTATTTCATCTAACGTATCATCCCTACCTAATATCACATCCGCCGCTCATCCCATCTCCATCGAATTCTTAAAAACAATATATATATATAAACAAACAATTATTGATAGACAGATGTAGAGCTACTACAATTAATACATAAGAATAAACCAAATTTCTGAAATTAGCCTCTCAAACTATACTATCTATTTTCTCATACAAGTCATCCACCTCACTAACCTTATCCCGCGTCTTTAAATTCCAGACATCAATTAAACCCAAAAAATCAATCCACATCCACATCCACATTCCTCCCCTTTCCTCTCTAGTCTCTAACAATCACCTCAAAATATCCCATTTCAAAACGCCGCCCTCAACTCGCCCCTCCTCTCAAACCCAAAAAGTAAAACCAAAAACAAATCAAATATATTCCGAATCCGGGAATCGAACCCGGGGCTACTCGGTTCATATAAGATGAAAGCGAGTTATGTTAACCCCTACACTAATTCGGATGTTATTACTTAATTTTTAATGTTGGAGAAGGTGGGGTTTGTATATATATTTGGATTTGTGGAGTGGGGCTGGCTGCTTGGGATGTGATGTGGAGTAAGCTTGAGGTGGCGAATGAATGAATAGACACAGCAGTTGTGATGGGAAAGAGAATCAATGAAGACAGGGAAACAATGAACAATGTACTCTACTCCGTACTAAAACAAGAAATCGGTAATTTACTAATCAGAAATCAATGAATATAATTTTCTATATATATTTCATTCATCAACCTTCTCTCATTTTATTTTATATAATACAATATCTTATTTCATAAAAAACAAGTATTTGTTTTCTTGTTTCCCTCAAAAACTCCTTGGATATCGCTTATTTCCTTTTCCCCTTTTAGGTTTTCCTCTTCCCGTCTAAATATTATTTCATCCCTTCTGTATGAACTTTATCTCTCTTCTTTCCATCACCCATCATTCATCCTTTTAACCCATTATAAAATATTAACATCTGCCCAGGCTGAAAGTGTCTACCACCTCTCATTCGTGAAATCATAATCCGTCAACTTCATGCCCATTTCCCGCTCACATCAAATCCTAACCTCCTCACCCTTCTCCCTTCCATTAACATCCCTATCAACTTCCCCATTCCCACTCACACTTTCACTCCCTGCCTCCTCTTCATCCCTTGGTCTCTGCTGTACCGGAAAAACCGGTGCAAATTTACTCTTTCTCCTAATCCTCTCCCCATAAATATAAAAACAAACTGGTATCGGTACCAACACTAATGCTACACAACCCAATAATGTACCCGCCCAATTAATTCCCAAAGACTTAAACATATATTGTGAGAATAGAGGAAATCCAGCTCCTGCCAATGATCTCAAGAATGTATTTGCTGCAATAGCTGAAGCAGCAAACATAAGATATGCATCGACAAGATAATTAAGACTTTGAAGAAAAATTGCCAAAAGTCCAAAACCTGTTAAAAGGCCAGAAAGTGTAGGAACAATCCAATGAATATCAGCTCTATAACCTGACCAACCAAACCAAAAAAGCCCCGCTGCGAAACTTATACCTCCTGCGATCACGGGTGGAAGACGCCATTCAGGAATTGGGATACCGTTATTTGCTGCGAGTTTTCGATTATATGATGGTTGAGTTGAAGCGACATAAATACCGGCGATTATCATTCCAATGATCATACCAAAGTATGGAAGACCACCTACACCACCAGTAAAACCATGGATTTGTTGAAAGACGATTGGATAAGCTGTGAGAAATAGATAAAGGAGACCGTAGATAAATGCCATGTAGATAGAAAGAAGAAGAACGATAGGTTCCGTAGCTAAAAGTCTTAGAGGACGAGAGAAATTCTTAGTGATTAATTCACGGAAATCGATCTCAATTTCTTCTTGTTTAGCGTGAATTCCCCAATTCTTTGTTCTTCTTCTGAGTTCTGCTGCTTTTTCGATCAAGATAATTGGTGGATATGTTTCGGAAAGGAAGAGGAAATCCAAGATGAATGCCGTGAAACCCATTATAGCAGCTAACCATTCAGTCCAGCGCCATCCGAGATGAGATTCTACTATGAATCCACCAATAAAAGGGGCGAGAAGTGGACCAGTAAAGACGGTCATGGAAAAGACAGTAATAGCAAGTCCTCTCGTTTTATTATCGAACATATCCGAAAAAACCGCAGCAACAACTGCTAAAGGGGCTGCACCAAAAATACCTAATCATCAAATGAATTAGAATATGCCAAATTATCAAGCGAAAAAAGGTATACATACCTCCCCAAAATCTACAAATCAAAATTGTTTGTAAATCCTTCGCAGCAGCAACTGCAACCTGAAAGACAGAAAATCCAAACATAGATAGAACAATTGGTAACCTTCTTCCCTTCAATTCTGATAATGGAGCCCATAAAATAGGTCCAAAAGCGAACCCTAAAACATAAAACGATAATCCTAATATTCCAACTTCAGTTGAAACATTGTATTGTGCAGCTACCACTCTAGTAGCTGTTGAAAAAATGCTCGATGTAAATGCTGATACTAATGTTGTATATCCTAACATTACTGCTGTGAGGATCCTATTGAAAAGTCATTAGGTTTGTTCTCATTGAAGTACTAGGAACTACTCACTTCTTCCTCATCGGCCAATTAACCGCATGCAGTGGATCATCCGGACCATCAAACTCCACTACGTATTCCTCTCGAGCAGGCAATGCAGGTGGATAATCCTTTCCTAATCCCATCGAAGGTAATGGCTTCTCTTTTGTACTGAATATCCTTCCAATCTTACTACTCTTCTTAGAAACACTTCTTCCTACGGTCCCTGAATGTTGCGAACGTGCAGTTTGAATCCGAGATATCACAGTTGGATGAGTTTCTAAATCGCGTTGAGTGGGAGCTCGAGAAATTGTAGGACGACGTGAGGATGCATCGGATGAAGTGGTCGAGATAGAGGATGCGGTTGGAATACGTTCAATTTCGTGGGAGGGGTGGCGAGGTACAGGGGAATGAATTGGTGATTCGACGGAAAATCGTTCTGGTGAAGCATCATGCTCAGCGCGCACTAGTTCTCGATCCGCCTCATTCATGGCTGTGATTTTGTGGTTTCTCTCAATTGATAGTTGTGGTTGTGGTTGTGGTTGTGGTTGTAATTGTGTTTATAGTTCTCGAGGTATGGAGAGATGAGCTTATCAGACTTCAACTAGTCTAGATCCTTAACAATGGTGACCTCAGTATTTAATTAAGATGGATATTTCATATGAATGAATGAAGAAATGAAAATTAAGACAAGAGAAACAAAGGGAACAACAGATATTTATTCAATTGAAAAAAATGATTACTCGGAGAATAAAAATATCTTCACTACCTACTATTGCACAAAACCTGTCGTGAGATATTCCCTAGCTTGGTAATGTTGGTAATGGAGAAAAAGAACCCAGCTAAACTCCTAACCTTAAATCCTTAAACCGAACGAATCTTTTGCTCCATCTCCATATCCGGTAAAGTCAGTTTTGTGCCCACGAGGCGCCAGATCCACATAACCCACCATTACCCTGGGTATATATGAACGGGTTTTGATGGACCGTCTGGCTGGGCCTGTCAAAAGCCATTCAGAACCTTGTAGGGTTGAAGAGTTGATGTTTACTGAACACTGTTCAGTAACCAGACATCCCTCTAAAATCTTTGTTCTCCTCCCGAATCTATTTCTCATATTAATCACTTGAATTCATGCTACGGGGTACACTAGGAAAGCTCATATCAGTTGCCATCATACGAATATATTTAAATGGCATACTGCGTAAATTCCTTACAAATAAGGATTGCTAAGGTCTAGGCTTATTCATCAAAACCTTACCTAAGTAGTTTACAATATGCTTATGTAGGTATGTTGTACTGTGACATGAGGTGTACGGACTTAACGCTTTTTCTTTCGCTTTTCTCTGGGATTCAGAGTTTAGATAGAATGATATGTAATAGTCATCCGGTGTTTACTCTTCTCGCTCTTGCGTACACATCCATCGTTTCAGCTCTTACATACTCTTCTCATCACTCTTCTCATCATCATACCACTTTTCCTACTGTCTTCCTTCTCTTATCCAGCCTTCCCATATACATATACCTCCCCTTTTACTTATTTCCTCTTTCTTCTCACCCTTCTCTCGCCCCTGAAAATCACCGAGCCCTTTCCGTCCCATCTACCACCATCATCATCACCAATCCATAACTCTTAAATGCCGCTCTGTTCCGCTCCGATCCGATCCGAATCGGGTAGCGCAGTACGTACATACCTAGGTGTCTACAGAATCCAGCCCAGCCTAGACGATCCCCCGTGCAGCCAGCCCAAAACCGCCCAGTCGGCTATCGGCATATAAACATTTTGAAAACTATGAGCCGATCTAGCTGTACCCACTATCCCGGGAACCTAACTTTTCAACAACGGAAAATTAAGTTTTAACCTCCCAAACCTTAACAGAGATAAGAAACTCAAAAGCGTCATAAAAATGACACAAGTGGCGCTTATATTTATCAAACTACCCTTCCCCTTCTCCCTTCTCTGCTCCTTGACACTATACTCCATACTCCACCACCCATAACATATCTATCTCATCTCCCACATCCCCCATCTCATCTCCCATCTCATCTTCCGCCCCAATCCCCCATCCTCAAAAACCACCTAACCAAACGCCTACCAGTAACCAAACACCCCACCGCTCTCCCCGGCTAAACCAGGTTATCAACGGCTATATATATTCTACACTATATATTACATACTCCACACACCAGCACAATGCCACAATCTAAATTATTTCATTTAAATTAAATTCAATCCTTTATAAATTATAATGCTTTTTTTTTCTTTTCTCAAATTCTCCAATTATAAATTTTTCGAACGACTCGAAGGAAGGAAAGGGAGTTTGAGATAATTGAGACGTGAGTATTTTGATACGTGCTAGGTTCCATTCCTAGCGAGATCAAAAATCGAAATTCAGGAGAATAATATGTAGAGATAAATAGTGCTGTAATTTCAAATCATATTCCATCATATCACAACCACGTTAATAAATCAACTATGAGTTTTATATGTTTTAATTTCTTCTCATCTCATCTCTAATTTGTAACTTTGTTCTACAACTACAATACACCTACTATCTTATCTGCCTTGTATTGCCTTGGCACAACCACTTGATATAAAACCTGCATCTTCATCTTCATCTATATCGCTATAATGTGTTTTCCATTTTTCCCTTTCCAATGCCAATCTCCACTTTCCCTCCTCAATCATTGCCATGCCAATACATCAACTACTCTTCTCAATCACCCCTCTTCAAAACACCAAGTTCAAAACGCCCATAGAATAACACACCGTGGAATCTTCCTTATACTGACATAGCTCGCTTTCATTTGCCACACGAGAAACAAGAAAAGCCGTGGTGAAAACACTATAAGAAACGCTCATGTCAACAACTATGCAACCGGTCCAAAGAAAAATGCCCAATTCCTATTAACGCCTTGCTTGAATATAAACAAACACTATTTGCGCCTTCCATGAAAAATAAACATGACAAAATCATGTAAAAGTTAGAACTGGAGTCCAACATCCCATTCCCTGCATTGCCCCTTCAAGGCATGATACTGAAAAAATCTCAAATATTGTAATAATGGGTTGAAAATGCAATTTCCGTTCGCCATCGTGGTATCGTAGTTTATCATAGCTCCATAGCAGGATCAGCTTCTGAGACCTCTTCAATCATTTCATCTGCCTCTGCCACTTCTTCAACTGCAGGATCATCAACACCCTCAAGATCTGCATCAGCTTGTGTCATCCCATTCTGACGCTCCCAAACCTCTCTTCTAATCCGCGCGTCTTTTGCAATTCTTTGTCTTTCGACTTCCTCAAAGCCTCCAGATTTCTTCAATTTTCCTTCTTCAACGAATTGGGTCAACTCCTTTTGAAGCACGTTGCCTCTACGACCTTCAAGTTCCTTTTGACGAAGCTTTTCTGCACGCTCGATAGCTTCAAGGCGATTCTCGTGGTTTGGTTGTAAGGCACGAACTTCGTCAAGAACACCTTCTTTTGCCATAGCAGGATCAATTGGATCAATACGGTTAAGCTTAGAAAGACTTCGACCAGTACCAACTTGACTTGGAGATCCATCCTTCAATTGTTCCTTGGTAGCTTGTTCCACAAGTGCAAAGGTTTGTGCTGCCTTCTCCAGATCATCTTGAAGATCTGCTGCAAGATCTTCTTGCATAGTAATCTCTTCACGATCATTACAGACTGTCTCTAATTCCTTCTCCCAAATCTTTGTCCAAATCGGTCTCTCACGTTTCAAGAAATCTTGCATCCTCTTGAGTTCCATCGTAGCCTGTGAGATATCCTTGGCAACAGTCTCCAATTGCTTAGGAAGAGGTCGTACACCACGTTGTACAACATCCTTTCTTAAATCTTCAACAATATCTTGAAGATCATCAACTTGCGCAACCAATTTATCGGAATCTTCGCTGAGGTTCTTCTTTCCACCATTGACATAAGAACGTCCAGAATCACCATTGATATCTGGAATAGCAGCTTTAACAGCAACGCTTTTGATAGAGCTAGCCTTCGAGCGAATCAGAGCCATGGAACTTTGAATGTCAGATTGGAAGCTAGAATATGTTTGTCGGACTACCGCAAGATCACGACGAAGGCTCTGAATTTCAGTAAGTTGCGCTTGACCATTGGCTTTTGAGGGGCTAAAGTTATTGCCATTGGTGAGTCGTACAGTATCGATCATTGAAACTCTTGAAGAGACAGGTGGTGCAGAAGCAATTCGAGCCATTTCTTTTGCAGCATCTTGTTGACGATCTGAGACTCTCTGGATGGTAACTTGCTGATCATCAACTGCTGTTTTGACACTCTCAACCATTTTCTTCAATCCTCCTAAACTATCATCAATGTGTCGCTTGACCTCATCTAGTACCTCCACATTTAATACAAGTACAGAACGATCTTTGATATCATGAAGATCTTCCAGTTCATGACGAACACCAGATACTGGATCCTGTATATATATCTCAGGTAGATCAACCCCATTATTATGAGTATTCCAGGCGAACTTCTCAATGAAAGCCAGCTGTAATCTTGCCATGGATAAATCCTTGTACCCGTCAGCAAGGACAAACTTCTTGACCTTGGTTTTGTATTGTAGGAAAATTGTAATTTCCTTATCCGGTGGAGGTGGTGATCCTTCAGGTGTATACTGTCTTGCTTGACTACCGTAACTGGGACTTTCTCTTTTGCTGGCAGATCTCTTGTGTACGGGAGCTTGGGGAGGTTCAGTTGCAGCCTTATCTTGATCTTGATCTTGATCATCAAAGTTTGGAAGCACATCAGAAGTTGGCCCATTGAGACTTGAACTTGGTCCATCATAATCAATAAAAGGTTTTTTTGACTTCTCTTCTGATATCTTTGGTGTTGGGCTGCCACTTGAAGGTGGTTCGTCTGGCTGCTGAAATGAGGTCTCTTGGCTCTCCTCTGCGATCACACTTGGCTTTCGAACTGGAGATGCGTCATTTTGAATTAATCGGGAATTTGTTCGACCAAGACGGTGATCACGATTTTGAACAGCTCTCAAAGATTCTCGAGCATCATTGCGCCCTCTGTTTGGTATTGGCGAATTCTGTGGAACGGGAAGCATTGGAACTCCATTTGGAGATGCACCAACAAGTTTTGAGATTTGGTAAGCGGAATAACGCCTCGAGGCTCTTCTTTCCAAATCCCCACCTCTTTGTAGAGCTACCAACGCAGCATTTGTCTTCGGTGGCGGAGGTGGTGGTGGAAAATTGTCGACAGTCAAATGATCAGTATCATTTGGACGTGGCATTGGCACAGTGACTTCATCTCCAGGATAAGGTGGCACAACAGGAATGCTCTGCATAGTCGTGCTTGACAGTGTAGATTGATCTGAAGATACTGAGCCTCGAGATGAGTCTCTTGGTGGAGGAGCAGCTCTTCTACTTGATGATCCTGAGGCTGATGACATTCGTGGAGGTATGGTGGAGTCAGCCGTGGACTGTCCTTTGCTTCCTCGGTCATTTGTCGAACCTGGGTCTCCTTGAAAATTATCTTCCAACCCTTGATTGAGCAGTGTGGTCAATCCAGTACTGTTACTGGCAATGCTACTGAAGCTTCCATTCCTAGGTATGGTATCTCCATTTTGTGTTCCGCTATCTCTCCTTGTTTTGCCGCAATTTCTGCTGCTTTCGCTTTAACCCGTGAAGAAGGGTGATGATTATATCTCTGATTCGAGGCAAGTATCTTTCCAAGCTCTCGACGCTGGCTTCTTGGCTGAGTGTTGATTCCAATATATGTCGAAGTAACTCCGGTACATTTCCTAAATCCGAAGTATCAACATTGATTGCAGTAAATGCCCTACAAGCAATATTGAACTCATATCCCAAGCGCACATAAACATCTGAAACTTGTGCATCGGTTGCTTGATGCCGAGACCATTGTGTAAGGGTTTCCAGGAGTTGCTTTGTGGCGACCAGAAGATGTGTTACACTCCTTTCGATCTGAGATAATGGTGGGGCATGTTGACCACTTTGACTACCACTGCTTGTCGGAGGTTGACCACCCTACCAGAAAACGATATTAGCACAGGATTCTATTTGAGAAATCATTGTCGCAATTGTGGATAAGATATTCCAAGCGGATCGCATCACTCACATTTTGTCTTCTTCCCGAATGATTGCTTTGAACAGATCTGGTTGAAGCAGTTGAATTCCTCGGCTGAGGACCCAAACTTGGAGATATAGACCTAGCAGATATTGTAGGTGGTGGTCCAGGTGAATCTGATGCCGGAGATCGTCTTTGAACAGGTCGTTGAGGTGCTTGCATTTCTGCGACCGGTCTATTTACTGATATCCTGTGGAGAGTTGAAAGGAGGATTTAGCAAAGAGTCAGCGCCCCATGCACAGTTCGTATGTATCTTAGAGTCACCAATGTTGTTCCGAACTTTCAATGCCAATAAGCGCGGTCGTATGAGGATTAGGATGGAGAAGAATTTCGCAGCAAATACGTTAATCCTTTTAGTTGCAGTAAAAGTATTGTATCGGTTCGAATCAATTCAATCTACACGGCAGGTAAGTGCCTCATGCAAGTGTGCCAGATTACGCTAGTTATTAGCCGAAAAGTTTTAATCAGGTGGTGAAACCTTCTGGCTGGGGAAAGTCTGAGTGGCCCGAGCTCTTGTAGAAAGATTTACAGTACCTTACCTATCCACGGATTATATAATGTTGAAGGGTTGGGTTGAATGGTTGTCAAGTGGAAATTTGGAGAGAATGTGAATGTAAGGAGTAGGTAAATGAGATTACCTAAAAAGTATTGCAGTATCAACTTGACACAGAAATTTGTCTACCATACAAAGAAGCTTGATGTTGTAGTCCACTGTCCATTTGGATTTCCATTTTCAGACATCTATAAAACAAGGACCACCCTTGCCATTTCCATTTCGTTCATTTTACGAAACATTTTATATTACCAGACCAACCTCTTGATTTTGATAACAATAATGATTACATTTGAAGAAAGAGTGCTTTCTCGTAGATGCAAAAACTGTTCCTACATGTATAGTGAGTGAAGATATTGAGAAGAAGGAGTCATACATTCTCAAAGGCTTGATTGGCTACACCCGTTTCCCTTGAGCGAAACAAACAGCCTACAAAGGTGACCATCGTCATATCACTTGGTCAGATCACTTCTCAATGTTCAACAAATAAGAGAGATTCTCGGATTCGAATTTACCACCTGAAGCTACTCAAGCACCGGTAGTTATGTGATGCTAACCAAGGAAAATCTAGATCCATACCCACAAGCAAGGCATGAGGTATCAGATGGCACTGCACCCGAGCAACAATTCGGATATTTTTCATACCGCGCGGCAATGACAGTTATTCAACAAACTCAATTCCATTTAGGTCGCATCGCAAGATCATGGAGGAATGCAAACCTTCCTTTGATTGGCTCATAAGTCGAATCCCAGTGCAAATGAAGATATTCAAAGGAAAAGAAGTGTACGAATACATCTGGCATGTCTCAACATTTTTACAAAATATTCATTGATCTTGATAGATTGATTAATTCGATTAGAACCTAGATATTGATTCCGGATGTTGGACCTTTCTCAAGTTGACTCTTCCCTTCTTACCTCCACAATGTCATCTAAGACCTTTGTTGTGTGGTTGAGTTCCAAACCATCATAAGTCCGTCCCACTGAATTGTACGTGGGAGGAGATAAAATCCAAAAAAAAGTCCGGTCGCACTCGATTATTCCGTGCAGGTGTTCCAACTCATGTAGGGAGGGATTCGAAGCTCAGACCTGTGCTAACTTATTACATACGTTCAAGTATCTGTGAAAGCGCTCGGGACGTTGAAGAGGAGGATGGGGAATAATCAAAAAGGTTTGGATCGCCCTTGTTAGGAACAGGACCATTTTAATGAAGGAAGCGCCCTCGACTTTATTATAGAAATGTGAAAATCCCATTATTAAAGAGCTTGAGTTGGATTCGAATAAGTCATTGTTGGATATCCGATGGACTTTAGATTTCGCAGCTTTATAGGTCATTCCCTCCTTTCCAATACCTCGTTAATTTCTCAACGTAGAATGTATATGTAAGATACTATATACGCTTCTTAATACCTCTATATACAGGATCCCTCGAAATAAATATAGAACATACACTATCCATTATTAACCTCATCGGCTTTTATATGCAAGTAAGCCTGCACATCGAGGAAGATTATTGTACAATTGTTACAGTACATCTCATACCAAGATCAAAGGATGTTCGTATATGTGACCGACCCGAGAGGCCTCAATGAGCATTTCCTTCCCCCTTATTGAATCAGATTATTGAATTCACATATTTACATTTATCTTACTTTACCCAGCCTAACCAGAAAGCCTCTCTTATTAGTTTACTCCTCATTACTACTCAAATAGGTAGCTGATACTTTATTTCTTCTCCCTTCCACATTAGAAGAAACAAGACTCCATCCGATAATCACCCCTCCCAGATTGACACATTTCCCAGAGATCTGATCTCATGTGGCCGTAATATCTACAAGGCGCACAATTAAAATACCATCAAACCCCCATAAACCCCCATTTGGATTAATGCTCCCGTCCATCGACACTAGGATACCGTATCAACCGTATCTACCGACATCCCCGAGGTATTAATAGCATGGAAGTAGGAGGAGAAGGGAGAAGGCTCTATGATTAATGAAATCTGATGGATTTTTCTATCACGGTACAGCGAACTACCTTGTTAGCATCAAAGAAATAGATCAGTAGCTAAACACAACAAACTAATAACTACTGTACTGTTCTAGCTATGTACTAGATTATTATTTTGCTCCGATAATAGGTACCTAGTATCGAACTTGTATACGGTGGGCGATATCTGACAATTGGGAAAGCAAGCATTTCAACGGGGTTATCATCATTATCAAAATCATAATCATTTAATTCACCTGTCAACGTCAACTTCTTTCCTGATCTCTATCCAGCCTCCGCCTCTTCCTCCTCTTCTCTTCTTCAACCTATAAAAAAGTAACTTCTTTCTCTCTTTTACTACATGAAATTTCATGGATAATAGAAGTCCATACTACTGTTAATAAGGTCGAGAAAACCCACCAGGTACATTCATAACTGACAACCACCACCAAATCCGATACGATCGATTAACCACGATCTATCTCAACAACTTCTTTCTCTCTCTTAATCTGTTTTTAAAGACCCAAATACTTTATCATTTTTTCTCCTCATATTCCATAGGATAGAGGAGTAGGAATAGGAATACCTTCTATTGTCTCTCCTCTCCTCTCTTCTACCTCTTCTCTTCTCCCTCTTTTAATAATTCTTGTGCTTGGACAACCTAGAAGCTTACCTACCTAGTCCGAAAAAGAAATCCACGCTATTCTTGACAAGCCAAAATACCCCATTCGCTTGACTGCATCATTATTACCTACACTCCAACCAACATCCACCTCCGAACCTCTTCAGAAATTCTAATAATTTCCCCTCTTCTCAAGGATCATCACAACCCAACACACTCATAACTTTCAAAAATTAGCTGATCTGTTACGATATACTGTAATCATTTTCAGCGATTGCGAAAGGGAGAGCAGTGGAGGTCTCTTTTTTTTTAAACAATAACTTTCTATCCGAGGTGAGACAAAATGTCCTGACTGCACTTTACAACAACAACAACAAGAACCCAGCCTTTCTTTTTGACACGATTAAGCTTGGAGCTTTCGCAATGAACTAAACCACCACATCACAATTCAGTCTTTGGCCTGCAACTGTGCATGACTTTGTATTCATGCTAATCACATTCCTTTCAAATAGAAATTTATTCTTGACTTGGGTCGATTCCGGTATTGAGACCCCAGATTCATCAAGAGTCTCCCAGCCTTGACGGACGCACACCTTGGCGCGATTTTAGAGATCAAAGGAAGGGGTGTGTTTGGAGATTTCTATTTACGTGGTACGTACTTTTAATTTTCCCCTCCTGAATTCTTCCAGCGTTGCTCATTTCTTTAAATCATTCAATGATTGACCGCATGGTCGATTGAGTAATTGCGCATTCATTGTGCGTTGTGTAACCCAATGCCGAATCAGACTCAACTTGGCTTGATCTTCACCTTCAATTTTCATTCACCCGGAATTTATACTAATACATTCTTCTTACTCAGATATTCCTCCTAGTAAATCACACACAGACAACTATAAAGTTCAATAAAATCGATATCCATTTGGTTGTAAGTTGTTGAACATGGTACAACAAGGAAAAAAGGGTAACGACCTTGCCAACGGCGGCACAAAGTATAGAGAGCAATCAGCAACCATGACCTCGCAAAGAAGAGATGTGGGAGATGCTCGAGGAAATGGTATGGGAAAGGCGGATGGCAGATCGCAAAATGGTTCGTCACTCTATACCCAACCAATGACATCACAAAATCTAACCTTTTCAGGCAACTCAAGTTTCTTTCGTACAGATGCTGCGATTTCCGGCAACCGAAACCAAGGAGAGCGTGTATTGCAAAAATGGGTTCCTGATAAACCCTCTGATACCGATGGCTCCTTGGAAGGAGGTCGAGGAGGAAGAGTTGCTCCTTGGGATCAGTTTGCAGAGAATGAGCGACGATTCGGCTTGAAGACAGATTATGATGAGAACATTTACACAACTCAGATCAACACAAACCATCCGCATTACGCGCAGAGACTTGCCGAAGCAGATAGGAAGGCTAGAGAAATTGAACGTAGCACAGCCATGAACTCTCATGTTGCAGAGGAACGCATTGCGGATCACATCGGGTCGAATGAAAATGGACTTGACGAAGAAGACAAGTAAGTTTTTTGGGGGGATTCTTTTATCTTACAAACAATGCTAATACTTAGGTAGATACAGTGGTGTTCGCAGACAACAGGATTTCCCACCCCTTACCTCGTCGAAAGGTGCATATCAACCACCTGGAAAGCGTGCTCCTGTCGATCGAACTCCTGTTGAACGTGCTCCTGTTGTTGATCGTGCACCCGCAGCTGCCGCAGTTGCTGCACCCGCGGATCGTGGCCTTGTTGATTCGGCCATCATGTTTGCTGGTGCGAAAGCCGATAAACCCGCAGATAAGGTAAAACCAGCTGCAGCTCCAGCTCCGAAGTCAGCAAAAACAGAGGTGGCTACTCCACCTACTACCACCGAGTCGAGCACCACTCCTACTCCCGAGCTTAAGGTGTCTGCGGCTCCTTCTGCAAGTCGCACAGCCTCCCCGCAGGTCAAGACTACTGGTGGACCCAATGCTACGGCAACTGTTGAGGCCGATGTATCTAAGGCTTTCAGGACCTTTGCTGCTAATCAGCGAAACAATATTCAGCAAATTCGCATGAATAAAGCCAAAAATGACAAGCAAATCAAACTCAATGACTTGAAGAGATTTGCGATCGATTTCAAGTTGAACACTCCAGTTCCATCAGATCTTGTTCCTATCATTGCCAAGGATCCTGCGAAGCAAAAAGCAATCCAGGAGAAAGCACAACGCAATGCTGAAGAAGCGAAGCTGCATCCTGCTGATTCGGTCAAGCCAATTACACCAGCTACTGATGGGAACGCTGCACAACATTCAGCTACTACAACCACTCCCCATACTACATCACCACCGGCCGCTACACCTAGTCGCCAAAATGTTAATCGTGGTCCTTATCCTCAAGGTAGTCACAGTTTTACGCAAAATTCTCGAGGCGATAGACCTGTTCAAGCGCAGCAGACCATGCCCCGAAGCGGCACAGCCGGAAATTTGGCCCAACGATTAAGAACCCTCGAACAGAATAGGCCCTCTCAAGTACCATCGAATGTGATGCCAGCTCATGAGGCTAGACTTCCTCCCACCGGCCCCTCGAACGCCGTTGACCCGAACTTCTCCCGTCGCTCAAGTGGTGTAGCAAGTGCTCAAGGTGGTCCAAGATTGAACGCCAGCGTCAGCGAATTTCGCCCAAATGCATTTGCAAAAGACTTTAGTCCGGCTGGTAACCCAAGCAGTGGTTCAAGTCCTCGTTCAATGGCCAACGCCCCAGAGGCTCAATCTACAACACCCGTCGCACGTTCTTTGATTCGTCGTAAGCCATTGGCAAAGAGTGCTCGCCCTTCACTCCAAGGTAAATATGATGCAATGGAGCTCATTAAGACTCTCAAGCCAGGTGATGGAAAGAACTGGAGCGCAAATGGTGGTTTAAAGCCAGCCTACGATACCCATTTGTTATGGAAGCTGAGTGCCAACGGTGCTCCTACGGAGTCTTACGTCCAAATCTTCGAAAAGGCACCATTCCCTACTACAACACCAGTTGTATCAGAGCCTCACCCACCACAGGCAGCTCCACAAGTACCACATCAACATCAATTACCATTCCACCTTCAATCTGGTGTGCACAACATTAATGCTAGGCAATCCCCACGTCAACCGCCAATCAACATGCATGGAGCTCAAATGGGACACCCCACACCAACTTTCAGTGGTCCTGATGAAATGCGCATGATGCCATCGCACTCTGCACAATCTTTCTCATCTCCAAGAATGCAACAACTACCAATGGCATTCCATTCTCCAATGGGTGCAAATGCTCAATTAGCCTATAACCCACAGATGGTACCTTACCCAGGTGCACCTCAAATGCAACCATTCAGATCCCTTTCTCAAAGCCATCAATTCATGCCACAGCAGGGTCATATGGGTCAACCAGTTATGATGCCTAACCCAGCAGGTGGGTTTTTGCCTCCACAAGGAATGGCACCCGGTCCACAAATGATGTACCCACCTGGTGCGCAAGGTCAATTTATGCCACCAAATAATGGTCATCCTCCAGCTATGCCAAATGGCGGTTATCCAAGTCCTGGTCGAGGTGCTCCAATGATGATGAATCAAGGTTCTCAGCAAGGTCATCCACAACCTATGTATGGTATGAGTCCAGGTCCTCAATACGGCAATGTAGCACCGGTTTTCCCTCAACCAATTCCAAATCAAAGTAAGTTCAATATTCCAGAAAATGTTGCAATGGATTCTAATACAACAATAGTGCCAATGCGAGGTAGTTATGGAGGACCAAACCCATACGCTACAAGCCCTCAAAATCTTCAAGGAGGCCCAAGAAATCAATATAACCCAAATTCATCGGATTACATTAACAAACCAAACTACCGACATAGTCAACACTCACATGGCCCACCAAACAATCAAGTTCCAACTGGTCCTCAAGCTCAAGCTACCGTTGGAGCTGATGAGAGTAAATGAGCTAAAATGCTCTGACTTTCGAAAATATATTCATCACGTCGATGCTTCAGCATCATGCATTTTGATAAAATGGAGGAGAACAGCATCAAGTCTATGATCTTTTATTGTCGCATCTTTAGAGTGATTGCATCAATATAGTTCATCGGACCTTATTTGGATCATTGACATCGATAATCCAGAGATCAAAGCAATTGGATCCATTTCACCAATTTGATCTCAAATCAATGGTGGTTAGTTGGTACAAATTTATTTTTTGCTTAGCTGTCTGATATGGAGGAATTTATACTGCCGTTGAGATGTATATCTGATATTTGTATCAGAAGATTGGCCCGGAAGGATGGATTCGACTCGACTGCTATCAAGCTTATTGGGGGATCTGCAACCCAACTGTACAGCGGGGTGGAAGGGAGGAAACCATTGCAGGATTGTTTTCTTCAAGTAGAAACATTCATCAAGCATATGGTAAGCTGGCCAGACTAGCAGATGCGATATTCCATCAATTAGAGAGGCTTGATAAAATGTATTCATTAATATGATGGAGGAATGAATTGGCAAAGGCTTTTAGCTGACGGGTAGAAGATGATCCTTTTCTATCCATCACTTTTATGTATCCTACATAGCTTTAGGTCTATAAGCGTAAGAATCTTTCCATCATATGGTTTCTGTCTTTGGATGTGAATCGATGCGGCGTTCTTGAATATAATTCCTTGTGCCATTTCCTAACACCAGTTCCATTCCCTTTGCAAACGCCTGCGCCATACCCATGAAATTCGCCTTTTCGCTTTTGTTATCAAAACTTTTGAAAAAACTGTAGCAGCGCAATATGAGTAAATGAATTTCTCACTTCCTCTTACCACTCGCTCACTCACTCACTCACCAACTCATCCATCACCCCGAATCAGAATCAGAATCAGAATCCGAATCCGAATCCGAATCAATAGGTGCATCTAACCCAGCAGCTTCTTCACTAGGTAATTGACGTGGAAACCATCCGTAGGTGGTGAGGGATATGGTTAATTCGCCTACTGTTTTGTGAGGAGGCGGGCGGGGTGTTAGTTGAATTTTGGGGTTTGGTTTTGGGCTTTGGGGAGGGAGAGGGAGAGGGAGGAAAGGGAAAACTTACGAGATCCGGTTGTGATGGTTATGCCTTCGGTTTGGAGGACTGTTGCTTGGGCTTGAGCGCTGGAGGGTGGGTTCTTTGGGGTGGGACGGTGTCAGTTGGGGATTTGGTTTGGGGCAGTCGAGGGTTGGGGAGTTGGGGGTTGGGGTTGGAGGGTTTGGAGGGGGGATGGTGTGTGTATAGATGGATTTGCGATGGGGGTCGGAGATGGGAATAGAAAGGAGAGGGGAAGCATAAGATGTTATTGGGATGGTACTGGGAACTTGAAAAAAGAAAGAGGGGAAAGGAAAAGAGGAGATATACCTAGGACTTATCATACCCTTGGAATTTATTACGCGGTGCCAGGGTACATTTCCATTGTGGACTTTGATTTGGTGGAGGGGGTGTTAGTGGATGTTTTATTCTTTTGATTTTTGATTTTTACTTGGTGAGAAAACTGGGAGAAGAGAGGATTCTGGAGGGATCTGGGATGAGATGGGATGTTGCGTTTTGGATGAGGTGGTTAACGGGAAGGTTGTTGGGCGGTTAGGGGGGCAAGATGATGAAGATGATGAAGGAGAAGAAGTTCTTGCTTACAGGGTAGCGAAGGATCGGTAGGTAGATGCTTAAGACAGATTCCTACTTGACGGGGTCGTTGTGCTATTGGGGGATGATTAGTTTAGATATTTGAAATAAACGTAGCTTGGAAAGATGAGGAGGAGGATTTTGATGGAACCTAAGTTATGGATAGTGGGGATTTAAAAATGGAATAGAACGACCAAGGTATAACATACGAGTTCCGATTAATCGTGCGATGTGTCCGTAACTGGTTACTTTTCCGTAGGGAATTTCTTGGACGGCGCTGTAGACTGAGTGGTAGAAGGCTTCGGCTTCGTCGGTACGGGGCATGGTTGCGGTTTTTGGGGTTGAGGGATGAGGAATGGGAGTTGAGGGAGGGGGTGGGTTGGAGGAGGTTTTGAGTGAGGGGACGATGGGGTCAAGGGTTGAGCTTATTGGATTTCTAGAAAGAAGTCTACGAAGGAGTAATATCGTATTCTTGATAGTGAGCTTTTTTATATTTTATATATTTTATGAGGTGTTTATTGTAATTTCATCTAACAATTGAAGATTTAAATAAACTGACTTCTTGGTTCAATATTGACGGGGACAAAAAGCTTGTTTTGTTACTCGGGATAAAAAGAGAAAGAATACATTAACCAGCAGCACTAGGTTGTATTAAATGCAAGCAGGGCTCACCGGGAGACTGGATAAGATTACATGCATGATTTACGATAAGGATGGAGATCTCCTGTAGCGTGGAAATCTCTCCATATCCTCGTGCTTCTAAATTAAGCTTCACCGTTTCCCATCTCACATCAATGCTCCACAACATCAACAACATATGTGGGTGGTTATCAGATACTTCTTCTCTTCTCCTCTGAAGAACCGGTATGAAGTCCTCGCCAAATCATCATATATCTTGACATCTCACAAGGTTTGTTTTCCGTGTAGTGCTATCAAGTCTGTGAGATCCCAGCCACCGGAGAGCTGTTGGTAATCCCGTTTAGTCTCTTAATTTTCCCAGCCTCGTTTTCTTGCTTGCGTTTAGGAAAGGATTCTTTTCCTACATCGGCCTGGTACTTGCATACTTGCATATCTTCTTTTCTATTTGTCGATCTGAAGACTGCGGAATTGTATGCATTTGCATTACAGTATTTGATCGACAACAAGCTTTAAAAAGCTTCAAGAGCTTATCCTGGTACTGACATCAACCACCTCTATCAAACTTCAGATCTGGATAGGAGATTCTCGAAATGCGTCTTTCATCGACTTGTTTAGGTCTTCCAACTTCGATTCTCTTATTACTTATTTCGCGGACGGATTCTGTACAAGCTATTCGTGATAATCGATTCTTGACCCATTGGCCTCGCGATCTTACGGCACATTTCAAACATTGGATTAATGGATCCCCGAGTTGGAGACGAGATGATCGAGATCAAGTATTTGAGAAGGACGATAAATTGACTGCTAAAAGTCCGATTGGAACTCTGAAAATGAGTGAAGATGAAGGAGAGAAATTCTTTATGGAATATTGGCAATTTCAGGGAGAGGATACCCTTTCAAATTTGGATGTGAAGAATAACTTTTTAAGAAAAAGAGATTTGAAGGAGGAGGCTAGGTTATTTGCAAACTCGTCAATTCCTGTCTCTTTTCGAGCACCATTTGCCTTACATACGGAAGATCATTGGGAATCTTTGGATTATGAAGATATTCGAGTTCGCAGAAAAGATTCAGCTGCTACATTGGCAATATTGGAAAAGAGGGATTTTAAATGTCCTACAGGAACATCGAATTGTTCATCAATAGGGTATCCAAATAGTTGTTGCGCAACGGATGAAACTTGCTTCAAGATTACAGACACTGGATTAGGTCCTGTTGGATGTTGTCCTAGTGGAGGAAATTGTGGAGGAACCATTACGAATTGTGCTTCACCTAACACAGCTTGTGCAGATGATGTAGGAGGAGGTTGTTGCATACCAAATTATGTATGTGCTTCAATTGGTTGTGTTATAAATCCATCACTCGTGGTAGTTGTTACTACAACCCAAACTTTCACCGTTATTTCATCAACTCCAACGATTACTACCCAAACAACTACCATTACTAGTACGAGGTCTTTATCGTCTAGTTCTTCAAGCATACCGAGTACATATTCTCAAACCTCGACATCAACAGCTTCTACAAGTACAGTCACAACAGCTTCGGGAGTTGTCCCCATTCGACCTACAGGTGATTCTACAACCACAACGACTACGGTATCATCAACAATCACTGGAGATATGTGTCCAACAGGATTCTATGCCTGTTCAGCTCACTATCAAGGGGGATGTTGTAGAACAGGTAGAAATTGTGATACAACATCATGTCCAGCTACATCATCGACAACAATAATCAGCGATGGAATCACAGTAGCAGTTCCAGTTGGATCGGCAGCAACAATAACATCAGCAACAGGAACTTGTGCAACAGGTTGGACTACTTGTGCGGCTAGTTTGGGTGGTGATTGTTGTCCTAGTGGTTGGGCTTGTGGAGCGGCAAGTTGTGAGATTGTACAGACGCAGGCTAGTGCCACGACTACGGAGGTGCGTCAGAAAGAGATACCTGGGATGGGCGAGAGAGTTAGGGGAAGAGGAGAGATGGTGGGGTTTTTGGGGATGATGGTTGGGTGGTTGATTTTATGAGAGAAAAGATGAGATGGGATTATGGATTTATGACTTATGTCTAATGACCCATGAGTAATGAATATTTGAGAATTTTAGGCTTGTTTCATGGGTGATTGGAGTTATACTTTTGGTTTGCATAGTGAAACACATACATTCTGATTGGTAATCAATAAATTAGCATTAGATAAATATAGAATTAGAAAATTATAAGGAAATGAACAAAGAGCATGTATTTATTCATTTACCGAGTACAAACATATTTAAAAATTCTGAATAAAAAATTGTTTAAATAAAGTAACAGATATCTCTTTTTTCTCCATTTTCATCTTCTATTAATCCGCCTACCTGATCATTGAATACGGACTCACTCGTTAGGAAGACTTTCTATACGCTCGTTCACTAGTGATTTTATCGATAGACTTCGGGTTACCTACCTTTACTTTTACTTGAAATTGAGCCACGACGCCACAACCGTCGAACATTGTGGATCCACTGGGCTGGAGGGTTGCATGATTTCAGAAACGTGGGGCGAGATTATTTGGCTTGGCTTGGCTTGGGATTTTTTGACGTTTGATTGATTGATTGATTGAGGTTTAGGGAGACGTAGATAGGTACGAACGGATAAATTTAGAAGAGATAATACTACGAACGGAAAGGAACGAGAGAAGGAAACGAATACTTCGAGGACCGACGACTCGTTTTGAATACCTATCTGAGGTTTGGAGTAAAGGGTAGAGGGAATTACTTGTGCAGCGGGGTACGGGCAATCACGAACAATTACGAGTCTGCGGGAAAAGAGAAGTTTTATTTGAATGAGAGGTACGGCTGGATAATTCGATACGCTCGTACGATACCAAACGGGAGAACGCAAACGCGAACAATAGACCCTGGGATAGAAAACCTTGAGAAAGGAAGAATATTTGACCACGGGATTTGATTTGCGAGAAGTGGGAGATTGAGTGGGTTTGTTGCTTGCTTATTTATTGCGCTTTTGAGAGGAAATAGTAGAGGAATAAGGAAAACGAGGGAAGAAAAGGTGATATCTGCGGCTTTTTTATGAGAAGCATACACTCGACCAGCATCACCATTCCCACATCTACCTACTTTATCCAGCTATCGCTACATACTATTTCTCTACCTCCACTTCCGCACAATCCATCAAACGCGTCAACTACGCACACACGAAATGGCATCTTCAACTTCCAACCCAGCAGCAGTAGCAGCACGCATGCAAACCCACCTTCAAACAGAACCGCAAACCCGTGGCCAAAACCAATTTCAAGGAAGTGTCACTATAACCCAATCACAAACTCATACATCAGCACCAGTTTTACGTTTAAGAGGCGAATCAACTGGAGAAATTGAAAGTAGTACGGATGGGGAGAGGGGTTTAGGACGCGGAAGAAGAATTCAATGGGCGGAGGATGTGGTTGATAATGAGGGATTGGGAAGGAAAAAGAGTAAAGGTATTTTTTGAGTTTCTTTTTTTGTACTGGTTGAGTTGTTGTGGAGTAGAGCTTGATGGAATTTGGATGAAGTTCTTTTTTCTTTTGGGCAGAGAGGAGAAACACATAGGAACAAGATAAGCTAACGATAATGAATTAGTATGTTGTATATACCACGCTCCTCGCCCTATCGACGAATCATCAGATGAATCTTCGAGTGATAGTGATGATAGTAGTAGTGATGATGATGATGGAGGTGCGAAACCTTCGGGAGGTAATGGGGATAAACATGATCATGGAGATGAGTGTGCACATGGACATGGACATGGAAAGGGAAAGGGTAAAGGAAAAGAGAGGAAAAGAAGTCCAAATGCTTATGAGAGGCAGCCGAATTATAAGGGGAAGGATAAAGAGAAGGGTGGTGGATAAATAAGGTCGTTGTGAGCTTTGATAGTGGGGATGTGTGTTTTTTGGATCAAGGGTTCGGGGGAAGTGAAAGTGGATGAGGAAGAGAAAGGGAAGGGAAGGTTCTGGGCAAGTACACTTTTCTATGATTTACAACTTTAATTTTTCTTTGATAGAAGATTAGGGTTGGAGGGAGTTGGGTTGGGTTGGGATTTGTTGTTTTTGTGTATTTGCATGAATGTATATATGGGCATGCATATCTAAATAAGATATGAGATATGAGATATACGATATAAGTAAACATCTGATGAATGATGAAATGGATGGAAATGTGTATGTATATATGTACACAGATGTAAATGTAAGACCTACTTGCGAAAATATATTTTTGATGATAAGTATTGCTACTTTGACTACAGATGATATATATAAACTCGATTTAGTATATACTAGATACCTATCTATCTAATTAAAGGACCGTTGGTTAGATAGTTAGCTAGAATATTAAAATCGAAAAGTCTAAATTGTTAGATGGTTAGATGGGCATTGTAATTAAATGAGTTTGGGTAGATAGATGATAAGAATTGGAATTGGAAGGGAATCGGGGTGTATGAATATAATTTATAATAGATAGATAGATAAATATTTGTAAGTCTATGAGAGGAGGGAGGGAGAAGGAGATGGAGGTGGAGGTGGAGGGATGGATGGGAAAAGGGAAGGGGAAAGAGATGAATGGAAATGGAGAATGGAATGGTCAATGTTTGGAAGGAAAGAATGAAATGAGATTTTAGGGAAAGTAAAGGGAAAGGGTTATTTGGTAGGGAAAAGGGGAGGGTGTAGACGAGGATCTGAGGATCTAAGGATGTGAAAATATAAGATGATATGAGATCACGGATAATGATATAAGAATGAGAAATATTAATAAATGATTTATTTGATAATGATATATTCAAGTCAATTTTTGAGCTGGAATACTGATTTAAAATTTTGATTTTAATTTAATTATAATATTTAATTTAAATTTAAATTTGAAAATTAAATAGTTATTTAAAGAAGTTAGATTAAATTAAGATATAAATCTGGTCATTTATTAAAAAGTAGAAAGTGGAAAATATATATAATATTGAAAATCTGAGAATAATATGAAATACTATGAATTATCTATAGAAGGATTTAAAAAGAGTATAAAATAAACAAGATATACAAAGAGCAGAGGATATATTTAAATAGTTTGATCATGAATAAGATTTGAATATAAATTCAAAGAATAAGTGTCGGTACATCATATGATTATAGTATAGAAAAGGAGCTATATAATAAACGGGCTCTAGCCCTTGCCTCTTCAATATAAATAGGTCTCCATATTCCATAGTTATTGATGACAATCAAGAAACAACACATACTGAAATAGTACTATGCGAGTAGTATCACTGGAGTGATACCAACAATAAGATTACCTAGTAGGAATAGAAATTTCTGAGAATAAAAAGTAAGGGACCTTAAATACAAAGAGGCTGGCTGGATAAGATGGAATCACATTGAGTGAACGCGCTCAGTAGTTTCGATAAGGAGAAGGAAATTAAAGGGGAAGATATTACAAGATATCTTATATACTACTCTAGATATATATCCGGTAGGCTATTTGCTGTGGTTTGAATGTTTGAGTTATAGTTTGACTACAATAGCATAAAGAGTTTTGTATAAAGACTAAAATCTCAAAAATCAGGACCACCAGACATATATAGTATCAAGCAGTATGCTCCTGGAAAATTAATATCAAAAGTCTTATCGTCGATGTTATATTCGACCTTATAAAGTATATAAGCTCTCTTTATATACAGTTCTCACTAATAGTCGTTGAATTATCATCTTGTAAAACCCAGTTCTAAAATTTAAGAAATCAAGAAACCCCTACTAAAGAAAAATATAAATACAAGGTCGGAAGTATAAGGCCTAGATAATACTTGTTATTATTATGAATCAATAGTGAGATTGAAGTCTTAACATTAATATTAATTATACTTCACTTGTAGTAGAGCGAATCCAGTTCAAAATTTAATATCTAGAATAATAAAAGATATAATTGTATAATAAAGATATTATCCTTTGAATATATTAATAGATGAACATATATTAAATAAATAAACAATCTTTTATATCAACTTAATCATTTTTAATTGATTTTATCTTATGTTTATATATTTATATTATTATTATTATAATAACTTAGATTTATCTAACCTTACTTCAAGTTTTAAACTTCTTATATTTGATTTATAACTATAATGTTTTTTATTTAAATCTTTAAAACTAAAAAAGAAATTATATTAGATTTCTTTATTATATTTTTAATAATTTATTTTATTATAATACTTATTCAAACCTTAATATTTTATATTAGAACAAAAAAACTAATCTGAACAGTTAAATATCTTTTATTTGAAACAATTTAATAATAAAGATTGAAAATGAAATAAATAGTTAAATATTATGTATAATACAATGTTAAATTGAAAAAATAATTATATAAAGTAATAAAATTCATCGAGTGGATCCATGGATAAAATCACTCTATAAGATATTGAAGGGGAGTACGAAATATATCATTAGAATGTATTAACAAAGATCTTGAACTGTGCTACCTTTTAGTTGAGTTGAGTTAGAGATAATCATGGGTTAGAAGATATCATTTATACTATAACTAGTGGCCCGTGTTTTGCACGGGGTTCATTATCGTCTGGAAAGAGGTTGTAGTTTTCCTTCTAGAGAGGGCTTGGTAGGATAGAAGAGAGTATGATAGAAAGTAGAGTAAAGTTAAAAGTGAAAAGTAGAGAATAGTAGGAGTAATATAGTATAAAATGAAGAGTAGAAGATAAAGAATAGGAAGTAGAATTTTGAAGTAGAAAGTAGGAAGTAAAGAAGAAGAGATAGAGAATAAAAATAAGCAAAAAATAGAAAATAAAGAGTAGAAATTAAAGAGTAGGAAAGTAGAGAGTATATAAAGTATAAATAATACTGTCTTTACTCCTTTAATAGTTCATTTTGTCTAGACTTGAATTCAAACAGTAGATATTTCAATCTATTGATGATGGGGATGCATGCTACTAAATGATAAGATAGAGGGGATATTGTTAAGGGGAAGTCTGGGGAGCAAGTGAGATGAGAAAGTAGTTGGGGATTAAGGGTTCACGACAATGGTATGGATGGGGTGGAGAGAGAGGAATGAATAGAGTGGCGATGGTGAGGTGTAATGTGTACGAGATGTAATACTGATAGTGGTAGGAATGAGATGAGCTGTATGGATAAAAGTGTAGTTTAAATCACTGCATACTCACAACATCATACACGCGATGGAAAACTCTCGGTGCAGCAAAAAAGGCTGAAATTTATACACATGAAGCATCACAAGCTCCAAGAAAAACTATATACATCTAAAACCATCATCAGAAGATAACCACCACCATCACCCGCCTATAATCAACACAAAGGTATTGCACATCGCTAACCTAAGAAAGGTAGCTGGTATCAACCCAAGATTTGTAGTTGCTGCCCAAAACACCAGAGATAGTGTAAGGAGTACTGTACGAGTGGGAGAAGCTTGCACGGCTACCTGAAGCACCGGCACCGGTGTTAGCATGTTCCTCAAAGAGAACATTTTGAGTATTTAGTGAGCTGGTAGACCAAACAGACCATCCGGCACTGTTAATAACTTTTGTCATTGAAGTTTCTTGGAAAGCGACACGAGCATATTGACTCCATGGACGACCAAGGTAAACGGTGCCGGAACCGGCGGTTGAGGATGAACTAGTGGTGACGGTACATTTGTTGATGACATAGAGGGATGGGTCAGAGGTAGATGGACGACCATTGGCGGTAATACATCCACCACCAGCAGAAGCAGCAATGGTTGAACCGTCGAACCAAGCGACAGAGTGTTGACCGAAGATCCAGTCTACGGCTCCCTCAATGTAGCACTTGGCGTAAACTTGGTTACCGGTTTGAGTAAGGAGAGTATCTTGGTATCCGTAAAGTCCAACACCGTAGTAACCTTGGTCGGTGTTGTAGGCAGCCAGAGCAATGGCTTGAGAACCCTTTCCATAGGTGTTCTTAATGTTGATGTTGTAGAAAGCGGTGTTTGGCGACAAGTTGATGACGGTTCCGGTTTCTTCATCATTGGCGGCACCGCTCAAGAGAGAAGAACTGTGCTGGATGTTGACGACGTTGCTTCCGTAGGAGCTAGTATCCTTGGTGTATCCATATACGGTGAGTTTTCCCTTCAAAGCGGGGATGGTAACTTGTTCCGAGTAAGTTCCAGAGTATAGGAAAATGCTTTGAGCAGAACTGGTTGTGGTGCTGAGAGCATTAACGGCTTTTTGGAACTATAATGGCTTAGTTAGCATGGTTTAATGGATCACGGTCGAGTTATTCTCGGCAACGTACAGTAGCATATGTTCCTCCTTTACCAGCCGTAATGGCACCGGAAGGTGGGCTAGTGCGAGCTGCGGCTAGCACAGCGGCGACGAAGGTACTGAGGGTAAGAAGAACACGCATTGTGGCAACGACACGGACTTGAATGAACGAATGAACGAATGAACGAATGAACGAATGAACGAATGAACGAATGAACGAATGAATGATTTGATGGAAGTTTGTTGGAATAACTGTCAACGGCCGATACAGACTATTTAACCAGTGAGCAGTAAATATCCCATGCTGCATGGGAAAACTCCTGAGAGAGCTTTCGGAAAATTCAATATGGAAATCTCCGAATTGGACAACGCCTAGCCAAGGGCAATGTCGAGAATCGCCCGATAGAAGATTTGAACGCCACCCGAAAGCCACTCGAGTACGTCTCGGCCCCTCGGTGTGAAGATGTCAGGAGCTACTAACCCATGTGTTGGGGTGCTTAATGGGTTTGTAATAACCGTCTATACAAGGCATCTTCCGATGCCCATTTTAGATTTGATTAGATCCGTTTATCGAAATTCTGGGTCCGAAACGAAAACATGACCACTGACAAATCGTCAATCTAGTCAATCCGTCACATCTAAACAACCTGTCAAATTATTCTGGAATCTTTGAAGGAAGCCAAACTCCATAGAGCAGCTATCTCTGATGGGTAAAGCATGAGGAGGCGTCTGATTGGTCGAAGCATCCATCGGCAGCTAGTGGAAATACCCATTTTCGTCGTAGAAGCGAGTTTCAAGTTTTCATATTGATATTGCTAAAAAGTGGACGCAGGAAAGGCAATTTTAAGGTGCATCAAGGGTCCTCGCCACTTCTTTGACGACACATACAGTACAGCAAAAGAGAGATGACTAGGTAGTTTACACTGTTTTTCCCTTTTTGGAAATCGACCTCCAGCAACTCAGCTAGATTCCCTTGATATTGGTCGTCTGATAAAAAAAATAAAGCAATTCCTCATAGTTACGAGCAATCTCAAGGTAGTTCCTTGGGTTAATTGAGATTAGGTTAAGCCACGGGACGGAGTATTTCGACGCATCTGGACTTTGATAGATGGAAAATAGATGACCTGGAATGGAATATTAGGTTCGCTGATAGAAAACTCCTTCTTCTCCAAATCGAGACATCATCAAACTGCCGACAAGAAACCTCAATGCACATAGATTGAACAAATTGATGAACTGAGGCTCTGACAAAGTTCTAGTTCTTCCATATCTTCCAGAAACCATCCACTGTTGAGCCACTCTTGCGATCCGCTTTTTCACCGATAACTAGTCGAAAATCATGCGACTTAATTGCTCAACTCATCATGAATCATGATATTTCTATGCCGTTGTGGAGTAGGAGAACGTACGTACGTATTGTACGGAGTGTTCAATATGGAGTTTTTAATTTATTTTATGGGTCATTTGTAAGATCTTACTCATGCCGTTCGCAAGTAAAGCACTCCCGTCTAATTAGGATGAAATGATTGTGGGAAAATGTTTCGAGTCGTTTTAGATTAAGGTACCGACGCCTTAATGCCATATTAGATGTAGACTGGTAGATTGTCTTGAAATGATACAGAGGACTCCATTGTAATAAAGTGCAATTATAGAGAACGTGTCTAATTCATTGGTCGATTAAAGATTCTAAACATCGACATTTGATATACTGCGACTGCTCTCAAGTTTCTGATACGGAACTCTACGCACATGCCATGAGATTGTAAATTACAACGTGGGTTATTTAGCGTCGGGGTTTTCATGCTTTCTAGGAGCACGTACTGTAACAGTTTACAAGTAACAAGTTGGCAATGCTTACTCAAAGCTTATTCAAAGCTTATTCAATGCCAATAGGGGTATCGCGGGTATCATCATGTCGTGGAGCAGTCAAATCGTGTTAAAATTACTTTGGAGGCGGTAAATGAATAAATATAGGACCTAGGCACCGACTTCTCTTGGCAAGAAGGGGGCTTTGCTTCCGTTTGTCGGTAGCTGTAGGGGATCTTGGTATTGTACTGCGTCACGCGTGTAGATATAGGCAGAATTAAGGTTGCCATTGCATACCACGTACTCCTATTGCAGGAGTCCTATAGCCACCCGGCTACACACTTTTAACTTTGCACAAATGATTGACAGTGATACCTTATCAACTATCAAATACTTTGCTTTAACTTCGGAATATTGCCGTCTCCACACTTCGGAACATTCCTATCACAATCGAATATCTCCCGGCTCGTATACGTACGTATAGCACTGCTGAAAGTTTATTGAGCCGTAATTGTTTCCCGTATAACCCTATTTGCCTATACTACAACATATAGCAATACGTTCTTATAGTTCTTGTTACAGAGTACAGACTGTTTTCTTCCACCAATCGCACTTAATCTTTAACGATGTGATAAGTGGCTGATCTACCAGCAGAAAGAGACAATTTCCGGTGATAACACCATAATCCATGAGCATCTTCAGATTCATTCACATTCATTGCACGGAATACTGTACCCGTATCGTAGTTTTTGTAGCGGTTATTAATAGCGATACCGTATAATTGTGGGTGGCCCCACTATATGCTTTATATTCGAAGGCGCTCGAGCTATAGTGGGAGAAAACTAACTTATACTTCGAATAACAACAAAAGTATATTCAATTGATGTATTTCATAACAAAATTAATATCATATAATTATTAAAATTATATACTCTAGTTGTAAATTCTCAAAATTAAATAAAAGAATAATTAATTTTTTAAAAAAGATTGATATAATAATAATTATATTATAAACTTTTAAAATATAATCAAGAGATTGATATAAATTTATTTGAATAATAGATAATGATTATTACTTTTTATAAAATAATTAATTTTCATTTTGATAATATTATTATATCAATTATAACAATATTTTTTATTCAAAGTATAAATTAATTTTTTTTTATTATAATTTAAATATCTTTGAATAGAAAATATATAATAAGATCGATCATCTATAATTAAATTTAATAACTAGAAATTTTCAATCCATTTTGTTAATTCTTCCACCCGGAAATAGAAAATAAATAACCTTATTCTGGAAAGGGTTTAGTGTGACGCAGATTTCTTGAGTTTATACAGTATGTTTTCACCAGTTGACGTTTCACATGCAGAGAATAATCCGTCCTCCACCGCTACACACTTTCAGGGGCATTGTCCCGTAACCACACCAATCATAATCCTCTACTTCAAAGTTCCATGGTATTTCTAGTGCATCCGCCTGTTGGTACTCCATAGATAGATAACCTTATTAACCTAAAACAACCTCACCCCATGTATTGGTGAGTAAATTCAGGGATTGTGTTCCTTAACCTATTGTATGGAATACTGGTACGATACCCCGAAATTACTTCGGTATAGCAATTAACGCACGAGGCGAGCTTGCCAATTGCTTGCTTTGTTTGTGGTAAGTATCTTTTCATCCTCTAGTAAGCCTTTCCCCTTTGACATATGTGATGTGATCACAAAGAATTCGGTGACATTAGGGTGTGATGAATCATGATATGCTAGGTAGTGTGGCCGTAATGATTACTTTCCCCTGGCTAAAGTTTATGATATTGATTCAAGGATTGCTATAGTTAAAATGCGGACCGTGATTCTGGAAATAAAGCATTAACATGATCAATATTTTGGCTCACCGCGGGTTAAGTTGTTCGGGCTCACCGCTGTCGAAATGTGTGGGGACAGAAGCCGGTGCGAACATCAGTTTCTCCTCGTGAAGTTTATGCTATTGAGCCAAGGGTCGCTATGGGCGAAATGAGAACCATGGTTCTACCGTTGTCGACTTGTGGAGTGCTGACGGTGCGATTCAACGGTGTCCCACTTTAAATCTTCCCCAAATTTCAGTCTTGTCTCGACATATATAAGAAGCTTCCAATACCTTCTTTTCTTTCCTCATCTCATCATCACTTACATTCTTTTCCATACTGTCTAGTACATTCACTCTTTACATTCCTTAAATAAACAACTCTACTAGCCAATATGGTTCACATTCTTTCCTCGGCCTTGAGCCTCCTTGCGCTGGGCGCAGCTGTGTCTGCCATGCCTGCACCTGCACCAACTGCTGCACCAAACGCTGCCGATGCTCTTGCAGCAGTCGAGAGGAGGGCCGGTTCCTGCACTTTCTCCGGATCCGGCGGTGCCGCTGCTGTCCTCAAGTCCAAGGCTTCCTGCGCAACCATCGTCCTCAGCGCCCTCGCTGTTCCATCCGGAACCACTCTTGACTTGACCGGCCTCAAATCTGGTACCCAAGTCACCTTCGAGGGTACCACCACCTTCGGTTACGAAGAGTGGTCCGGCCCTCTCGTCTCCGTCTCCGGAACTGACATCACTGTTACCGGTGCCTCCGGAAGCGTTCTCGATGGTAACGGAGCCAAATACTGGGATGGCAAGGGTTCCAACGGTGGAAAGACTAAGCCAAAGTTCTTCTACGCTCACTCCTTGAAGGGCAAGTCCTCCATCAACAACGTCAAGATCGTGAACTCCCCAGTCCAAGTTTTCTCCATCAACTCTGCCACGGGTCTTAAACTCACTGGTATCACCATCGACAACTCTGCTGGTAACTCCCTCGGACACAACACTGATGCTTTCGATGTTGGATCTTCCACTGATGTCACCATCTCCGGCGCCAACGTTCAAAACCAAGATGACTGTCTCGCTATCAACTCCGGTACCGGCATCACCTTCACCGGTGGAACCTGCTCCGGTGGTCACGGTCTCTCCATCGGATCCGTCGGTGGACGTTCCGACAACGTTGTCTCTGACATTACCATTGAATCCTCCACTGTCAAGAACTCAGCCAACGGTGTCCGCATCAAGACTGTTTCCGGTGCCACTGGAACCGTCTCCGGCGTTACCTACAAGGACATCACCCTCTCCGGTATTACCTCATACGGTGTTGTCATCGAGCAAGATTACGAGAACGGTTCCCCAACTGGAAAGCCAACCTCCGGTGTTCCCATCACTGGTGTCACTCTCTCCAACGTTCACGGTACCGTCACTTCCTCCGCTACCAACGTTTACGTTCTCTGCGCCAAGTGCTCTGGCTGGACCTGGGATGTTAAGGTTACTGGTGGTAAGACCTCCACCAAGTGCGCTGGTCTCCCAACTGGTGTCAAGTGTTAAATACTTTAACACGGCTACTTTCAAACACTGGATTCCACTAGGAAATCAATTGTAGAGGGAGAATGGGGAGAAAGGGGTTCGAGCCGGCTGCACCCAGTTGTCAATTCTTTGTACATATAGCTTCTCTTGTCACACATAGACTGTTTAAACACTTGTAATCGAATTGATTTGATTACCACCAAAACTTGTTCCTTTTTAATAATGAGTCTTCTTCGTGACTTTGCTCTGTGTCCATTTCCAACTTCCAGTTCCTGTTGTTTTAACCGTTTTCTTTACTAGGACAGACAGTAATTGATCATCAAACTTTCCTATTTCGATCTGGTTATCTTTGATTTCTCACCTCAAACGTTGACTCGTGGCTCCATTCTCTCTTATTTCCAAAGCTCGGATTTCACTGACATTGATGTAAGAGTTCTTCATTCCATATATGGGATCCAAACATTTTGCTTATGATTTCTAACTTTACCTTGATTTTGCATTTATTGGTGTTTGGCAAAGAATGTATGAGACAAATATGTTGTTGGAGTGCATATGATTTTGTTGCATCTTCACAAGAAGACTTTTTCTGCACAGTTTGTTTCTTTGCATCACCGTAATGTGTAATTTCTTTTACATCACCATGCATCCGGGAGCTTCCCTTGTCAAAAATGTGGAACTTGCCGCCTCAAAATTTGGTTCTCATCAAAATTTATGTGGGACCATCAACAATTAAACCAGCGACGACGGCTCTCAGGAAAGCTTACTCTAATTGGACAATTGCGATGAACATTTACATTGGAAGAAAGGATGGAGTCTAAGGATAAGAATTGAGCTGTCAATATCTTACAAAGCAGATAATATTTGGCTACTACCCAAGGGGAACGGATATTACGGACATAGTGGAACGCATTCGGCTGTCCCCTCATTTTGGATTCTGAGAAGACTTTCAGAGGAAGAACAAAGTGATTCAATACAAGGTTGGGTTCAGATGTTAGCTGCATGAGGGTGAAAAGAGGAAGAACATCTCAACCCACGCGCATTTGTGGTAACAAGCTTCGACAAAGCGCAAATATGTTCCGTACAATGATATCAAGGTCAAGCATTGAGGGAATGCGCCAATCTATGACAGTGTCTAGAACTATAATTCGAACCTCGACTCCTACAAGATCAACCATTTTGCGAAATCTCCCACACAGACCAATAACAACATCTGCTACTTCTGCGCATTCTCTCCGCACAAAATCTCGTCCTCGAACCACAAACTTTACATTTTCCTCGAATCCTCGACCTTCCTCGGGAACATTATTTCAACGTCTTCGCACAAGGACAAACAGATATTTTCACAATTCAAGGCCGAGGAGGGATGGAGGGGCAAAGGCAGAAAATCTAGGGGACGAAACATCATTATCTGGGAGGATGAAGAAATTGAGTAGGGAATATGGGTGGAGCGTGGTAGGAGTGTATATATTCTTGTCCGCGGCAGATTTTCCCTTTTGCTATTTGTTGGTTCGGACTCTGGGAACAGATAGAATTGGTAAGTTGAATATTCTCTTCGGGTCGATTTAAGGAGATCTCATTTAAGATTTGCCTATTGATGGAAGTTCATTATGGATCTCGGACTGCAATCTCTTTGACTTCTAATATCCTAAAACTCGTTTCAAGTTATGAGTTAACAGTATTCCAGGCGAATGGGAACACAATATTACCTCAAACATCAAGAAAATGATACCCGAATCTATCAAAAACGCCTGGCATGAATGGCGAACCGCCATGAAAAAACCCGAACATGATATAACCGGCTCAGACAAAATCAACGATGGCGTAGAAATGGCTGGATGGGGCGTAGAGGAAGCCGAAGAGAGAAATAAAAAAGATGCAAGTCTTGGTACACAACTCGCTCTGGCATATGCTATTCATAAATCCTTCATCTTTGTTCGAGTGCCATTAACAGCAGCTATTACTCCAAAGGTTGTGAGGACTTTAAGGGGATGGGGTTGGGATATAGGGAAGAGAACTTCGAAGGAGGAGAAGAAAATAAGGGCTGCTCATCATGCTGCTAGACCGGCGAAGCCTGTTGCATCGAGGGTAAAGAAGGTCTTTCAGACCAAAAAAAAATCTTGATTGTGGAACATTGTTTTGGGTGTGAGGAATGTATATACACAAGGATGGTACATAAAAGCTTGGGTGCACTGAATTATGAACAGACGAAGATATTTATGGAAGAAAAGGAATGGGAGGAAGGATGTTACGATTAGCACGGCATGGCATGGTGAAAAGCATTGGATGGAGTCTTGTTTATATCACAAGCTACACAGCACGCATGGCAACTTTTGGGTCTGAGGGAGTTATACCAAATAGAATACTCTTCTCATGTTTTATTTACTACGAAATGAAAATGTTTTGATCGACGGAAATACATTTGAAGACTTGTTTTGACAGTTTGAAAGTTCCAGCTATGACATGAGGAAATGTGTCACCAGTTCACTAAAAAGCTCAGGCTCACTCACATAGAAAGTCCCCTGACTTCCCGGATACGGAGAAAAAATAGGGTATAAATTAAGCATTTTATGCTAAGGTTATATAGTATGGGATTTATAAAATGAACTGTTGGGATCTTGTCCATCTTTAACAGTCAATGACCGCCATTTCTTATTTCCAGTACAAGTGAAGAAATCTCCAATTTTCCCATTACTGAACCAAACAAGCATTCACTCCGCATTTTACCAAGAAACCCTTCCTACAAAGCACATTTGTGATAAAAATTGGTGGTCCAATCGGACAATTACGGAAAAATCTCCACGCTGGCTTTCAATCGGGTGGTTTACCCCGCCATGCCTCACATCGTGGCTCCTCAAGCTAGATTGTCTGCTATTGCACGACATATAAATCCTGATACTTTGCATACTTCCAGTCAATTATCTAAAACAACAAAAACAACAAGAAACTTTACAAATTCTACCAAACACTCGCAATTTGAGGGAAATAATTCCAAAATGTCGAATCAACCTGCTCATCCTACCTTGTTCATCCCAGGCCCAATCGAATTCGATGATGCTGTTTTACAGTCCATGAGCCATTATAGGTGTGTATATTTGCTATTTTGATTTTGTACAAAGGGATAGCTTGAAGTTGAGACAATTTACTGATATTTATCTTTAAATAGTGAGAGTCATGTCGGCGCTCCATTTGTAGCAGTATTTGGAGAAACACTCTCCATGCTCCGAAAGCTCTTTCAATCCACTGATCCCTCATCCCAACCTCTCGTTGTCTCTGGTTCCGGTACACTTGGCTGGGATCTTGTCGCGGCCAATCTTGCGGAGCCTGGTGATGAAGTATTGGTTCTTCATACGGGGTATTTTGCCGATTCGTTCGCGGATTGTTTTGAAACTTATGGGGTGAAACCTACGCAATTGAAGGCGAAGATTGGTGAAAGACCTCAATTGGATGAGATTGAGAAGGCGTTGAAGGAGAAAAAGTATAAATTGATTACAGTTACACATGTGGATACTTCAACGGGTGTATTGAGTGAGTTACAGAAATTGAGTGAGCTTGTTCATCGCGTTTCCCCAGAGACTTTGGTCATCGTGGATGGTGTTTGTACTGTGGGATGTGAGGAGATTGAGTTTGATAAGTGGGGGTTGGATGCTGTTATTACGGCTAGTCAAAAGGCGATTGGTTGTCCAGCTGGTCTTTCAATTTCCTACTATAGTGGTAGGGCGATTGAGAGTTTTAAGGCTAGGAAGACTCCTCCTGGATCGTATTTTGCTTCGTTTAAGAATTGGTTGCCGAGTAAGTTTTATCTTCTTCAAGTCCCTACTCTTCGGACAGAGAAAAACTAACACAAAATAGTAATGCAAAACTACGAGGCCAGAAAGCCATCCTACTTTGCGACTCCCTCTCCTCAACTTATTCATGCCCTGCACACCTCACTCACTCAAATTTTCTCTATTCCCCTCTCGGAGCGTTTCGCCAAGCACAAAGCTGTCTCTCAAAAGATCAAACAGGCAGTAGCGGATCTAGGTCTCAAGCAATTGGCATCTAACCCTGCAGATCAGGCAAGTGGTATGACAGCTATTTATCTTCCGGAAAATGTCAAGGCGGCGGAGTTATTACCGGGTTTGGGGAAGAAGGGAGTTATTTTTGCGGGAGGACTGCATAAGGAAATTGCGGCGAAGTATATTAGGGTGGGTCATATGGGGGTTAGTGTTATGGATGAGGGGAGGGGTGATATAGAAAAGGCGATTGAGGCTTTGGGTGTGGGGTTGAAGGAAGCTGGGTATCAAAAGGCTTAGGGTTGGGGTTAGGGATTTGTAGACGTGAGGAGGGAAGCGGGGTATAGATACATAGATGACTGAGGTTGGTGTGATGGATTCTAGGTAGAAATAGCTGGTGTGGATAGCTATATAAAAAACGGGGGGAAAAAGCAAATTTTGGAATGCATTTATTTGAATAAGAAGAATTTTATAAAGAAATCTTCAATCTTGATTATGTTGTAAGGTTGATGAGTGCTTATGAATACCCCCTTACTCATATTAAGCGATATTAGGAAGGTAGGTATAGAGGTCCACAGTAAGTTTCTATAAGTAGATGCTTCATCTTATTATAATTTTCTCTTGCTGGCTGAATAGTTGCGAGTGGTAGTGTGGCTGTTGGTATTTCATGGTTCTGGGGATTTGAGGTTTTGAGGGTTGGAGTTTGATATTTATTTTTCATTCTGTTTTCTTTGTGTGGTTCGAAAGTTGGGATAGGGGTAGAGATTGGGATGTTAGAAAGGGGATGGTTAGGGATGGGGAGGGTGAAGAGTTAGGCGTTGGATATTGGGTTTTGGGTGTTGGAAGGTTGGGTTTAGGTTTTGTTTTAGAGTTGATTTTGGGGTTAGGATTAGCATTGCAGGAGGACGGGGCCGGGGAGGGTGGTGATGTGAGTTATGGGGAATTAGAGGGAGTTTTAGGGTGTTAGAGGGTGTTAGAGGGTGTTAGAGGGTGTTAGAGGGTGTTAGAGGGTGTTAGAGGAATTAGAGGGGATTAAAGGGAGCTGGGGAGTGCTAAGCAGTGCTAAGCAGTGCTAAGCAATGCTAAGGGAACGAGAATTCTTAAAAATGTCTAAAGAAGAAAAATTATATTCTTATTTAGCGATAAAGTTGAAACTAGGGACACTATAAAAAATCAAAGTTTAGTGCTTGGTTGCCTTAGTTGGGGGGTTAATTAAGTGGTTAGCTTGGAACTTGATGATTTAGTGGCTGGGTAGTTGAGTAGTTAGCTTGTGGAGGTATGCCGAGCTATATATATATATATGAAGAATAGAATTGATAGGGAATAGAAAATAGAAAATACAAAATAGAAAATGGGTCTTTTTGGAGAGAGGGGAAAAAGCGAAGAGGGCCGGAGGGGAACAACGGAAGATGAGAGAGAGGAAGAATGAGGCTCGAAGTTTGAGAGTGTTGTATAGGGATTATGGATTATGGGTTATGGGTTATGGATTATGGATTTGGATATATATGTATGGATATAGATATAAATATCAGGGCGAAGATCGAAGATTCAGGAGTTTTCATTTTCGCTATAATTAGCTAAGAGGTTGGCTCTTGGTGTATAGGTATGAGATGTATATATATACTGGCTGAATCAATCTATATATGTATAGGAGTAGGAGTAGGAGATTGTAAATTGAGTATTAAGTATACATTGTAAGAGTATAGTAGAGAGCGAAAAGGTTAAGATATTATATGATTGTATAGGAGTGGTAGGATGCATGTGAGTGTACATGTTGATCAGGATGTATATGGATGATTTGAGGTAGGATATGGAATTGGATTTGGAGGTTTAGTGCGGAGCGGATAGAGAGGGAGGGAAGATTTTGGAGGGAAATAGGTGTGGTAATGGAGTAGATTAGGTGGATGGAGTAGATTAGGTGGGTGGTGAAGGGAGGATCTCGGGAGGAACCTATCCTTTCTGTAGAAGGTCTCCTCTAGTCTCCTAGTTTCTACATCGCTGTAAGTAGAGAGGTTACTTTTTATTTAAAGTTAATAGTTGACAGTGTTTGCATGTCCTCCAGAGATGTCGTTGCGTCCCTATTCAGTGCAATTATTGTCATCATCTCAAGGAATAGATTGATCCAGTCTTGTGAAGTTTACCATCAGTGTTGGAGAGACTTCCTAATGCATGTATTATTCGTATTTGATATTTGCGTTTGCGTTGGCATGGCATTTAAAAATTGATACAGCCTCTGTCCGTGGCAACCTCGAATATCACATTGCATCTCATACTGGATGCGATTATGACAACCATAGATTTGAAGCTGCCATCTTGGTTTCTGCATTTTCAAAACCAATTCACATTCTCTCCACTTCTCATCTTTTTTCATTTGCACGAACTTGCTTTAATTTTCAAATGACGTTACTCTTGAGGCCAATCTCAATGCAATGTTATTGCTAGTTCTACTCAGTATTCGACATATAGAGTATTTAGTACCGCCACATAGAGCCCGAAGCAAAAATAAAAGTAGCGCTCAGTCTCGTGTTGAGAACAATATTTCCCTCGAAAGCTTATTGCACGATGGACTTCATGTACAAGTGATACAAACACGGAAATCATTGGTGCGGAAGATTGTATTGAGGTCTCAGCTCGCCACAAGATCCTGCATTCGATAAATTCCTAGGCAAAAAAAGATATATCAGAATATAAATGTATGAATGGATTTGGATGTAAGATTAGAAACCCTTCGGGATATCTAGTAATACCTAGACATCATATCTGCTTCACGAAATTTGGTTATGGGATTATATTTAATCACTTGATTTGGTTCCATGACACCATAAACTTTATGAATATATTTGAGTGAATATGTGAAGTATATGAAGTATGTGGATTGTATGAAGTATGTAAAATATGTCGCAGGAGAGTCTAGGTCAAAGCGGCTAAATAAATCCGAACAACATTTGAGGTATAATCACATGACCCTCAAATTTACCGGTCGGTGTTGGAGTCTCCGAGAGAATCCCTCCTCTTAGTCTTAGTGGGGCACAAAGCACTTTGAACATGCGGCTGGGTCCGACAATCTTCAACTTGACATTTTCAAACAACTTCAAATCATACCATCAAGCTCTTCTATAAACTTTATTGTAACAGCGCAAGCTGCACGAAAGGATATCGAAAGCCTATCACTTATCTATTGAAAGAAGGATAGGGTATTATTCCTAAATCAAGCTGCAAAGATGGCTGTCACCATTGAAGAGCTTGACGCGACTGTCAAGACCTTCTATGAAGGTCGCGGTGAGGCTGTGAGTATATACTATCTATTCAAAGGAACTATTTACCTTAGGGCTTCTTTATTGACGCGTTCGTGTTATAGCAAAAAGCCGCACAGGCCGCAATGAATCAGGTACGACTTCTTTATGCGCCGAAAATCTTCTCTCGTTCAATATCGCCATCGATACTGATATGTAGTATAGTTCAAGGAGGATCCAGATGCATGGTTATTAGTAGACAAGATATTACAAGAGTCTACATATCCTCAAGCCAAATGTTGGTCAACGTCCTCCAGCACTCTACATACTTTTCGCTGACAAATTATAAGATTTGGGTTTGCAAGTGCTAGATCATGTTATCATGACAAGGTGGAAGGTTCTACCTAGAGAGCAGTGTCAAGGTACATACAAGATGTGTTCATCCCATCTGAAGGATGTTATACTGATCTGTTCTAGGTATTCGAAATTTTGTCGTTGGTTTCATTATACAATGTTCCGGATCGGAAGAATCTCTCAGGTCCCAGAGAGTCCTTTTAAACAAATTGAACCTTGTCCTCGTTTCTATCTTAAAGCAAGAATGGCCTCATAACTGGCCTACTTTTATCAACGAGATCATATCCTCCTGCCATACCAGTTTGTCGATATGCGAGAATAACATGTCGATTTTGAGATTATTATCGGAGGAGGTCTTTGACTACTCGGCGGACCAAATGACCTCTGCCAAGACGAAGAACTTAAAGACGACAATGTGTGCAGAATTTTCATCTATCTTTCAACTTTGCAATGAAGTCCTGAATAGCGCCACCCAAGAAAGTTTGATCAAGGCTACTCTCGAGACACTTCTTCGATTCTTCAACTGGATTCCTCTCGGCTATATTTTCGAGACCACCGTTATCGATACTCTCAGGGAAAGATTTTTGGAGATGCCCGAATTCAGAAATGTCACATTGAAGTGTTTGACAGAGATTGGTGGACTCCAGACTGGCACCGGGAACAACTATGACGAGAAGTTGGTTCAAATGTTTACCGAAGTTTTGACCACAATTTCCAAGATCATTCCCTTAACTCTCGACCTCAAGAGCACATATAATTCAAGTAATTCCAAGGACCAAGAATTTATCCAGAACCTGGCCCTTTTCTTGTGCAACTTCTTTTCCTCCCACTTGACCGTAAGCGTACCTTTCTTCTTCTCTTCCTAGATGAATCCTAACTTTCTCAATAGCTCATAGAGAATCTGCCGAACCGCGATTTCCTCACCCATGGTCATTTTTACCTTATTCGAATTTCCCAAATTGAAGACCGAGAAATCTTTAAGATTTGTTTAGAATACTGGACTAGACTTGTTCAAGAGTTGTACGATGAACAACAGTCACTACCAATTGGAGACGTTAACCCACTCGTTGGAATGGGTGTAGGCGGTATTTCAAATCCTGGCGCGCCAAACCCAAGTTTACTCGCGAACTACCCTCTCCGGAAACACAAGTACAATGAAGTGCTTTCAAACTTGCGAGTCGTCATGATTGAGAAAATGGTCAGACCCGAGGAGGTTTTGATTGTTGAGAACGATGAGGGTGAAATTGTTCGTGAATTCGTCAAGGAGAGCGACACAATTCAACTGTACAAGACAACCAGAGAGTGCTTGGTTTACCTTACCCATTTGGATGTAGTCGACACCGAAAACATCATGACCGAGAAGTTATCTCGACAAGTTGATGGTACCGAATGGTCTTGGGCAAATTGTAATACTTTGTGCTGGGCTATTGGATCCATCTCCCTTGCCATGAACGAAGAGACTGAGAAACGTTTCTTAGTTACCGTCATCAAAGATTTACTCGGCTTAACTGAAATGAAACGAGGAAAAGACAACAAAGCTGTGGTTGCCAGTAACATCATGTATATCGTTGGTCAATATCCGCGATTTTTGAAGGCTCACTGGAAATTCTTGAAGACGGTCGTTAACAAGTTATTTGAGTTCATGCACGAATCCCACGAAGGTGTTCAAGACATGGCTTGTGACACGTTCATCAAGATCGCTAGACAGTGCAAGCGTCACTTTGTTGCTTTACAACCTGGTGAATCGGAACCATTCATTGAGGAAATTGTAAGAACCATGCGCAAGATCACTTGTGATCTATCCCCACAGCAAGTACACACTTTCTACGAGGCATGCGGTTATATGATCGCGGCTCAACCACAGAAGAATTCTCAAGAACGACTGATTGGCGAACTGATGTCATATCCGAACGCCGCTTGGGACGCCATTATTGCTCAAGCAAATACTAATCCTCAAATTCTTCAAGATGCTGATACCATCAAGGTCATCGGTAATGTTATGAAAACTAACGTTTCTGCTTGCTCCTCGATTGGAAGCTACTTCTATCCTCAAATTGGGCGCATTTACCTTGATATGTTGTCTATGTACAAGGCAACAAGCACAATGATTTCTGAAGCAGTTGCAAATGAGGGTAGGGTCCCTCGTACCTTTTATATTCCGCATTACTAATTTGTAATAGGCGAAATTGCCACCAAAATGCCTAGGGTGCGAGGTTTGAGAACTATCAAGAAGGAAATTCTCAAGCTCATCGAAACATTTGTTGAGAAGTCTGATGATCTTGAGATGGTACGAAATAATATCGTTCCAGCTCTTCTCGAAGCAGTCCTTGTCGACTACAACCGCAATGTGCCAGGTGCCCGTGATGCCGAAGTTCTCAAGGTCATGTCTGTTATTATAACCAAGCTTTCTGTACGTTGGACCCCATATCGCTCGAAATATTCAGTGGTGCATACCCTTTCTTTCTTTAATCTCCTTGTTCTGGAGATATATCCAGCATTTACTAACGTCCAACACAGGGCCTCATGGAAGACCAAGTGCCAAACATCATGTCAAATGTTTTTGAATGCACTTTGGAAATGATCAACAAGGATTTCTCAGAATTCCCTGAACATCGTGTCGAGTTTTTCAGCCTACTCCGCGCAATCAATCTCCATTGCTTCCCTGCACTCCTCAAACTTGACAACAGGCAATTCAAATTCGTCATTGATTCTTGCATGTGGGCTAGCAAGCATGACAACAGAGAGGTCGAGCATGCTGGCCTTAATATGTGTTTGGAGTTAATCACCAACATCGCAGAAACGGATCCTGCAACTTCTAGCGCCTTCTTCCAACAATTCTTCGTTCCAATTCTCCAAGATGTGTTCTTTGTACTTACCGATACTGATCACAAAGCTGGTTTCAAGTCGCAAGCAACTTTGTTGGCAAGGATGTTCTACTTTGTCTACCCAGCTGATGGTACTGCACCAAAAATCCAAATGCCAATCTTTGTTCAGGATCAAGCTCCACCAGGAGCAAGTAACAAAGATTTCCTCACAAACTTTGTGGCTACTTTGTTGCAGAATGCATTCCCCAATCTTCAAGCGTAAGTCAATCCCCTCTACCCTCCCTCCTATCAATTTACGTTGCTAAGCCATTTTAGACCTCAGATTCAAGCCTTCGTCGACGGTCTTTTCACACTCAACCATTCCCTCGACCGATTTAAACTTAACTTGAGAGACTTCTTGATCTCATTGAAGGAGTTCGCTGGAGACAACACGGAACTTTATGCCGATGAGAAAGAGACAGCTGAAAGAGATGCCAAGGCCGCAGAACGTGAACGTCTATCCAAGGTTGGAGGACTCATCAAGCCTGCCGAACTTGATGATGAAGATGAATTGTGACTTGATGAGGAGCTACGGATCGACCATGCACGACCAGAAAACCCACCCTCAGATCAAGGACGCCGAATCATCTACAACGCCAATAAACTTGATGGTTGGGACGTTTATGATCTTTGAACTTTCCATATACATCTGGCAGGACAAACTACTGTCCGATCTGGATAATGATATTTTTCCTTACTTTTCGCTCAATGATATCACATACTCAGGAGCGATTTCGCTACCTAAGTGGAGTTACTACGAAGGATCAGAATGATATTGTTTTCTGAAAAGTTATTCTTCTGTTTAGATTCAATTCTCCGATGAACATCGTGAGGCGATACACAATAGGCATTTGCGAAGCAATTTTTCATTTTCTCGATACCTCTGAATTTATGAGACACACTGTAAATGTGTCAGTGGTGGGGGAAGTTTGAGCAATTTTAAGGAACTGGGTGAATCGAAGTGGGATTCTGATACAACATATGACAAATGCAGGAGCATTTTCAGATTCAGATATCACAATGAATATGGTATTAAGGAATCATGAAATTTTGCAATGTGACACTTTTTTCAACCAAATATCTTGGAAGTATTCCTAGTATGAAATGTACTTACGAGTGCAAAGGTTCTCTGAGTCAATTAGTCAGATTGATCGATTGACCAATGAAGACTCATAATACTACACGTGCATCTATTATTAGTAACAATCACAATTTACCTTCCCTTCTTGCATTTTCTCCGTCAGCCGTAAATCCTTCAGTACAACGCTTGTACCTGGGTTAAGGAAACTAGGAAGCTTCCGCATCTTTAACTTCAGGCAAATTGCATCACTTATTGGTTTATGATCCTTTGCTAATAAAGTCTCTTGGTTATGGGTAAATGCATTTAATAAAGTTAAGTCTATATTAACTTGAGCAAGGAAGTATACGTCTATTATATTACCCCTCCGTTTGTACAATATTTCCCATGTACTTCTTCTCATCTTTTCTGTTTCACATCTTTTACATTATTCCAGTCATTTAGTGATGTCTTCAGGAAAATTTATCACAGTAGTCTGTTTCTTCGGTCTTGCGATCGCTCAAAGTAGTACATATGTCAATCAAACAACGTGTAATGGCAACACATACACGTATCAAGAGTTAGGGGGCTATGGGTTCATTCCTGGAACCACCCGTGATAAGTTTGGGGATACGATTGGAGGGATTGGAAGTTCTATTGCGATGGATAGCAAGACGTGGACTAAGTTGAGTAACGGAAGTTATACGGGAGTGCTGTGGACCTTGCCGGATAGAGGATGGTTGGTAGTTTCTATTAGGCTTCAGAAGAATTTAAATAGTGAGTACTGATGCGCAAATAGGAATACGGAGGGTACACTCAATTACCAAGCTCGAGTGCATAAATTCGATATCCTTTTTACTCCTATGCCTGGTGCAACGGTAGCCAATCCTTCAAGGAACAATTTGGTGTTCGAGTATATTGATACGGTACTTTTCTATGGACCTGATGGTACACCCACGACAGGGCTGGATGCTGATGGATCGGGGCATTTAAGTTACGATGGCTTTCCAGACTTGCCAGTTGCGACGTATACAGGTGACGGTTTTGGGAATGATGGAACCGGCGGGAGGAGGATACCAGTCGATTCAGAGGGTCTAGCTCTTGATGGCTTGGGCGGCTTCTGGATTAGTGATGAATATGTATGTATTTGGCCTCCTAATATTATTATTGGTCTAACCATCCCCTAGGGTCCCTATATCTACCACTTTAACTCCTCTGGCACAATGATCTCCGCCATTCGACCACCAGATGCCTTCATACCCATGCGTAATGGTAGCGAATCCTTCTCTGCCGACTCCCCATACTTTTACCTCGATCAAGGCTCTGGCGACGACGTATCGCCAGCTGATAATCCTACCGGTAGAGGTAACAACCATGGATTTGAAGGGCTAAGCATATCTGTCGATGGCAAAACTCTCCATACTCTCCTCCAAGCAGCGAACAACCAAGAAGGCGGCTTGAAAAAACAGACTGAGCGCTATACCCGCTTTCTCTCATATGATATCTCTGATCCGAACAATCCTGTATATCTGAGCGAGTATGTAATCCCTCTTCCTCTTTGGACCGATCCAACAGCTAGCAAAAGTAAAAATCCGAAAGTTGCTGCACAGTCTGAAATTCATGCTTTACCCAATGGACAATTCTTGGTTCTAGCAAGAGATTCTGGCGCAGGAAATGGGCAGAGTACTACACTTAGTATTTATAGACAGATTGATGTTTTTGATATCTCTAGTGCGACGAATATCAAGGGAGCAAAGTATGATTGTGCGACTTGTTCAATCGCTAGCACGACAGGAGTGCTGGTTAATGGAATTGTGACGGCAGCCTATTGTGAGTGGTTGGATTTTAACGATAATGACGAGCTAGGTAGGTTTGGGGTACATAATGGAGGGAAAACGGATCAAGGGCTGTTGAATGAGAAGTGGGAGAGTATAGCTGTTGTACCTGTTGATGGGATTGATGGAGCAGATGGCGAATGGGTAAGTCTCCGTCTTTTAGATGGGTATAAGAGGATATAAGCTAATTTACTGGATTCATTAGTATGTTTTCAGCTTGAGCGATAACGATTTCATTACGCAAAATGGTTATCTGGAAGGGGGAAAGTTTGCTTATAGTGATGAGAGTGGATATAATCTTGATAGTCAGGCTTTGGTGTTTAAGGTTCAGATCCCAACGCGTGTTATAAGCTGAGGAGAGGGATGTGGCTTGAAACGGAGCTGGGTAGTTGAAACGGGGGAAAGGGAGAGTGGGGTAAGGTGTGCGATGGCAAAAGGTGAGTTTGAAGCGAATCCTTAGTTTTAGACTAGATTGGTTAATTTATACTGGATTTTGGCAGGTTATTAATGAAAGTGCGGTTTTTTGAAGGTTAGTTATATGTTGGTGTGGTTTTGAGTGGAATTATAGAGGTGAAAACAACGACTTTTAATTGAATTTGGTAAGAATGGACCAAATTACATGTAGGGAATAACCTCATCGTCATCTGAGTATTCCTTCGACAATTTCTCTTCCTGTATTTACGCTCAAAACCTGCACGTCTCAAAACCATATCTCCCGGCTCCTATCCTCTTCGTTGTCTTTTGGCCTCCGGTACTTCTTCGCCAGTATATCCAGAATCAGGATCCCTCCGCGCAAACGATTTTGGTGGCGCCGTTGCGTATTGGGTTCTTTGGGTTTCGTGCATAGTTACCGGCTGTGTTGCGAAGGTTGGTTCATCTGTTTCGTGGCTTTGTGGTTCTTCTGTGTATGTTGTATCTTGGAAATATGATGAATAACCTTCTGGTGCTGTTGCTGTCATTGGCTCATAGCCTTGGGGGTGAGGTGTGGTTGGTCGTCCATAGATATCACAACGATCCGGCCGCTGCAAGAAAATTCCACCTCGAGCGTGTTGTCGAGTAGGTGTTGCAATTCTTCCGTCGCTCATAATATACCACTCATTACCTCTTTTTGAGTACGATACTATACGGTCCTCCAATATTCCACCTTGAGGTGGCGAGGGTTCAAAGGAAGAAAGCACTGCGAAATGGGTTTGGCCGAGAACCATTTTCTGCCGTGCTTGATCATGAACGTACCCCATTACTTCATTTGTGCATCCACGATGATTTTTGCATTGCCAGTTTGCGACTTCGTCGTTTACAATGCCTAGCACCACAAATCGGCATCCAGTAACAGAGCATCGAAGTGTCTTTTCGGGAGGCTCGCAAGCGTAACAAATGAAATTCCTGTTGAGGTAGCTCTCATTTTCCACATCAGGATCCCCACAAAGGATCTCCTGTTGTTTTACCCTGCCACGACTATCCCTCAACTCTTGTTTGACTTTATGGCAATACATGCTCTTCTGGGGATATGAATCAACAGGATATTGATCACAGCAGTTTTTTCTCCCTTGGCTTCTGGTAGCACGGTTGACGCAAGGGTAGGAAGGTTCTTTATAATCGCAGCTTAACGTCGATATCATAGCCTAAGCTCCATAATGGGTCCCACTTCCATATCTTCCTTGCAAGGAGCTTGAGCTCAGGGCCTGAGGTGTTGTAGTGCTTTGTGTCTGGCTAGACGAAGGCTGACCGCTTGAGCTTGATTCTTCTCCCTGGTTTGTTACAATGTTTATGTATGCTGAACTTTGTCTTTTGTGTGATGGACGTGAGCTTTTGTGTGATGAACGTGAGCTTCTGTGGTGGATGCTTGGTTCATGACCGGCACTGCTGGATGACTCCGGGGTTGAAGCTGAGTGCACAGGTTGGGCATATCTTTTAACGACTTCCATGGTTTCGGTTTCCATCGTAAATTTGGACTTCTATGAAGGATCCGTGTTCATCCTTCTGTTCCGGTGGCGGCTTCTTAAAATCAGACATACTGTTCATATTGGTAAGTGTTCCTCTACAGCGCGGCTAGGAATATATTCAAGTACCTTGAGAATTTAGTGCCTGCGCTGATCCTAGTGTGCAATGTTCGAAGAACCTCAAAAGGTAAAAGTACTGCCATCGTTTAGCTATTACACTAATGCATTCCAGGAAACAGAGCTTACCGAAGCTTTTATTCGATGAAAATCAGTGTAAACTGCGAACACAGGGGCTTAAACGAACATGTGAGGAGCACTAAATGACCCGCGAAAAGGGCGACGAGGAGCTATTGAGCAACAGAAGAATTCTCGGTTTATGTTTGAGTAGTATGGAGTTGGTGCCTTTTTTTTAAGAAAGCTGTGTGGCAAGAACTAGGTGTTATTTTGTGCGGAAGAGTTCAAGTATTTGAGAAATGTAGTAGATATTTTGATGGAGTGGATGAAGATAGAAAGAGAAGGGATACGAAAGGGAGAAAACCAGTACTACTTCTACACAAACAAACACTGGAAAAGGACGCCAAGGGACAAATATTCGAGTCGAAAATCACGTCGAAACGATGAATATTCATAAAGATATTAGCTATTCTGTGTCATTACAGGCATCTCAGTGTCATTTCGTTGATTTTTCGAGTCATCAAATGTGCGTCATTCGAGACCTCAAAAAGGCTACGCAGTCAGATAGATCCCCAAATCCAAGGCAATCACAGGAAGTTTGAGGTCCAGTCATTACATTTTCGGATTCATTAGGAACTTCCAGTCACTAAAATACCTGGTTTTCAGGCTTTTGATGACCCTGCTACACTGTATGACAACCGAATAGTGGTAATTAGGTATGGTTCATCGAAAATGAGTGAAAAAGATTCGCTGAAGAGTCCTGAAATGAGATTTTCAGTCATTGAAATATATAATTTCAGATTGTGGTATTCTCAGGAGACGCTGAATGACGCGCAATAATAGAAATCCAGATACAATTTAGCTTACGTTAATCAAAAGATACGCTGAACGGCTCTGATAAGTGACTTTTAGTGAATAGGCCTGTCAGAATAGACTTTGGAGACACTGTGGGACGCTGGGTCATGTTATATGGTAGTGGTTTAGGTGTCAAGTGTAAATTTGTTGAGAAATTCTGTAAAATATTCCATATTAGTGTCGTTCTGTATCAATAGGTACTAAAATAGGGGTAATTGGTCCTTAGGGATCAATTAAAAACCGTAAAAGCCTGGAACAACCTTGATCACCCCCGGTAATATGAAATGTCCATGAAAAACTCAAAATCTCATAAGACTCCTAAAAATGATACGGAACATAATAATATACTTGGAAAATCTCTAATTTCTACTCGGAATATATTGTAAATTGATTTAATTAAAGCTATATCTATGAATTAGCTCGTGTTGAATATGTATATTTAGGGATTGGATTTAAAAATTTAGTGAAATTATTATATAGTATTAAATTGATAGCTTGATGAAGATGAATTTTAACATTTTATAGACTCGGATTTTAATATTAGGTTTATTCTAGATATAAAATGGTATACTCCGCCGTGTCTAGACGAGATCATTTAATACTCTGATCATCCGAAAGTGAATATAACACATGATACACTTTTGAATGTGCCATAATTAGTAAGGTGTTGAGGCTGTTTCGTTTAGATCGACCTTGAATTTATTCAAAATTATACATTAATCCTCACACTGCTAGATCCAACACAAGATTAGAAGTGCAGCAAAAAGCTGTATTATGGAGCTTCGTATTGCGAACCTTGCACTTGTCGTCATTAGCCTCAATTACCACCGTGGGTGTATCACTTCGCATTTCTGGAAACATAAAATGATGCGATGTGAACGCCTAGCGAAGTAAAGAGGAAAACATCCATTTCATTAAGGTTCAACAACTTTCATGGCTTATTGCTTTTATTGCTCTTATAGCAGATGAAATTCATTATGCCAATCTCCCGATTGATGGAATAGCAGAGGTGAATTGGAGAGTAGAGGGGTTGGAAATGACGAAGGTGATCGCTTAGAAGTATATATACGTATACATGTACCTTACATACACAGATAATGAGCTAATTGTTTGTACCCTGCACTGCTTTTTAGTTTCCCTTAAACTACCTCTTCCCTCATACATGCATTTTCTTCTCTCCTCATCTCTTAATTCCTTTGTCTTCAGCTTAATCACAAACTACTAACCCATTTAACCCTTTTTCAACTAGGCGTTGGGCACCAAGTGATATTGAAGAAAGGAGATAATAATATTAAGCGAGGCTTTCATTGTCGCTCCCTGCATCACTGAAAACGATTTATCTCACTAGCACTCCAGAGATGATTTTATTCCTGAAATTCCCATTTGATTTATTCTTCCAAGTTCAGAATTTACAATATTTAATCTGGGGTATGCATCTGTTTTTTCTTTTGGTTATTCGGATTCCATCTTCTTTTCATCTTGACTTCGTAATATACATATTTTTTTTTGGATATTTTTGGAAGTCAATGATTAGCCAATTTCTATACTGAATTTTCGAAGACCGCTTAGACTTCAGAACGAAAAATATTACAAGACTTACTATTGGTCTGGATATCAATGCTAGCAATCACTGCGATTCACTATCGAGATTTTATCAAGTGTACAGGGCTTCCAACATCCTCGAATCTACCAAGGCTTTCAAACATCCATGATCATCAACACAGTCAGAAATTCTACTGATAAGGAATCCTATGCCCAATCTCCAAGACAATACGTACATGTATGTACCTGACCATCGAACACTCACAAATACGCATTGCAAAATCAAGTATAAAAGTGAAACAAAAATGGTATCAAGAGTCTTTATTTGCATGATTCTTTCATGAGTAAAAGTAGTATGTAAAACTCATGTAAATTCCCCCACCCCATCCACTCATTAACCTTAAACCTCACTCACCATATCCAACTACTAACAAAGGAACGCCACACACAGTCTCCGAGTCGCGATCGATTGTTCGTAATTTCAATAAATAAAACTATCTACCACCAGTACCTATCTATCTATATATGATTCAATATCCATCCCATCCTATCCGATACAAATCGATTAATCTCCTATCAGAACTCCAATCATCTAATTCCAGTAACCTTAGTCGTCACAGCACGTATATATACCTAGGTAATGATGTATAAGCTTTATTTAACCTTAAGCGACTCTTCTTTTCCGCCCACTAGCTGTCTAGTGTGGTCTACCGAGGCGGCAAATAGAAGCCGCCAGGATACGATAACGACCAAAGCCTCCGAACGCTAGGGAAATTTTGTTCTTATTAGTTACGTGTCTCGTTTAGAGATCGCAGTTTTCTGAGACTTACTTTGAACTTTCGGGCCGCACGAATAGAAGTAAATCCAGTCAGTACAGGCGTAACCCTTTTCCTAATTAATAGACAGAACAGTTTATTCACATCCTGAGACTCGCCATCATAGCTCTGGTATAGCGGATAGGTATGCATAATTTTTGCGGCTTATATATAGAGTTTTTTATAAATTTATAATACGATAAATGACACACAGATTAGAAGAGCCATTTTAGCACATTCAATCAACCAATCTTCACCCCACCCACCGGAACCCTCTCCCTCTCATCCACACATAACCACAACAAATCCGGTCTACTATAATGACCACAAACATCCAAGAAACCCTTACACCTAATAATATCATCCAGATCCAGATCGGCATAGATGAATCCCTCTACCGTCTCCGGTAAATCTTCAGACAATTTCCTACCGTCGGGTCCGAAAATAGCAGATGTACCTCCACCGGGTACATTCATCACGAGACCTCCTCCCGTGTTCATTTTATCGATACCTTCCTGACTTAATACTGCGGTAGTATGTAGAACGAATGATTGCGACTCCATAGCATATGATTGCGAGAGTGCTCTACTCCCTAGGATATTCCGTTAGCGCGATTACATCTATTGGGGTATGTGTGTGTGGGTAGACCTACCATCTCTAGACATAGACCAAAGACCCTGTCCTCCCGTATGCTCGGGAACAGGTGGCCATTGCGCCACGTGAATACTTTCGTTCTGATTATAAGTATGATATTTAAGTAGAGGTAATGCATGTTCCCAGCAAGCCAAAGCGCCTACACGACCCAGTCCCGGAAGCTCAACAACGTTTTTCAAGGATGAACCGGATGCTTCGCCAAATACGGTCCTTTCCATATGTGTAGCCTTGAGCTTTCGACGCAATATTTGTATAATACCTTCTTGATCGATGATTGCTTGAGAGATATAAAGACTATGGTTGAAGTTCTCGCTAAAACCTAATACGACTGAGATATTGAATTCCTTTGCTGCTGTACAGATGTGCTTCATTTCGGGTGAATCAACGCGCAGTGAATTCTTGATATAGGTAGTGGAGAGATCGAAATCGACACTTCGAGTCCTTGAAGAGATGATAATCGTTAGTGGAGCTTGGGAATAGAGGATGAGAGAAAATGCTACCATATCCATGAAGGATACCCGGGGATCCAACATTCGGGGAATGAGACCAGCTGTGCACCATTGGCAGATGCCTCTTTGATGAGAACGCAAGTTTTGTCAACGGTTTTTTGTAACTCGAGCCAAACAGGTTCAAATTGTGTCACTGCAACTCGCACGTGTCTCGGGGGTGTCGTTGAGGCCATTTTGATAAGAAAAATTCGTCGAACTTCTGTTATTTATTTTCTGCGGATACAAAACCTCTGAAAAAAAAACGAATAGATCGACAACACTGCATATTTATTCTTTTTTGAGAGATTAGTCGCAAAGTTAATTTAGTGATTTAGTTGGTTGGTTTTGGATCCGTAAATCCGCTGAAGCTCGGATCGTGTCATGCCATGAAATGAAGCTATCGCGGCGGCATATTCGAGCCGCCGCTTGTCTGATAAGAACAAGACCATTTCAATGTACCACTTGATAAGACCAGAGTAATGTCATATGCTGGATATCAATACTCAAACCAGACTGAAATAAATGCATAATATAAAGAGCTGCAAATGTTTTGTGTTGGAAATATGTACTCGGTTCTTTTCATTACCTTCATATCTTCATAGAATTCAAATTATTCTACTTCCTTCTCCACATTGTGCGCATCTGTTCTCTGAAAGCAAAATCAAAATGGTCTTCGGTATTCTAGAGCCAGCTTCAAACATAACCCCATCTGGTACCAATCTCATAGAAAGTCTGGATAATGCATCAAACCCAGAGGGAGCCGGAACACAAGTCATCCTCGTTCCCAAGCCATCCGGATCACCATTAGATCCATTGAATTGGCCTCGACATAAAAAAGAACTTCTCTTTGCAACAATTGTTTTCGGAGCATGTGCAGCCGGCTCACTTGGACCTGTTGTTGTGCCTGGTTTCACTGCTGTCGCCGTATTACTCGATGTTTAGTTAACGGATATGGCCTTCTGAACGGGAGCTTGATCATGACTCTCGGCTTGAGCGCGTACCTATGTCCTTACACAGCCGAAGTCTATGGAAAGTAGATGGTATATCTTGTTACAACAATTATAATTGTTGCCGGATGTTGTTGGGCTGGTGCAGCAAATTCATACCATTCACTACTGGGAGCAGGATATACAAGGTGAATTTGAGGACATGTCTGGGGATTGTAAAACTGTTTGAGCATTGCTAATCCGTCGCAACAGGACTCGGAATGGGTGGCTTTTATGCTATGGCGGGTACCTCTTCAATTACCGATATATTCTTCGTGCACGAGCGTGGTAGGCGTATTAGACATTAGAACTTCAGCGTCATCATCTCGAACAACCTCACACCGATCGTGAGCGGATATGTAATATCAACTTTGTCCTGGCATTGGAGCTTTTGGCTTCTAACAATCCTTTGGGTTGTGATTCTAGCAGTAACTCTTGCTTGCTTTCCCGAGACGACTTTCTATCGCAACACAGGCTTGGATAACTCCGTCGAAGTTGAAATGCTTGAGGAGGATAACTCAACGCCCCAAAAGAACAAACTAGACAATCCCGCACAAACTACCAGCTCACCACGTCATGAGGTCGAAAGCTTTGACGTTGAGAAATACTCTCAAACATCTAGTTGGAAATATGATTTTGGATTCAGTGCTGTAAAGTTCCACAACCAAAGCCGCGTCTTCAAGCTTTGTGTGGATCCAATTATCCTATTAGCACATCCTGCAGTCCTCTAGGGGTGCGTAATGTGGTCAGTGGTTTTCACATGGATTATTCTGATTGGTGCTGTGGTTTCTCAAATTTTCGGAGCACCACCATATAGCATGAGCACAACCGCAGTCAGAAATCTTGCTGGTATCGCACCTCTTATTGGATCCACGATTGGAATGCTTACTGGAGGATGGTCTTGTGATAGAGTAGCCGGGTATCTGGCGTTACGGAATCGTGGTGTGCATGAGCCATAATTTCGTCTTCTTATCATCATACCAGCATTCGTTGCCATGGCTATTGGCGGATTTGGTCTCGGGGCTGCAATTGATAGAGGCCTCTCACCAGTTACGTGCGGTGTTTTTATTGCGATTTTGAACTTCGCGGTTGGGTTGGTGCTGGGTGTACCGGCGTTGTTGCATACACCAACGATTTCTGCAGCCAGCGATGCGGTGAAGTTTTCGGTCTTGCTATGGTAAGCCGTCATTTCGTTGAAAAAGATGAGATCATAAATGTCTAACGTTTATCTTAGATTATCAAGAGCGCCTTTGCATTTGGCCTCATCTTCGTTTTCAACGGCTATTATAGTGCAGCTGGACCTCTTATATTCTTCTCAACCTTCACAGCTGACCCTAGGTGTCATGCTGACGACAATTCCGATGTATGTCTTCGGAAAGAGAATATGAGCATGGGCAGATACAACGAGTACATTAACGTTCGCTGGACCTAAGTGATGCATTTATATGATGGGAGTAAAGATATTAGTGGTAGCTATAAAAGAGGACGTTTTTTCAAGACTGGTCCGTAGATGGAAATAACCAATTTAGATCGTTTAACTGAAAAGGGTCACCCCTCTCATAGATACCAAATGTGAAATCGGTTTGTGCAAAATCTTCACCTTCCTTAATTACTGCTGAGCCGGGATCTTCGGCAAAAGGGTTATTGGTTAGATCAGCTGGGTAAGACATGGGAAATATGTCATCCTTATTTTGCATCTGAGAAGCGACCGTACTTTGGTCATTCGCTGACAATTCAACATTGCTCTGGCTTGGATACTCTCTTTGAACATCAGTAGAAAGAGGATAGCTCAATCTCATTGGCAGTGCGAACACCACGGACCACCTATGGGCGAGTTCTTGAAGTAATGCGATAGCCTTACGCAGTCGCTTCCAAGCAAACTTCATTTGACCTAATGCTTCAATACACTCTCGGAATTGATGAACTGATCGCTTACGTAAAGTGCCATTGGTGGAGGTCGCACTGAGCAGATGCATAATGGCTGCGGTAAGCACATGATGTACCACGGAAAATGGGGCGATCTGGAGGTATCCGGCCTTTCGGTAATCTCGTAGCAGACTCGTAATGGCAACAGCAGAAGAAGTTGATGATTGAACAGCCATCCGATAAAGAGCGCTATTGGGATCTTCGCGCAACAAAGGGCGCTGCACTAGTATGATGCACGTGTGATATGTCATCCGAAAAGTGAGCATGCCGCTAGGCTGTGCACTCCGGTGATTTGGTAGATGACTGTTTGTTTCATTATAGAAAGTAGACAGGTTTTCGCGAGCATCGAAAAAAAGTTTGTTGCGGCTCTGGCTGTCCAATTCATGAAACTGGAAGGAATAGCTGAATTCGTCAGTTGAATACGAGATATTCTAATTGTTTGGCATACATTTGATCCATGTACTTATCAAATATGAAAAGGAGCTGACACTCATAATTAAACACGAGCTCTGTGAGTGACACTGATGATGTTAGAATACTCTCTAACCACGGAGTCCTGACACGAGTCCATGGAATGGCACATTGTCGTCCTAGACTTAGTGTGGCAATGCTTAAAAAGATCAGTCAAAGTTCCTAAGTGCATCAAGTTAACTTACCGGTCAATACGAAACCAAAGCCAAAACGTTCGAATGCGTGAGTCTTTATCCTCTGGTGAGATGCCTGCGATTTTTTGATACTCCACTACATGTAAACCAAGGTGTGTTGCCAAAGCCGCACCCATACCTAAGCACAGTAATTAGTCAATCTGCGGTTTCGAAACTATCGATAGAACTAACAGTTATACATCCATGCCATGTTTTCGTTGTCTAAAGTGAGATCACGCCAGCACAGCATTGCTAATGCCCGAATCAACAGGAGCGACGGACAGCTTTGGCAACATTGCTGTACCAGACTTCCAGCGTGCAAGTAAAATATATTGCTAATATGAGCAGCATTATCCCTCTTCGAATAACATGCTGCAAGAGCAAACATTGCAGTTCGTAGCAATATCTCATCTAATTTAGTTTCGGTATTGTGAAAAATATATCTATCGAGAAAGGATGACTCGAGAAATTGATTATCCGGGTTCACCACGGAGGTAAAAATATCTAACAGCTCCTGCTGTAACACAAAATCTACAAGACACTGGTCTAAGGAAGGCATCTTAGCCGTCATGGTAATTTGGCCATTGTGAAGCTGGGTGTCACTTCTAGGCTCTTGCGGGGTAGAAATAAACTGGAGGTTGGATGATGGGCCAATGAATGAGGTGCCTCCGTTGCTGTCTATCTTCAACTTCCACATCATATTCCCTACCTCGTCGATTGCAGAAGCTAATCGTGTTTCACGATCGGAAGCAATGCCAGAAGATTCACCACCGACCGAGTTTGTGGGTGTGATGTGAATTGATTCCATAGTCGCATCACGCGTACCCATATTAGAGGAAGCGCCATTCTCTAGCTCTTTCACTCTCTGACGAAGTATGTCAATTTGTTCTTCAAGATGCGCAATCTCTTCCGGGTCTCTTCTGCGTCTAAACGAATATGGATTAGATAGGGCTAGGAAGTAGAGCCGGAGATCATTCTCACTTCCGGTTATTTCGTTCATGATCATAAATGCAGTCTCTTTCCTGCGCCAGACATGAGGAGCATTGCGGCTTTCCTCCGTCACATTTGCGCTTCCGACGGCGGCATTCAGCACACGCAAGCTCTATTCTTTTGGTGCGGTCCATACAAGTATTTCAAGCGGTCAACCTGAAATTAACAAATGAAACAGGTCATTTATTTCATTAACGGACAGAATTCGAAGCTGTTGGGTCAAATTCTGCAGACATTTGATGGTAGTATGATCGTAGGCGGTTGAGGTTGCACGTCTGCCGCGTAATGATTACATAACAACGACACGTGATGCTACAAGAGTTAATTTGAACGAAAATGTAATCCTAGAGGTAAAGAATTGGATTTCCTAATATCAAGTAATATTTTACCTTTAGTACTTTTCCACAGTCTCTATCCCCCTTCTAATTGAACAAAATAAACGAGGCAAAAGTGAATATGAAAAAAAAGAAATCCAACTCACTCATAAATTTCAAATCTAGATTTCAAAAGTGTATGTTTCATTTACTTTAGCTTTATCGTAACTGGAAGTAATCAATTTTTTGCCAACTCGGGTTCCTGGCTAGAGTTTTAAAATGTTTAAATTACTATATATTTTAATTATGGTATCTGCTAAGATTTTGTTCTGATATATGTTATTTTGATATATTATTTGCATCTTCAATTTACCCATGAATGAAGCTAGCCAATCAAGGTAAACAGGTGAGGATGCTCGAGAGCTTGTCCAAAACAATCGCTTGGTTAGCAGCACTAGCATCCCTCTTGTTAGTTCCACCAAGACTAATACTAGCATAGCATCCAGATGTCCCGACAACAGTAGTCTCGGTAGGAAGTCTACCCCCATTGTTGCAAGTAACGACATCGGTACCACTGACCCCAATAACCGCACTGTAGATTCTGGACAGGACGAAGCTGTAATCAGAAACCGATGTGCAACCGGCAGTTTTAGGGAAGTTGACGTTCAAGAAAGTCTTGTCTGGGAGGTATGGAGTGCTAGAAGCGGTGAGGGCCTTAACTACAATTGCCGATAATTCGGCGTAGATGGTGGAATATGCAGGTACAGCAACGTCCCAACCTATTGCGGATCCTTCGGCTCCACTGAAAGCAATAGCCGGTATGCCGAGACCTACTGCTTCAATGGCTGCTCCAACAGTACCAGAGACGAACGATATAACACCGGTATTTACTATTGATCATTAGTTTAAAGTCTATCCAAGGAACATTCCAAAAGACTACATACCGCCAACGTTTGGACCAGTAACAGCAAGGTCAGGGGCACCTCCGAAGTACCCGGGAGCTAAGGTTGTAATTCCATAATCCATTGCCTCCGCAGGGTAAGAGTTGACATAGTTGAACTGAGGTGCTGAGGCATTGTATCCCACCGCTGGACTACCACTTGGGCAAGAGTTGTATTCGCATGCCTCAGTAAGTGCGGTAGGTGTACCAGTTAGAGAACCTTTTCATGATAAGTCAGATTTGTTCATTAAGAAGCAAAAAAGAAGCAAAAAAGAAGAAATTCCATACCAGAACCGCTCTTGTTTTCCGCAGGAGCAGAAACAAGAACATCATGCCCCCCATTAGTTAGAGCAGTGTATAAAGTTCGAATGTTCATTTCAGCCCATCCATCATCATTAGCAGAGACGATATTCAATGCCTGGGCCACGGCCGGAAGCAAGGCCAAAGATGCAGTTGCGAAACGCATGATTGATGGCTCGGTGCAGGGCTGACGAATGTGAAGCTTGAAATAATTGACTTAGAGACCGAGAGGTTGGCAGTGCGGGGAGCTTCTGGAGACTCCATACTGGGTGAGTTGTACCTTTATATACTCTAATTTCTCAGGATAGAAACGTTATTCCCATTCACCGTTCAAATGCAAGCGAAGTCGACTTCAAAGTTCACAGAGTGGAATTGCGGAGATTGCGACAAGACCACGATCCATGCCCCTACCATCGTTCGCCCCCTGCACCACCAAGGAATGAATGCCCTCTTCATAGGCACGTGTAAGAATAAGAGGATTTTGCTAATTCAAATGAGAATAGTTCGATCGGAATAACGAGGGATAAAAGCTTGTCTTGCACGGAGTAGAGTACCACAATCTCGAATTAAATTAATGCTGTGCATAAGTACGGTCTGATTATTCGGCGGTAGAAATGGCCCTTCCATATCTAGATGTCGGCACCGAGTGTGGGGTCATGTTCCTGCCACAATCCCCACAGATCACGGCACTCGAGGCCAAAACTTATGATTTCGTTGTTAGAGTTCAATTGTTGAGAAACTCTGCTTGATTCTCGGAAAAGGGTTGTGTCCTTCTTGGTAATGAGGAAACTATAATTTTGTTAGCGTTGTTAAGGTTCAATGTTGGACACAATAGAAAGGGATTTGGTTCTTTCTCTGTTGATACGAAATTGATAGGATGTTGTGATTGAAAGTAGAGAAATCAAGATGGAGGGGTATTCGCATCACGTATCCGATCGTTCAACTTACCATATCAATGGCATACATATAATCTCGAGAGATTCACGGTCTTGGATTCTTTCTCATGCTGAATATCAATTCGTAATCTCAATGATTGGCAAGGCTATCGTGGAAGATTTTTGCCTTGTCCATCACATTTTAACTTCGATCATCACGCAGAATATCAGGCAGAATATGAGGCAGAGGTCGGCATGATATTTATCCGACCGGAGTTAAACCGAAGGCGAGTCTTTCGAGTACGTTACTCCTAGTTGGCTGTGGATTCCATTTAGCTAGACTATTTCGCACCCACCTGACTAAGCTTTAATTCACTCGAGAAAAGAACATTGAGTTGAAGATCAAAGGAAAAAGGAAGCGCGACCCAAAGATTGTGTATGCTAAACCTATGAACCAAAAAGTTCAAAAAAAAATCTGAACTCTTCGCCGTGAAGCAATTGAAGCTCCCTAACCGGTTCGAACGATTGACCTGAAGATATTTGTACGAAACTGCAATCTTCCGCTCTACCACTGAGCTAAAGGAGCGAAGAGGATCCATAATCGATTGAGAGATAGTCTGACGTTTACAAATATAAACTAAGTCTTTTACGCCAATACTACATACAGCACCACAGGTACTCGACAGCCAGCCGCTTGCATACAAAGGTAATAAAGTCAACAAGGAACAAGGAACAAAAAACCTCGACATTTATATTCAAACACCTTTCATATTGAATTGAAATACTGCCATCCAAAGTCTCAGTCATCAATTCTAGTACTCTCCGATGCCAAGGATTTGATAGCGGCTCTCTCTGAATATTGACGCGACACGTTATAATTAGCACCTTTAACAAATGTCGGTGGCTCGAATTCATAATGTCGATTCAGTCAACGAGTCCTCTCGTATTTTTGAATCTTTCTACTCTGCCTCTCAGGGTTAAGGGAGGGTTGTTTGGCTGGAACCTAAACTTTACATCAGCTCTACTCGAATAATGTTTTCCTTATATCCACAACCACCACACCAAAAAATCAACATTTTCAAAATTCAATTAAAATTCGAATTTCCTAAGGAAGTATTTCAAATTTTAAACATGAAGTTGGAAACACAAGAGTATTTTATTGTTCAAAATTTATATTATCATTGTGAAAATTGAAGGTTTTACAAACTAATTTATCTTTTCTTATTAAAATATTTAGTACAGAAAGATAAGATTATATTTTTCACCTTCAAAATAATATTCTGTTTGAATAATTTTTTAATATATCAATATTTTGATACTTGATCATCTCAATTCTCAAATTTCAATCAAAAATATTATAACTTTAAATTTTAATTTTAATTTGAAATAATCGATTTTTGTTATGATTTGTGATTTATTCGAAGATCGGACCGTAAGTCCGTACACCCACTGATGGACCCGATACCCAAAGTTCCCAATTTACTATCCAAACATCATCACGACAAGTAGTTCCTGGGCCACCTATACTGAAGCAAACACTTGTACAAAAGCGCCTTCCTTCCATGGAAGTTATCTATCTTCTGTATGACTGTCAACAGATTTGCATCGGTAGTCCAAGATGCTGTTGACTAACAACATCTCAAGTCCCCATCACTGCGGCTTGTAGAGATTAGCTGAGGAATAACAACATTAAAGAATTTTAAACTGGCAATTAAGTAATCTATATACTAGATACTTTTTATAACTTTTAGGGTGGCGAAACATTTATACAACTACAGATAGAGCATTATTATTGTGCTGAGTGATCTACAAAAATGCCCATTTCATGGCTGCCCAGTTAAGAGCTGTTAATATGGACCTTTTCTATTCTTCATAAATGCTCGTTTTATCAGAGCCTTGAAGGACCTTAAATGATTCAAACCGATCAATTTTATATCCTCCTTACGGGTGTCTTGTGCTCAGTCCGCACTATTTTATACACTACGACGTCCAATGCCCTAAAAAGGTCTTCTGCGCATGACCAACCCTGATAAGTTTGCATCCAAAAATATAAGCAACAGTGATGACATATTATTACAATTTAGTTCTAACTACGCTTTATTGTATTTCATCTCATCTCTATTCTATTACATTTACTCTCTATTTGACGGATCATCCCTCGCCGGCTTCAAACTAAACCGCACCCGATTTAACTTTGGCATCCGGTCAAGCACGACAGTTTCCATTTGCACAACCGCCTCTTTACATAGTTTCGCCGTGGTCGCATCATACGAGCACAAAAGCATCCGCACTAGTCCACGAGTCCGCGCGCCTGCCAAGACTACCGAAGGTGGAAGCTCGGCTTCGAATGGAATCGCTGACAATGTACATGTGTCGATGAGTGTGAACGATCTTAGTCCGTTCATGTCGCCGTGCTCTTCACCAACAAGAGAACCCGCCGCACTATGTGCTCCTTCCATCCACTGTAAACGTCCCTGATCGGACCCAAACATCAACTCTTCCACCCTGCCCAAGTCAGGACGTCCCGCAACCCCATACAATCTAGCCTGCGTCTGATGAATTTCAGAACCATACAAATGGCGCAGTACCCAAGGCACCGAAATTACATTCCCTACAAACACAGCCAAAAATACCTGCCACAAGATCCAAAATGGAAACACAATTATCCTCTTATGTCTCTCAGATTGATAACTCAAAAACACAGCTATCAATGCCACAAAAAGCACAAATATCATACTAAAATACGCACCCAACCTCAGCAACGTCCAACTAGTTATCTGTGGTCGTATAGGCTCATAATCAATTGCTTCAAGAAACGCCCAATTAACCATGGCGCCCTTCGCATCCCCCAATATCACAGTGTCATTCTCCACCACTTCGGCAATTTGACAAATAGGCGTAATATCCCACAATTTCGCCCCCCAAACATCCTGCATCTCATGCCATGGCGCCCGATGATCTTTCAATTTGAGACAGAGCAATCGTTCAAGAAGCATATCACTATCATTTGCGAGCGAAAGCCTCGCAAAAGCCTGGAAATCGCTATCAGATTGAAGGACACGGGGCCGTTGTCGAAGAAGCCCTTGTAGAGCATATGCTACGTCCCCCGCCATGCGTTTTTCCGTTTGCCGCCGCTTGAGACATTCGAGCGCGATGGAAATTAATTCTAATTTCGTGAGATGGATCGACGATTCATAGTGATCTATCAACTGACGCAACGCGATCGCATCATCCCAGACGCGACCCGGAAGATTACGTTTGGCGACTAGTTCTGGCTCCGCGGTGTCGGGCGTGTAGATAGAAATTCGATGTTCGGCTGGACATAGAAGGGCTTCTGGGACGGTCCAGAGACGACTTCCCCAGTCTTGTAGCCATTGTGTTTTTGTACTTGGTGAATCGACATCTAGATCTTCATGTGAGTAATCAGCATAATTGAAGCGTGGCCCGACAATTATAGCCATCGAATGACATGCCCGTACGATATCACATATTCGATACACCTCTCCTATACTTTCATCCGCATCCTCGTCTTCTTCAGGTCGTATACACTCATAGTCTATCCAAAAGGCATCGATACCCGCAGCTTTTGTAGCGCGTATCGCAAATCGGATAAGTATATCCATGTCCCTCTCCGCAGCAGCTCTCCGCTGATCATTAATCGAAGATGGTAAACTAGGATCGCCGGAGATAATAGTGTAGAATTGGAGTCGCGTGTAGGAGATGAATATGTAGTCCGGATAACTGTTTCCGTGGGAACGAGCCCAGCTAGATACGTGTCGGGTGGTGTAACCGGTAGATGAAGAGGCGTCTATGAAACAAAGGTAGGCAGGGCCGAGTTGTCGATCTGGTACATCCTGTATGTTTGAGAGGGTGGATGCAGGCTGCAGTGGGGTGTGGTTGGATTCGGAGACACTATGGAGACTCATTAGGTCTGTAGAGCGAGCGGCTTCTTCATCTGAATGAGTGTTATCTGCAAGTAAACGACGTTCTTGCAATGAAGAAAGAAAAGACAAGTTCCCATGTGAATGAGACTGGGCTTGGTCATGACGTCCTAGTTTCGGACGATTGTAGTCCCATTCGCTACGATTATCTTTTGTGGTTTGAAGGGTGAGTTCGCCAGGAAACCGGGTATGAAAAGGTATCTGAGTGATTGTTTAGTTGGGAATAATCATACCCATAACCTCGTAACTGATACACAAAGTTTAAACGGGAAATACGTACGAGCAACAAAAGCGGGATTGTTCCAATGAGTCGTTTCAGAAGCATATAACAGAACCCCAAGACTCTAACTACCCAAACACAATTCCCAGCTATCTTCCTCCAAACATTCCTCTCCTCGAAATCGGAGCTGATATCGCTGGAAATCACGTGAAGGGGTGCATAGATCCAAAGTATGAGTTTTATCATGAGGTTTTTGCGGGAGACGAGATGCGATGCATTGAGGATTGTTTGTGGTACGAGATCCATCCCGGGGTCGTTGGAATCTCCTCCCTTTTTCGATAGCCCGTTCTCATCGCTCGTGTCATTGCTGTTGTTAGATTGGCGGTCTCGCTGCAGAAGATACCAGCTCCATGATCCGTATGTCAGGGCTGTGAGATATGAGGCTCTTTTATATGTGTTATTATCATGTCATAATATGAGGATTGATTGGATATAAGATGCATGATTTGAGTTTGAGTGATGAGATATATATTTGGTTGAATGTTGATATGTGATAAATATTACAAAACACATAGAAAAGATGTGAATTGAAACTCAAAAACAGGAAGAAGAAAAGGAATACATACAGCAGAATCCCCAATCGTCCCCAAACATAAACTGAATACCGTTGGTATCGACCACGTCGGGAAGTGGAGGCTAATAGTGATAAATAGAGTATTGTGTGAATGGCGCGGTATAGGTTAGAGAGGACATAATAGCGAGGTTGAAGGCGGAGTGTGGATGTATAGTGGAGATAGGGTTCGCGGAGGAGGAGGAAGGAGGAAGAAGAGAAGTGGAAAAAAGAGGATTAGTGGATTGGGATAATGGGATGGGGTGGGGGGAATGGAAGGATGGTGATGAAAATGGAGAAAGGAATCAACTGGAAAGGATAAATAGGAATGGAGAGGATAGATGGTGGAAATGGCCATAAAGTCTGGCAGACTATCAGCGTTATGAGAGATAATATCAGTATAAGTAGTGTATGCTCGAGAGGAAGCTGAATGAACAAGAGTGGCCAGGAATAAGTTATTCATATTTAGCTTGGTGAAATGACTTGGACACGATACTTGAAAAATACACAAGAGTGGATTCAAGCGGAGATAGCGGAGCGGAAGAGAAAAGTGTAGCGGAAAATCGAACCAAATGCATTCCAAAAAACAGGAAATGAAAGGAAGGGAGGGGAAGAAAAATAAAATGAAGTAAAATTATTAATTGGGAAGTTTCCTATCAAATCTGAGGCTGAAAAGGAAGCCAAGCCTAGGAAATAGTATCTCGGTTATTATTGTGGCTATGCGTGATTGATTGATAACATGGCATGGTTGGATGATGGTCATTCGTTCAGAAGTATCTTCGCATATGTACGAGATATAATCGTATCACACACCCAAATAAATCTGGAGTAAAGGAGGAATTAATCATGAATCTAAATATAGCTCTATAGATTTTTGATTTTTGATTTTTGAAAATCGAAAAGGATCTATATCATGTATCTGAATTTCTCGAGTTTTGAAATGTGATTCATTTTTTATATATGGGTGGACCTGACGAATTACACGAGTATCAAATCTGAAATAGGGCTTTTAATGAGCGGATTAGGTTCTGGGAATATTCGAATTTGCTGTGCTGTTTTATTTCGTTTATCGCGTGGCAGGTGCAGTGATATTCTTGTGGAGAAAGCTGGTATTGTTGACTAGGGGCGTGGCTCAGTTAAGCTTGATTGATGCATCTTTTACGTACATTGCAAGGGGTTGTAATGGTGGGGCGAAGTATCAAGTATGCTTGTAGAGGGACAGTCTACAGGTCGAAGATGGAAAAGTCATCTGTCCTCAGAGTACATGTTCAAATCTACGTATATATTCAATCAAGTTTAAGCGATTTTCGAACTTAACTTGGTGGAATCTTGAGACTTGCTTACTCCAATGACTCCTTCCACCCATGGACATCTTCGAAAATGGTACGACGGTTTGAGGTAAGAAGTTAGGTTGAAATGTATATCCATCTTCAATATCTTCAAGGAAGATTAATATTCAAAAGTTAATACCTTGAAAAAATATGATGGATTGTCTGCTTTACAACTCTCTGAAATCGTAGCTCAGACATTAAATGACCCTACCATCAGATATATAGAAATGAGGAATTCAAAATAAAGGTTTGACGATGTTTAAAAAACAATGTTAGGGATGGAACATACAAATCTACGGCAGTATCGTTTATTCAGACACTCGCTGGTCCGCAATTTGAAACTTAGATGTATGCATGTATACATCACAGGCAAAATCACCGATATCAGATTAGACGAAGATACAGTTCACACTAAACGGTAGGTACCCATTATCAAGTTAGAACATGAGATGCAAAGATTTTACATGTGAGCAAGGTATATTTCCAATTTATATAGGGAATGGGAGATTTGAAGATCTCAGCATCATTTAGCATTCAATTTCGAACTCAAGAAGAGTAAAATGTGGAAATTTAGTTTCTGACTTGACTTTATAATAAGCTACACTATAACTTTCCTCTTCTTAGTCCTCTAGGAAATACTCAGAACATGGAGGTTAAAGGTTTTAGGTGTTAAGACCAATAAAGGGGAGGTTAGAAGCCGTATTATCTACTCGACTTCGCCGCGCCAATGGTTATTTAACTACGGAACTCGAGCTAGTCGGCGATGAGAATGCTGCGATGATGAAAATTGAAGCAGAATAGTGAGGAGGGTGGGGATGACGATGTGAAGGTGGCAAAGAGTAAGACTTATGGTGAAAGTGTCTTTTCGGGTATAAATCAGATACATAAGACGGATATTATGTATCTATTTGAAGCAGGTACGAAGTCTGCCAATTCCATCCCTGTCCATAGCATTGGACGTAGCGGAAGTACGATATGGCACGAGATTTATAGTATTTTGAGGTATACACGTGCAATATTTTAATAAGATGGCCCTGCTGCATCTTGGATGTCCAAACCTAGACAATCATACTCCAGACTTGAGTAGAAAGTATATTAAAAATCCAACACTAGATGGAGGTATAGAGACAATGATGTGAATAATACGACAACTTCATGATTCAATGCTTGATATGGACCAAGACATTAGTTTATATGTCTTCTGCAGTAGAAGCCAGGAAAGTTGTATGTCAAGCCAGCTGTTTTGAGCTTCAAATTCACCAGTACTAAACTATCTCGAAAATGGTCAACGACTCACCGAAAATAGTATCAATGACGAAATGAAATGAAACACAATCAGTCTCAGATGACGATGGAAAGCAATACAAATGATGTAGAACGTACATGACAACCGTCTGCTGGACGCTCACCCTCGATTTATTCGCAAACTTGAGGAGTGTTGTGAACAAATAAACTTTGGAGGTTGTTACCAAATAAGCACCTGAAAACCCTTCTTGGACACTAGTTGAAGAATAGTGGCAGCGCATAGTAACTTCAAGACTCATCGCATCCATAACAACCTATTTCTGCATCTCTCGCGGCCCATAAGTTAGTATGGTCAACCTTCCAATATTCCACTTCCCATACAATAAAGCCTCATCATCTGACCTCCCAACCAAACCAGCTAGACCAACCATCGTCTCACCAATCCCAAGCCCGTCAAAATCCAGACATGCAACAAACCATCTCTATCTGCTTCTTAATGCTTCCATTTGTTCTCTTATCCTCGTCTCATCACCTTTTAATAACAGCCACAACTCCGTGGCTGAACCTGAATACGACAAATCGAAATCATGGATACTACCAAACTTCAATCACGCGGGCATATTCGCGGACCAATACTACCTAATCCAGTCACCCGAAAAATAATTGTGAGCAAAAAAAAGAGAACATGGGATATGATCAAAGTTTTAGTAGCTCATAGCGCCAATATCAAATATCAAATGCCGAAACGGCATGAGTGGGGGTTTTTGAAGTCCCGAACTGTTAAAATAATAAAACCCATGTCTTTTGTTGGGCTGTATTCTTACAGTAGTACTACTACCCTATCGTTCTGCTAGTAATGTATGTCTTGCTTTACCAAGACCGGGTATCAACTTTTCTTCGATGTCTCGGAGAAATATCCATGAAGTACAAGTAATCCACTCTAGATAAATGAAACGAATCGCAAGATAAAGTAGGCAGATATCGTGAAGGAGGAGTGGAACTCTTGTCGCAGAAGATAAAGACAAAAGGTGTGTGTGATGATGAATTCCCAGATTTGCAGAACTATCCGAAGATGGGATATCGATATATATTTCGGGAAGCACCTTTGCTTTGGAGAAGGGGGAGTGGAGCAATTAATCTCGTGATCTGGTGATCACTGCATCACACCCTTTCACGGGAAGATAACGGATGGTGACACGAACACGAGAAAACAGATGACTTTTTCATCGACATCGCCATCGATATCGATCGCAAAACTTGCTTTCACAACAGTTGCGATGCGATTGCCCACAGAAAATGTCAAAATTTACGTACATATGAAACTTAAAAAAATATCTAAGACTTCATTAGCTTTTCGGTTTCCCGCTGCCCTATCTCACCACGTGTGGAGATGCCTCCAATGGTACCAATAAGTATTAGTACACATGAAACTTATACATACGGGTAAAATGTCTAAGACCATCTTGAGCTTCTTCTCTCTTTGCCCCGCCATTGCCGACATACTGAACACGTGCCGTATACAGATCCAAGCATGCGCCAGTGGAATAATATCATATGGAGAAAAAAAACGTCAATCTAACCTTACATGCATCTGAAACTTGCGCTCTCACAAGATATATACATGCATATATGAGCTTACGACCCACAAAACATTTCTTCCCATTTCTTCATTCATGCCGTTTTTCGTTCGGCACAGCTGGCCATGGATAGCTTCATCATGATCAGTAACTCAACGTGCCGCCCCGAGTTTATCGCCACCATCCCTCATCCACATCCACGCACCCTGGACATCCCCTCCCAAAGTAGTAGCTAGCTTCGCATGAATACACGAGATAGGAAATGGGTATAGGCGAGATTAGATTATCTCTGCGTCAACATTTTAAAGTATCCAGGGAAAATATGAGGAAAAATTCGATATGTGATGGAAATATGTATTGGGATGGGAAGACTCACTAACATGTTGGTGCGATACTTGATTCAATTCAAGGTTTGAGATAACTGTGCAACCAAGCGTTACACACGAGCACGGGAAATAAAAACACGGGCGGGGTGTAGGGGATCGCCACGTGGGAATAAGACGACGATTTATTAGGTAGGTAGTTTATAGGAAAGGGAAGGAGAGGAGAGGATAGGATAGGAATTTAGATTTGGTAGGTCAGGAAGAGATATTATGATATTATGCAGCAAGAGTGCGTTTTGGAAAAGAGGAGGCAAAAAACAGGAGAGGGGAGTAAACGATGACGATAATTACAATTGAGAAAAAAGGAGATTTGATAGACGCATGGGAGAAATCGAGCATGAAATTCATAAATTTGACTACATGGCTGGATACAGTATAATTCAACAGAGCACCATTCAGTACTGTGCTATATGACATATCTCAAACCAAGATAACCATACCTCAATCATACCTCTCAACTGTGCACCTACCTAAAGATACCCACGATACATACGCTTTTTCGGAGGAATTTAACCAAGATTTCCAACCATGCGAGACATAGATACATTAGTGGAAGTATTTTTAATAATCCAGTAAATCAAGTCGAGTCGCAGCCGAAAAGTTTCTCGCCCATCCACACCTCGATCCTCCATTTCGAGATCCTCAGGCTAATGCAAAGCATCAAATAAAATAAATTGAGTGCTACTATAGGTCATGTAGCGTATCATCTCAACCCATCAT